ATCTACATGTCTCACAGGCATAGTGAAGTTTGATGTCGGTGCCGAAATACTGTGTGACACTGTGAATTCATCACGTCTTATCCCCTCCTGCTCAGCTCGTGAACTTGTCACAGCTGACTCTCGTACATTGTCTGTTTATTATCAGAATGTAAGGGGATTGAGAAGTAAACTGGACAGTCTTCGACATTCATTATCAACTGTATCTTTTCATGTAATTATTTTTTCTGAAACATGGCTAAATTTTTCCTTTAATTCCTCAGAACTTGGATTTATAAATTACGACATATTTAGATCAGATAGAAATAGTAATACCAGTTTACATTCTCGAGGGGACGGTGTTTTGGTGGCGTGTAAGTCAATGTTAAACGCTACTTTCTTAGACACTAATAATTCTTCAGTTGAGCATATTTTTGTTAAATTTTTTTTCAATTCAATTTTGTATGTCTTGGGGACGTTTTATATACCACCTAATTCTACTTTTAATGTTTACTTATCTGTTTGCAATATTATAGAAATAGTTAATAATTCTTTTCCCACAGCAACATTAATTATAATCGGCGATTTTAACATTCCATTTGTTTCCTGGTGTTTCCCCTTTGATAATGGGAATGGCACTACATGTATATCTAAAATACGTACATCAAAAGTTTATAATAGAATTGCTAACCGTATTTCCGAAACATTAGATTTTTTAAATATTAATCAAGTTAACAAATTTGTTAATGCATCGGGCAATATTTTGGACCTTGTCCTTTACAACTCCACTAATTTCACTTTAGACTTAGTAACTGAACCAATTTTGCCAATTGATAAATACCACCCACCATTGATTTTTACCACAAGTAATAATGTTGATAATAGTAACAGTGTGAATGATAATTTCAGTAGTCCACGTGCTAGATATGATTTTAGCAAAGCAGATTTGGCAAACCTGCATATTTATTTACTAAATGTCAATTGGACTAATGTTTTAAACACGCTTAATATTGATGATGCAGTCTCCGTTTTTTACAATTATATATACACTGCCTTTAACTTATTTGTACCTACAAAAATATCTGTATCATCCACTTATCCATCATGGTTTACCAAGGAACTAAAGCAATTGGTTTCATTGAAGAAGGCGGCTCATCAAAATTATAAACAAACTGGTTCTCATCACGATTACTTAATTTTTTCAAAATTTCGTTCAGAATGTAAAATTAAATCTAAATTATGCTATAAAAGTTATATGGCTCGTGTTGAGAATTCAGTTATCTCAAATCCAAAATATTTCTGGAGTTTTGTCAATAATTTGCGTGGAACCTCTAGAATTCCTAATGAAATGATATATGATCAATTTGTTGCAGGCACCAATGTAGATATTGCTAATTGTTTTAAAAATTAGTTTAGTTCCGTTTACACTCTACCTTCTACTAATATTTCAGCTAATGACTTTGTTATTAATAAAAATAATTCAATTACTGTTGGTCATATATCGAGAGAAACAATTTTGTTAAAACTTAAAATGTTGGATGTTAATAAGGGAGCTGGACCAGATGAGATTCCGCCTTCTCTCTTGAAATCTTGCTGTTCCTCTTTCGTCGAGCCTCTTTATATTCTGTTCAATTGGTCATTAGCCTGTGGAATTTTTCCATTTGTATGGAAACGTGGAATTGTTGTTCCCATATATAAGGACGGAAACAAGAATGATGTTGTTAATTATCGACCAATAACTATTTTAAACACTATCGCGAAAATATTTGAAAGCATAATTCATGACGATGTATATAGACAAGTAGATTCGTTGATTATTGAGAGTCAGCATGGTTTCGTGAGAGGTAAATCGGTTCTGACAAACTTAAGTATTTATTCTGATTTTGTGCTTAATAATTTTGAAAAAGGTTTACAGGTTGACGTGGTCTATACTGATTTTGCCAAAGCTTTTGATAAGGTGGATCACGGCATTCTCTTGGCAAAGCTTGAAGCTCTGGGTTTTTCTCCTAATTTAATCACTTGGATTGAAAGTTATCTTAAAGACAGAACCTTGTCAGTTCGAATTAAACATGATTATTCTAATATATTTTCCGCCACTTCTGGAGTCCCCCAGGGATCGAATCTTGGACCTCTGTTCTTTGTGCTTTTCATCAACGACATAAATTTCATTTTTAAATTTTGTAAATATTCACTATTTGCTGACGACTTGAAATTATTTATAGCAATCTCTAATGAATGTGATTATATGCAATTACAATATGATCTCAATCAGCTTTTATCTTGATCTAAAAAGAATAAACTATTTTTAAATATCAACAAATGTAAAACAATATCCTTTTCTACATCTTCGAATTTCATTAATAATAACTATTTTGTTGATAAAAAGGTACTTTTGAGAGTGTCCACGATTGTCGACCTTGGGGTAATGATTAACGGCTCATTTTCCTTTATAGATCATATTACTTATACAATTAATAAAGCTACCCGAGCCTTGGGTTTTGTCATTAGAAATGCAAAATGTTTTCGAAATCCTCTTGTATTGAAAAAATTGTATTTCGCACTAGTTAGGCCTATAATTGAATTCGTCTCTGTATTGTGGAAATCTTATCAAAGCTACCTGTTAACAGATATCGAACGTGTTCAGAACAGATTTCTTCGTTTTATGGCTAAACAGACTGGTGTACCAATTGATTATCATAATCACGACTACACAGACTTAAGATTAAAATTTGATATTCAGCTATTATCTCAGCGATTTTTATACGCCGATATGCTTTTCTTGTTTAAAATTATTAACGGCATAATTAATTGTGCAGAATTGCTGAGTCTATTTTATTTGCATATACCCCTAAAATCTCCAAGACATCAACAATTGTTTCACATTCCTTTCAATAAAACTAACTATTTGAACAATTCTGTGATCAACAGATTGTGTAAAGAGGCAAATCAGTGTAGCACAAGTGTTAACTTTTTTGGTATTTCTTTAAATAAGTTTATAATTGAACTGCGTAATTTTATGTATGATGAGAACAATAATGTTAGCGCGGCTGATTAATTTTGTTTAAATTAGAATTATCGTATCATAGTACACTGTACGAATGGGCGCTGCCCGTATACTTTGAATAAATAAATAAATAAATAAGTAAATTGGAAATTTTTTTTTAAGTACTAAGACTTGAAATTAACAAAACAATTTCACATCTCTCTGTTCTTTTACGAGAATAGTGAAAGATGTAAAAAATATTTTTAAATCTAATATTTCAGAAACCAAGCAACATATCTTCGCTAAATTTTAATAGCAAATAAATTATGTTAATAAAAAATATCTCACAACCCTCACAGCACCGGATATTTAAGGATATCCCTAGGACATCCTGGGGATATCCATTGCCTTGCGGCGGTTTGGATATCCCTGGGATATCCCAGGGATGACCCAGGATATCCTCAGGATGTCCGAGGGATATCCAAACCGCCACAAGCAAATGGATATCCCCAGGATGTCCCAGGGATATCCTTAAATATCCGGTGTTGTGGGGGAAAATCTTCAATTTTTTTTTATTATTCTGAAAAAAGTTTGCAACCCACAAAAGATTGGAAAATTTTTTATATTCAATATTATTAACTGATAATAAAATGTTTTTTCAATTTATCATATCTCTGTTAGAGTTTCTTCGAAAGTCATTATTACTTTAAAAACAATTCTAATTGAAATGTAATAATAATTTTGATATTTATGTTGTGTTTAGAGTTTTGTTAATGTGAAACGAGACTTTTGTCACTCACGTGACGAAATAAATAAATGAAATAAGTATTTAGAAAAGTAATTACTTATTTCACTTATATTAAAATCTCATTCTCAAATGATACCCAATTAAAATGCCTTCCTTGTTTGTGGTATTACCCCCGCTAATTATTCAAATACTATATTTGTCTACGCCCAATATTTTTGATTTCTCCCACTTTTTGAATTTTCGACACTATAAAATCGATTTTCGAAAGTATCTTCCAAACAGTCTAAGTTTAACTGTCGCTTAGAATACTTGACAAAGAAAAATCATTTTGCAAACATTTAATTAGTGACAACAATTGTATTTCAACATTTACAAGTCTTCATCAACCCAGTGTGCACGTTCTAGAACTGTTCTATAACAAAAAGGTAACAGTGTTCTAGAACAATTGTTATCATTTTGTTATAGAACAATTCTAGAACTGTGTTATAGATTTGTTCTGTATCTGTTCTGTAATGCAATGTTATAGAACATTAGTTCTAGATTTGTTCTAGAATTGTGCCATAGCATGGTTCCTGCTTTGTTATAGAACAGTTATAGAAGGCTCAAATTAATAAAACTTCGTACCCTACAACCAAGTTTCCTGTAACCTATTACAAAAATAAACTGCTAAATGACACAGACATTGCATACTTGCAGTATGCAGGATTCCAGTTATCGAGTGAAAAGAAAAACAATTGCTGTTTACTCCGCGATAACTCAGTTGTAATTGTTCAAAATAATCGAAAGGATTCTGATTCTATAGTTTTAGAAGTTAAAAAAATTCAAAGACTTGAACCTTTTTTTACTGAACCGTGTGATTCGAAGAAGCTTGGAATTTTTTCAGTTGACAAAATAGCTTTTTCTCCTGTGACTAAAATCAATGCCAGTGAAGTTAAACGTAAATTTTTAAAAATCGCTCTTGATGACAATAAATGCGTGATTATTGCCATGTTGCATGCGAATAATTAAAATGATTATAGTAATGCTCCGTATTAGATTGTATGAATTATACATAAGTTTATACATAAGTTTTTCATTAATTTTAAAAAATTGTTTTTCAAATTTATATTTAAATTTATTATTCGTAAAAAATCAAAAATAATTTTTAATGTGTGTTAGAACTGATTTGAGGATTAACAGTGAATAAATGTCGACTTTTATGTAAATGTATAACAAATGTTTTTCTTATTTTATTCAAACAAAAAGATCATTTTAAAAAAATTTTGTGATGTAATTATTATGGATTTGTTCTAGAACTGTTACAGAATTGTTCTGTATCCTTGCATACTGGGAATATGTCTTCAATCTTTACTCTTTCATTACTTTTGGCCATTGCTGCAGTTCGTAAGTATTTTTTGTTACACTATGATTATTTTTATAATCATAAAAAATTGTTAAATTTTTTTTTAAACATGTATACCTAATACAATTTTTTTAATTAAATAATTTATTAAACTATCTTTTGCTAATAAATAAATTTTCTTTGAAATATCGTTTCTATCAGTAGAAGAAAAAATAATTTAAATAATTATAAGTAAGAAATATAAAAGAAAAATTATTTTGTTTTTTTTTAAATTGTATAGATATTTAAAATGAAATTCAATTTTAATTATAGAGTCCTATGTCGACAATTGTGGACACAATGCAATTTATACAGAGTGTGAAAAAACTAGTAATTGTATCAAAACATGTCACGAGTTTAATACTTCGTCGTGTACCAGTAACAAGGTAACTTCCTACGGGGATGTATTTCAATAAATAAATTCAATTTCAATTTCTTGCAATACTAAAATACATTGTACTTTAATGGATTTAATTTTTTTTTTTTTTTTGAAAATTATGTTTAAACCTTACATTTGATTTCATTTACAGACATGTCATCCTGGCTGTGAATGCAAAGAAGGATATGTAAGGCACCTTGAGTTTAACTTATGTGTTTTACCTCATCACTGCCCAAAATTAGGTAAATTACAAAATATAACTAAAAAACATAATAAATATAAATAATTACACAGCCACACAAAAAAAAATTTTGATCTGAGGGTCTGACTATGCCTACTGTATGTTTTTTGGGTCGCTGAATCCGAATTCTAGGTCCGTTTTACCCCATCAGATCAGGATTTTGAGATAATCTTAAAAAACCAATATGGCGGACACTTTTTCGAAAAATTCATCGGATTTGTCTGAAACTCTTTATTCGGGGGTTTTTGGGGTCGCTGATCACGAATCTGATATCAGTTTTCAAAACTTCAAAATAGCGGAACCAAAATGACTTACACATTTTCGAATAATTCATCGGAATCGCATGAAACTCGTTACTCGGGGGTTTTCGGAGTCGCTGATTACGAATTTGAAGTCAGTTTTCAAAAATTCAAGATGGAGGACACTTTTTCGAAAAATGCCGTTATGGCAGATACACTTAAGGAATTTGTAAAGGTGCCATCTTGAATTTTTGAAAACTGACTTCAAATTCGTAATCAGCGACTCCGTAAACCACCGAGTAACGAGTTTCATGCGATTCCGATGAATTATTCGAAAAAGTGTCCGCCATATTGGTTTTTTGAGGTTATCTCAAAATCCTGATCTGATGGGTTAAAACGGACCTTGAATTCGGATTCAGCGACCCAAAAAACATAAAGTAGGCATAGACAGACCCCCAGATCAAAATTTTTTTTTTGTGTGGCTGTATAGATATTTAAAATGAAATTTAATTTTAATTATAGATTCCATTTTCCACAATTGTGGACCCAATGAAATTTATAGAGAGTGTGGAGATGTTGGTGATTGTATTAAAACATGTGACAAGTTAGATACTTCGTTCTGTTATAATAAGACGGTAAATTCTTTATATATAAAAATAATCATTATTGAACAGTAATTAAATATAATTAAATTTCCATTTTACAAATTTCAGTCCTCTTTTGGACTACGGGGATGTATTTCAATAAATAAATAAATTCAATTTCTACCAATACTAAAATACATTGTACTTTAATTTTTTTTTAAATTATGTTTAAACCTTACATTTGATTTTATTTACAGAAGTGTAATCGTGGCTGTGAATGCATAAAAGGATATGTAAGGGACCTTGAGTCCGACAAATGTGTTTTACCTCATCAATGCCCAAGAAAAGGTAAATTACAAAATATAACTAAAAAACATAATAAATATAAATAATTACACAGCCACACAAAAAAAAAATTTTGATCTGATGGTCTGACTATGCCTACTGTATGTTTTTTGGGTCGCTGAATCCGAATTCTAGGTCTGTTTTACCCAACCAGATCAGGATTTTGAGATAACCTCAAGAAACAAATATGGCGGACACTTTTTCGAAAAATTCATCGGATTTGTCTGAAACTCTTTATTCGGGGGTTGTTGGGGTCGCTGATCACGAATCTGATGTCAGTTTTCAAAAATTCAAAATGGCGGATCAAAAATGACTAACACATTTTCGAATAATTCATCGGAATCGCATGAAACTCGTTACTCGGGGGTTTTCGGAGTCGCTGATTACGAATTTGAAGTCAGTTTTCAAAAATTCAAGATGGCGGATACTTTTTCGAAAAATGCCGTCATGGCAGATACACTTAAGGAATTTGTTAAGATGCCATCTTAAATTTTTTGAAAACTGACTTCAAATTCGTAATCAGCGACTCCGAAAACACCCGAGTAACGAGTTTCATGCGATTCCGATGAATTATTCGAAAAAGTGTCCGCCATATTGGTTTTTTGAGGTTATCTCAAAATCCTAATCTGATGGGGTAAAACGGACCTCGAATTCGGATTCAGCGACCGAAAAAACATAAATTAGGCATAGACAGACCCCCAGATCACAACTTTTTTTTGTGTGGCTGTATAGATATTTAAAATGAAATTTAATTTTAATTATAGATTTAATTTTCCAGATTGTGGACCCAATGAAATTTATACATCGTGTCGAAAAGATATTGATTGTGTCAAAGCATGTCACAACTTAAATACTTCGTCGTGTACCAGTGACAAGGTAAATTCCTTAAATATAAAAACAATCATTATTGAACAGTAATTATATATAATTAAATTTTCATTTTTCAAATTTCAGTCCTCTTTTGGACTACGGGGATGTATTTCAATAAATAAATAAATTCAATTTCAATTTCTTGCAATACTAAAATACATTGTACTTTAATGGATTTAATTTTTTTTTTTTTTTAAATTATGTTTAAACCTTACATTTGATTTTATTTACAGCCATGTTATCCTGGCTGTGAATGCAAAAAAGGATTTGTATTGGAATTTCAGACCGACAGATGTATTTTACCTCATCAATGCCCAAGATATGGTAAATTACAAAATATAAGTAAAAGACATAATAAATATAAATAATTATTAACATCTAAAAAAAAATTTTTCCTTTCTTTTAATTGTGTAAATATTTAAAATAAAATTCAATTTTAATTACAGTACGCAAGCAGCCAATCCTTTCTTTTCGTTGTGGACCCAATACAAGGATAAATGGGTGTGGATTATCACCTTTTTGTCAGACATCATGTATCAGTCTAAATCATACGAATCGGAGGTGTCTGACTGACATGGTAAATTCTATAAATATAAAAACAATCATTATTGAACAGTAACTAAATATAATTAAATTTCCATTTTTCAAATTTCAGTCCTCTTTTGGACTACGGGGATATATTTCAATAAAAAAATTAATTCAATTTCAATTTCTTGCAATACTAAAATACATTGTACTTTAATGGATTTAATTTTTTTTTTTTTTTTTTTTGAAAATTATGTTTACACCTTACATTTGATTTTATTTACAGACATGTCATGTTGGTTGTGGATGCGAAGAAGGATTTTTATGGGACCGTATTTTCCATAGATGTATTTTACCTTTTGAATGCCCAATAAAAGGTAAATTACAAAATATAAGTAAAAAACACACAGCCACACCAAAAAAAAATTTTGAAAAGAGGGTCTGACTATGCCTACTGTATGTTTTTTGGGTCGCTGAATCCGAATTCGAGGTCCGTTTTATCCCCTCAGATCAGGATTTTAAGATAAGAAAAATTTTTTTAATTCAAACAAATTTTACCTTTGATTCAAAAAGAGCGTTTAAAAAATCGATTTTTTTGTTTCAAAGAAATCTTTTCTCTGGGTGTACACTTTAAGCTTCATTTTAAAGGGTAAAAGAAAGAAAAAAATGGGTCTTTTATTAAAATTTTATTTTGAATTTTATAAAAAAAAATTTGCAAAAAATATACAGGTTAAAATTTTGCTCATCCTATTATACTTACAATAGTTGTGATTCTTCAAAAAATCCAATGTTCACATTTTGGCCTCACATCAGAAATTTAGCCCCATATGCGTTGCTATACAGTTCACCAAACTTTTGGTTAAATCAACCCAAACTTTTTTTGATTCAATCAAATTCTTTCCTTATTCAAAATATTTATATGAAAATAAACAAAGCAATTATTTCAATGAAATAAATATTTATTTGAATTTAACAAATTTTGTTTGAAGTAACCAAAAAATTGTTTAATCCCTACTGGAAAATTCCCCAATTTGCATATAATCCATAAAGGTTTCCATATAAAAGCAAAGCGGAATTTTCGACAAGACTACGTGTAAGGAACCATATGAAATATCCAATATTAATAACAATATATCCAATATGAAATCCCACATGGAATATTTTATTTAAACAAACAACATTTTAAATTTAACCTAGTTATATTTTAATTTACTAGTACTAAATATTTTTAATTTATTGAGTGACCACAAAACTTTGTCAGATTTTGTGTACCTGAGACATTTCATATGAGAATACGGGGTCATGTCTCGGATTAATACCTTAAAAAATTTAAAGAAAATCAAACCAAAAAATGTTAATAGAAGTAAAAATTTTAAACATTTGTTCAAATGTAGCGCGGGAGTTGATGCTAAACTATAGCAACTTTGGCATTGAATGTTTACAGAATCAAATCAGAAAATGGTTCTTTAGTAATTTGCCAAATTTTAGCTTTTAGCTACCTTACCGGAATAAGTAAAAAAAAAATCGAGTACAGTAAGATATCTGCTCCTGTAATTACACCGATAAAAAATGCACGAGGCTTAGGTTGTTTGTGTTCGTGGTTTAAGATAGCAAAAACCAAATATTAAACGTATAAACATGGATGCTCACGGATATTATAATATAGAAAATTATATTTGTTCAGTTCCTCGTACAAAGTTAAAAACAAATAAGTTATATTTATCGTATTCTTTAAAAGAAATTTCAAAACATTTGAAATAATAGTTATTTACGTTTTAAAAATGAGAAATTTATTATTTTCTTTTATAAGTAGGGTAAATGCACTAATTGCGGCGCGATTCGAGTCAAAACACCTTTGAAATAGAAAATTCGACAATTCTATTGTATAAACTCAATTTAAGAGTTATTAAACTAAAAGGTTATGTTATTTAGATGTTAAAAAATGTTTAACTTTATAAAAATCGATTATTTAAACAAATATAAGAAATTAAAACTAATACCGTAATTTTCTATTGCGGCGCGTTCTCTCGGTTCTCTCTGATGAGAGGATCGACCGCAATCGTCATCGTGCCATATACGAAGGATGTCATGGGTCACGATGACGATTGCGGTCGATCCTCTCATCAGAGAGAACCGAGACTTCTTACCGTAGAAGCACCTTCCGTCATGATTTTTCGCGCGTAATCGATGCGCTGATTCGCATCTTTATAAATTGTTGTAAACGCGCATTTTATTTTATTAAATGTTTTGTTTGTTCAATATAATATTTTGTTTATTTTGTGTTCACACATCCCAAGGATTATCCTTCAGGAACTCCGATGTGCGCCACAGCGATTCGACGATCTGCGAACTGGTAAGTTCGATCAATCGATCTCTATTCCTCATCTGTATGGACTCGTCTCGGATCAATTGCTCGCAGCTGCTCATTTGATTGCGTCGCAGGTCGAATCGCCCTTTTTGAGTTTTGGATTTCGCATGGATTTTCGCTCAATTTATTTGTATCGGCTATCGCGAGCCGAACCCCCACTTTCTATTTAATTTAAAATATCTAAAGTCTCGCGAAGTTCGTTACAAGTTATATTAAATACTAGCTTTCGTACCCGCCTTCGGCGGGAGCGAAATCTAGTGATGTACGCCCAACAGTATTTTCGTGCAAATAATTTTTTGTATAGATAGTTGATTCCCTCACAACACAAGGATATTCAGGATATCCCTGGGACGTCCTGGGGATATCCATTTGCTTTTGGCGATTCGGATATCCCTAAGATATCCTCTGGATATCCATGGACATCTCTAAGATATCCCAGGGATATCCAAACCGCCGAAAACAAATCGATATCCCCAGGACGTCCCAAGGATATCCTGAATATCCTTTTGTTGTGAGGGTTGTTATTAAAAACTTGAACTAATAATTTCACAAATTTGTTAAATTTGAAAATTGTTTAAAATTTTAAATCTAAAAAACACATACTAAAAATATACTAACCTTTTATTTTTCTTTATCAACTTCGTAATTAATGATATCAAATGTTTTGAATCTCTAACAGATTACCATGATTAATTTGATTTCGTTTAAGCCTTGTTTTGATAATTCAAAAAAAAAAAAAAAAAAAAATTAAATCAAAAATTAATCATCAAAAATTACCACAAAATTAAAATCTATTTTTAAATTTTATAAATTCCCAAAAAAATATTAAACCGTTTTTATTTAAACCTGTATTAAATTTTCTTTAAATTAGGCAAATAAACAATTTTAAAAATATATTTAAAGAATAAAATATAATTATAAAAAATTATTACAAAATTAAAAAATATTTTTTTTAAATTTTAGAAATTAATTTCTTTTTAAACTAAGCATTCTAATTATCTTCAAAAATACATTTAAAAAATTTAACGTAGATGCTAAATTTTTAATTATTTATTTTAAATACCTGAAAAATAATCTTCCTTTATTCGATGGCTTAAATTATTTGATTTAATATTAATTGATTATTTTATTATTATTATTATTATATATTAATAGGTAATTATTATCGATTATAATTAATTGTTTTTATCTATATCTATTTCCTTGCTTCTTTCCATAAACATCTGTCAAACGTGTTGACAAAATAAGACAGTCAATTGCGAGAATGAAGTTAGCAAATAATCAGTTGAGACAAAATCGAAACAGCATTATAAAATTTTATTTAAATAATTATTTTCAAATGTTAATTTCTTATACTTTTTTTACAACTTAAAATCTTTTAATATTATTTAAACTATAATATTAAAATAAAAATATATAACCCGAAAAAAATAATTATAAAAAGGTTGTTACTAAAAAACATTTTTTCATTTCTTTATATTTGTCATCTTTTTTAATTCTAAAGTTAAAATTTGATTAATTGGACTCAAAAACATAGCTAAAAAAGGTTTAGAAAAATATAACAAAAATTAAATTTAAAAATTTTGATTTTTAGAATTTTTCTTCACAATTTTAAATCTATCAGTTATTTTCTCAATTTTAAGGTAAAAATGCGATTAATTAACCTTAAAAAAACTTCTAAAAAAAAGTCTAGTAAAAATAAGCGAAAAAATAAAAAATTTTAAAATTTCGATTTTTACAAAAAGGTGCCATAACTTCCGTTCAAGTTAATATTTTTTAATGGGGTATTGCTAAGATTTTAAGTTAGTCTAATACCTAAAAGAGTGACAAGTTTCACTTAAATCGGTCAAGCCGTTTATGCGTGATTGGCGAACAAAATATTGTGCAGACAGACAGACAGAATTTTTTTTAATGCTATTTTTAGAATCCTTATGACTTGAAACGAAGAATTATACATGAATTTTTAAGTTCTAAGCAATGTACAGACAAAAGTCTAATTTTATTAATATACTTAGATATAGTAATAATAGTTATGTTTTATGAACGCGCCGTAATTGATGCACTTACCCAAATATTTAAAAATATTTAATTATTTATTTCTCTATTTCTTATTTTAAAGTTTTGCTCTTAAATAATAATTTTAAGTAATTTTATTGAAAGTTCTACATATAAGAAAGTGCTATTTGACGTGTAATATTTTTTGTAATAAAGGGTAATACTCAGTAATATATGTATAATACTTTTTTAATACAGTAATATTTTGGTAGTAGTATGTAATACTTGTAAAAAGTGTAATACTAAGGTAATAATGGTAATATGTGTAGTTGTAGTCAAGTGTACACAATTTTTAATAGTAAATTCCTCCTCGTCTATTAGTATAAACATTCTTGTATGCTTCATTTCAACGATTTAAATTATAAACAGATGATTATTAAAAATCGTTGTTTCAACACCTCACAGCTCAACTCGGCAGAGGTTGCCTACCTACTAGGCATGGTATTTTTCAGTCTTTCTTTAAATAACATTTTATAATTAATTTTCGATTCTTAGTAATACTTAATATTCTTTTTTCGACTCAGAATTAGATGATCTTCCAAATAAAAAAAGAATTGACGATTTATCTTCATTTCTTCAAATGTTATTAATTATTTAAATAATTTTTATTATTAATTATTAATTTCACACCCGTTTATTAGAAATAGTTCATATATGGCTCGTTGGATGCGGATTTTGATAAGCATTCTAATGATGTTTTTAAAATTACTCTAATTTTATTTGTTCGTAAAATATTTCATTTTTTATTAACTTTTGTTAGTTAATTAATTAATATCTCGAAAACAAAAAATAATGCCATCTCAAAAATTCAACCATCAATTTATTACGACTTAAACAATATTCATGATTTTTTTCGCGCTTCAAAATGAGGGAGAACATGTTTAAAAGTTATAAACAAAATTTGTTTTTTAAACAAATTGTTTAAAAATTAATAGTTTTTTTAAAACTAATTTTTTTCTAAAACTTTAAGGTCTTTTGCGTAAAAAACATTCACAACATTTTTCTCTATTATTAGTAGGGAAAAAGTTATAAGCAAAGCAAAAAAATATTGCTCTAATTTGTTATTGTAAATATCTCGAAAAATATGAAATTGCAATTCTTATTTTGAATTTAGTGAAGTAAATATAAAATGCTATCAAATTTTATTAATATTCAAGTATATGATATTTACTATTTTTTAAAAAAAATTATACATAAGTTCAGATTAAAAAAGATTTTTACACAACGTATATTTACAAAAATTTTAATTGCCCAATTCAAAATTAATATAATTAAAACTATTATCATTACTCTGACTATTAGTTAAAATATATAACATTTTTTTTAAATTAAAAAATTCTTAAACAATAGTAAATTTGTAAAGAAAATATGTAATGGATTTACTAGTCATTGTGACGAAAAATGAAATAAATAATAAAGGAATTATTATAATTAAGTAATTTGTTTTAATTAAATAAGAATCAATTAAAATAAATTTTTTCTTTTTTTTATAACCATTTTTAAAAAATATTCAATCAATAACATTTATTTTCCAATATATAATAATAAATAATAGAAATAAAATAAAATTTCAAACCTTAAAAAAATAAATAGATTGTTTAAAATTTAAATATTTCTTAATTACTAACAGATTTTATTTACTTCTTGTTTGAAAATTATTTACATTATTATAAATTTGATTCTAATATTTGTAAATATGAAAATTTGAGAAACATTAGTCAGGATAATATTATGAATTTATATTGCGTTCCCAAAATGATCGACTTTAACAATTATTATTGCATTCATTTCCATATATTTCATTTGTTATTCTGAGTCCATTTCCTCTTTCTCCTTGGATATTCGAAACAATATGACCTCCATTTTGGTTGTTATTGCTTCCAACATTTCCATTGTCAACATTGTTACTATTTCCTCCTTTGTTCATATAGCTTATGTTGTTTCCATTTCCCACATTGTTTCCAATTCTTCCATTGCTTCCACTTTCTCCATTGCTTCCTTTTCCTCCAGTGTTTCCACCTACATTGAAATAAAAAAGATTATTATAAGTAACAGCAAGAATATTGAATATTGATTTCGAAATGAATTCTGACGTTCGTTTTAAAAAAAACACTATATCAAGAAAATCAAGATAGCCGTAAGACAGGGAAAATTTTTGTTGTCAAGGAAACTTGAGATATTGAACATATATTTACAGAAAAAGGCAATATAATATACTTTTTGAAAAGGTAAAATTTTTTAACAATTTTTGATTCTAAAAGGGATAATACTTTATCATCTATTCACCTTTTTTCACTAATTAAAATTTTGTCACCTATTTTGATAATTTTCTTAATTTTTTCACCTTTCTCATGCTTTGGTTAATTCACGGATGCAATATTTAAAAAATAATAAAATGTAAAATTTAAAAACATTGATTTAAGCTCAGGAATGTTAAAAAAAATGTTAACATTTCTTGACATTCCTTAAGAATATAATTATTACTTTGAAGAGCAAAAAATTGACAGATTTTTTTCTTTTCTATAAATGATTCAATTCACCAATGCTTTGCATTATTCAAAATTTTTCATTAATTTAAAAATTATTTAAACCAAATTTCAATAAATCTATATTTAAATTAGTTAAGGCATTTATTGCGATTTATATTGTAATCGATCAGCTATCAATTCAATCAATCCAAAATTCATTTTACACAAATTTAAATCTCTTCAAATTTTTAGAACACATTTCAATTTAATTAAATTTTAATCAATTCAAAATTTAATAGATCAAAACTACAATTCATTGTAAAATTTAATTAAAATTTCAAATGATTCAACTTTAAATCAATTATAATTTATATTATTATATCAAATTTTTCGAATTTTAATTAATCACAGATATTGACAAAATAAAATTGTTGTCTGTAAACAACGGAAATTTCATCGGATTAAAATATTTTAGTTTGAGTTGAAATGTTAAATGGAGTCTTTTTTAAAATGTACAAAAAAATTGCAATTCAAATAAAATTACAAAGAAAATATATCATGGGAAAAAATTTTTGATCATCAAATATGATGATTTGAAATTTTAATGAAGGTTTTGAGGAAAATGGTACATGTGATATTTAAAACTTATTTTCACTCTCCGTTTCGCATCCAGTGCAACATAGTCTTGAGGTACACTCTTCAGTTATAACTTTCATGAGACGACCTAATTAAAGAACAATTAATTTTTAATATCGAAATAATAAAATTTTTCTTTATAATCAAATTGTAATATTCAAACAAAATAATCATTTCATAAATTAAATCTGAATTTGTTAATTCTGTAAATTGATTTTGTCTTGATCATATACATATATTATATAATATATAAGAAAAAATAAAATTATGATAATTTTTTAGAGTGTGTTTTACACTATAGGAAAACATTGTATTACACATGTAAATTACCTGGACGAGCAAAAGAGTGAGCAACAAGTAGAAGGGTAAAGAAAAGCACAAAACATTTAACAGATGCCATGATCAAAAATCACAATTTTTCCAAAAAAGAGTTGCTGTTTTACTTTTCTAAAAATGGACAATTAGTTGTCACCGTAATTTTATTATAGACGTCCAAGTGAGGCAGCGCCATCTACATTGAAATTAAAATTTTGGAAAATTTTCAACAGCCTTTTCTTGAAAACAAAAAGGTTAAATTTCTTTTTCTTTATGGATAATTGATTATTATTGGCAAGACATACACCAGCGCTCCAAATGTTATGCTGACTCTACATTTAATATTATATTATAATATTTTAATATAAAAATTATATACAATAATTTTATTATTATTATATAGGATTAATTTTCTTAAAGTTCTTCGACTTTAAGGGGAACATTCTCATCATGGCACTCGCGTTTCACGCTCGAATGTATGATGCGGAATTAAAAGTGTTTTTGAGTATTTGGATTTTTTATTATTTTTAAATATATGAAACATTTGAGCAAACGAATACATTTAAGGGGTTAGTATCTCATCTCCATTATTTTTTTCAAATAGTTTTTTTAATTAAACAATTTATTTTATTTAAATCAAGCTTGTTATACATAAAAGTAAGGGTTATATATACTATTCCCAGTTGAAAAATCTTGTACAATATCATGTACATTTTTTTCTTAAAGTTCAAGTACACGGAGAGAAATAGATGGTACGGGGTACTATCTAGATAGTACCAGGTACCATATTTGATCTTTCATATACGGACAGCTATCTAGATTCTATCTGTTACTATCTAGATTATAGTGGGTAACATAACCATACTTTTTGTAACATCTTTGATAGTACCGAGTAGCATAATGATGGTACTGGATAACATCTACTTTTTACCATCTTAAGATCATAAGTTCTTACCATCTATTTCTCTCCGTGTACTTGCACATTCGCGTGATCTTGTACAAGAGCAGAAAACGAACATGTAAAAAGAATTGGAACAAAGTACATGAACCTGTACAGGTACATGCAAGTGTATTTGTTTGCGACTTTGTGACTGTTGTGTGTGCAAAATTGCAAATCTATTTGTTTCGATTTACAAAAGTTATTGTGTCAACAACATACATACATACATACATACATACATACATACACTTTCGCCGGACCATGTTTTTTTGACTCAGTGCACCTCAAAACGTAAAGATTTCATGGAAATAGTAAAAGTCAATTTTCGACCAATTATAATACCTTCTCATGTGATCAGAATGTAAAAATTTCATGTCAATAAATTAAATATGAGCACTTTTTTCACAAAAACTGTAACAGTACTTTCTCAGAAATTACAATCAAAAATGCAATTTCCATTTGGAAAATTAATAAACGCTAAAAAATACACGACCTAAGATTTACCAATCACGAAAATAACAAAAAAAAAGTATTTTAACATAACATATTTTACTCATTGTGACAGCCGTTTGGCAGGTTATATATGTCAACAGACGTTTCGCAGTTTTGCCGAAAGGAGGAGATTGGCGCTGTTGCTAACCACCTGAAATACATAATCTACCAAAGGGCTGTCACAATCAGTAAAGCAGTATCAATATGTTAAATATTTAATAAAATTTTTTTTGTTATTTTCGTGATTGGTAAATCTTAGGTCGTGTATTTTTTAGCGTTTATTAATTTTCCAAATGGAAATTGCATTTTTGATTGTAATTTCTGAGAAAGTACTGTTACAGTTCTTGTGAAAAAAGTGCTTATATTTAATTTATTGACATGAAATTTTTTTTATTATTTTAACTCAAAAAAAGTTTTAGCTGGTGTATGTCTTGCCAATAATCAATTATCTATAAAGGAAAAAGCAAAAATTATTTCATGTTCTATTTAATTTTTTATTGTAAATTTTCAAAAAAAAAAAAAAAAAATTCCATGAATTTTTTTAAAATTATATTTCTTCGCTTTATATATTATAGAAGAAAAAATTCAAAAACTTTTCTGGCAATAATAAACTCTTGGATGTTTGTTACAATACTTAATTAATACTTGCCAAGGGAGGACATTTCAATATTTGCCACAAGTTTGCTGCAAACTTACCTTACAAACTTTCAAACCTTGCACTGCAAACTTGCTATTTGGGGAAATTCTTTTTTTTAATTCATTTTAATTCCAGCCGTTTTGCAGCGATAATCATTCCGGCATAGCACCAAAGTCTTAACCCGCAAGTTGTCTATAAAAAATATATGGCGCAATCTTTAATTGGTCCAGAGGATGCTGAACTACACTCCAAAAAAAATTTGGAAAAATTAAAATCGCGAAATAATCGTTCGGGAATACAGTCAAAGTAGTATGAAGAAAGTTCTCAATGAAGCTTGGAAAAAGTTTAGTTTTTTATTTTTTCGAAAATTTTTCCAAATTAGTTTTTTTACTTCTTCACTGAAGCAGAGCTACACTCAAAACTATTTTGGAAAAATTTTCGAAAAAATAAATTTGCGAGATAATTGATTCGGAATACTACCAAAGTAGTTAGAAGAAAGTTCTGAACAAAAATTTATGGCGCACTTTTGATTGGTCCAGCGGATGCTGAGCTACACTAGAAAACAAATTCGGAAAAAATGTAGAAAAATAAAATATTCGAGATAATCACTCCGGAATACCGCCAAAAAAATGAGCAAAAAGTCTCGAACAAAAAATGTATGGCGCACTTTTTGATTGGTCCAGCGGATGCTGAGCTAAACTAGAAAACAAATTTGGAAAAAATTCCGAAAAATTAAATTTGCGAGATAATCGTCCGGGAATACCGCCAAAGTAGTTAGAAGAAAGTTCTGAATAAAAAATGTATGGTGCACCTTTTGATTAGTCCAGCGGATGCTGAGCTAGCTCAAGATAAATAAGGGGGTAAGGGGGGGTTTCAATTATTCATTCAAAAGAAATTGTAATACAAGCGTTCGCAGATGATATAGCGATCATGACCGATAATGTGATAAAGATGAAAAAAATAATTGAAGTTTTGAAGGAATATGCCCAGGAGAAAAATTTGACAATTAACGTTAATAAAACACCCAGTGTGCACGGTCTGGAACTGTTCTATAACAAAAAGGTAACAGTGTTCTAGAACAGTTGTTATCATTTTGTTATAGAACTATTCTAGAACTGTGTTATAGATTTGTTCTGTAACATTTGTTCTGTATCTGTTTTGTAATGCAATGTTCTAGAACATTAGTTCTAGATTTGTTCTAGAATTGTGCCATAGCATGGTTCCTGCTTTGTTATAGAACAGTTCCATTGCGAATGTTCTAGAAGTATGTTTTATAAAATAAAAGTAACATTGTTTAAGAACAATTGTTTTCTGGTATGTAAAAAATGTGTGCCTATAAGAACTCTATTAACGCTAAAGATAATTATTATTAATAAGAATACTGTTAAAACAAATACTGTTAAAATCGTACAAAAAATTTTACGAAAAAATTATTTTAAATAAGTCATATATAAATATTATTTTAAGTTTTTATTATTAATAGTACTTCTTTTTATGTAAAACTATTTTTAAAAAACAATATAAAAATTTTTAAAATAAAATGAGTTACAAACAAATTTCGAGTATTCGACGCAATCTGGAGAAAAAAAGTAGCCAAAAGTCACCATGACGGCAAATATAACAAAAAGTACACGAGAGATTGAAAATCTTTTATATTACTTAAACGATGTAAATCAATATAATGCTGGCAACTCTGATCAGAAAAAGAAAAGACTTTTATGTAAATGTATAACAAATGTTTTTCTTATTTTATTCAAGCAAAAAGATCATTTTAAAAAAATTTTGTTATGTAATTATTATGGATTTGTTCTAGAACACTGTTCTAGAACTGTTACAGATTCTGTTCTAGAACTGTTCCTTCAGGGGGACGACATTTTTAGTAACCAGTAAGTAACAAGTTCTAGAACCTGTTACAGAATTGTTCTGTATCCTTGCACACTGGGCAAATGTTTTATTAACATTCAGAAGGGAGGGCGCGGTTATACCAAAAAATAGCCTTCATTAATGTTTGGTAGAGAAGAAATTAAAATAGTCAATTCTTACACATATCTGGGTGTTCGTTTTGCGGAATCTGCCCTCTTCGCAACTGCGACACAAGCGATGATAAGTAAAACAAAGTTAGTGATAGGAACCACCATCCCTTTGATTAACAGACTCAATTTTTGAGGCATGGTTCCCAATTGATAGATTTTTTGATAGCTTTATTTCCAGTTCTCTGTTACACGCAGTCATGGTTTGGGGTCTTAGATATTTGGAAGATTTGGAAAAAACCCAATTTGATTATTATAACCTTAACCACCCTCGAAACACCCCAGGCTAGCTGTTTGTGTGGAGACTTGAAAACTACATATTTCATTAAAAAATTTTAAGGTGATTTTAAAATGGTTGGAAAAAATATTTGATATTAATGATGCAAGGATAAAATATGCGAGAATCTGTTTCAAGAGATTAAAATTTCTTGCGGATAATAATAATAAAATAGACCAGCGATTTAATTGGGCATCTCATGTAAAAACAATATTTTTTTATAGTATCGGAGCTGAGGATGTCTGGAAGGCCTTATCAGCTGACCTTCTAAGGGAAAAAAGAAATCAATTATTAAAGAAATTTGAAACCTTTTTAGTTAATAAAGATTTAATAAGACTCTAGGCCTCCTCCTCACTGAAATTTTATTCATACTTGTCAGTATATGATGGACTTCAACCGTATTTGAAGTCAAGATTGCCTTTTCCTATAATAAAGGTATTCGCACAGTTCAGATTATTAAACACATTTCAGACTAGGATCGTAATGAAAAACATATGTTTCAAGTTTTTTAAAGAACAAAAATGTAATTGCGAAGAACGAAGACCGATTTATGATGAACATCACCTCATTGTTAATTGTAAATTAACATCAATTAATTTCCTCTCCGAAATAAGGAAAAAATATATTGTGTGTGCCTACTAACAATAAGAAGAGCTGACTAGCACATGGTTAAATTTGTTAAATAACAGGAATCCGTCATTGGTCAAAAAAGTTGTTAAATTTATTCAAGAGATAATTAACGGTACATTTTTAGAATAGGCTTTATATGAAAAAAATGAATTGTACACTGATAAAATTCCTAACTCCCGTATGCCAGGAATTGACTAATTTGCCTGGTTACGAGAGGAACCCACTAGACAATCTTGGTCAAAGTTGATTTCGACAATTAGTCGGAATGACTAGGGAAGCTCATCAGAATAACCAGGTATCTTAGTTACATTGGCTAGAATCACTTTGACTAATTCAACTTTAGCAAAATTGACGATATAGATACATGTGATATTAACCAAACATCTTAGTTAATATAACTAGTAAACAAGGAGTCAATTCTACTAAATCGACTTTGACAATATTAACCAAGCTACATAACTAAATTGACTAGGATGATTGGTTACGCTGACTAGATTTAAAGTTGCTATGGTTAATAGAGCCGCTGGATTCTAAAAGGGCACGTAAATTTTTTCGGCCGGTAAACGAAGTCCCCTGGACACTCAAAATTCATTTTTCGAATTTTAATATTTTTCGAGAATATTCTTATACAGAATTCGATTGCGCATCTTTTTTTTAATAAGAAATTTTCCATCTTTTTCCGTTTTCGAAATATAAGAGAAAAACTGTATTTTTAAAAAAGAAAATTTTCATTGTTTTTTTGACTTCAACTCGCGACAGCTCAGACAATTTTACGAATTTCTTAATGAAACAAAAACGAAAACAAGTGTTATTATATCCTACGAGTGACTAAAAAAAGAAAAAAGTTGTTTTGATTAAAAATAAAAAAGTTATTAATTTTTTATTGAGACATTGCAAAATTCGTCAAGTGCAATTTTCTCAATGCGGGGAAGTTCGACAAATTTTCAACAACAACAAACTTCCAGTGAGAAAGTTGTTCATTAAGGTCCAAAGAAGTTTTCTGGAAAGTTGCAATGCAATTGAACAATTAATAACAAAATGGCAAATATTTAAACTTTGAAGTTGCGCGAGCGGCTGAACGTTTGGCATGTGTTCGCTACCATAATAAGCTCGATTGTATTATTGCGTAGCAAACGCACGCCAAACGTTCAGACACTCGCGCAACTTCAAAGTTTAAACATTATCGCCATTTTGTTATTAATTGTTCAATTGCATTGCAACTTTCCAGAAAACTTCTTTAAACCTTAATGAACAACTTTCTCACTGGAAGTTTGTTATTGTTGAAAATTTGTCGAACTTCCCCGCATTGAGAAAATTGCACTTCACGAATTTTGCAATGTCTCATTAAAAAATTAATAACTTTTGCTGCCTCGTGGAGGAAGCTTTGTAGTCGTTTCGTTTATAAAACTTTTCAAAGTGGAGAAAACAAATTTTTTTCTTTATAGAAACATGTTATATGAGATCCTGATCAATTGTTCGGATGTATGAATGTGTGTGGATCCCAAATTTGTTTAGAAGATAACTTTAACAGGTTTTAATGAATTTAGATAAAATTTAATTTGCTCATTTATCATATTAATATCTCAAATCTGACAAAAGGATTTTAAAAAATAACCCAAAAAAAAATTTTATCGTCTTTTTTCCAAAAATTTTTTTTTAATCGAAAAAATTTTTAAATAGAAAAATATAAAGTTATATATAATAAAATCGTATTCCTTACGTCAAGACGAATCGATAGATATATATAAAGTATACATTTGAGGTAAATTTAAAGAATTAATGAAAGTTAAAAAATCAAAAATTGACATTTTGGCAATCGTAAAGAGGAAGCAAAATGTTCATGTAATAAACATCAAAATTTACAACTTGTTTTTTTTAATTGTGGTTGAATTATGAGTAGTAATAGGGGTCTTTCTCTACTTGTATTGGGCTGTCAATTTTTTTCTACACTTTTGGGTGTATTTTGTGCAAGAAATGGCAATGAAATCGTTTGCCTAAGAAGAATTGGACAAATTTTTTTCTATATAGAAACATGTTATATGAGATCGTGATCAATTATCTGGATGTATGTATGTGTGTGTATGTGTGCGTGTGTGTGTGGATCCTTTTTTTGTTTAGACGATAACTTTAACAGGTTTTAATGGATTTAGATAAAATTTGGTATGCTAATTTATCATATTAATATCTCATATCTGACCAAAGGATTTTAAAAAATAACCCAAAAAAAATTTAATCGTCTTTTTTCCAAAAAAATTAATTCTTTAAATTTAACGCAAATCTATAGGTACTCAAATGTTTATATTATTATTATATTATTGTTGTATGTTTATTTCGATGTTAATGCTTTCTCTACGAGGAAGCAAATTTTTTTGCTGTTCGTAAAGAGGAAGCAAAATGTTCATGTAATGAACATCTGAATTTACAACTTGTTTAGTCACTCGTTGGATATAATAACACGTCGCATGTGCGAAATGCCAAGACTGACAATTGGCCCAGTAATGTCCGCCGAAGTATGGTAAACGTTACTGGACCAATACTGGCAATCAATTCGTCCCATTATTGGACCAAAATTGGCACCGATTCTCGGTTACTCTAATTTGCCATTATTGGTACGAAGTCTGTCCCATTACTGGGCCAATATTGGCCCATGTTGGTTTTCGCACTTGGGGTGTTTTTGTTTTTGTTTCATTAAGAAATTCGTAAAATTGTCTGTGCTGTCGCGAGTTAAAGACAAAAAAACAATGAAAATTTTCTTTTTTAAAAAAAAACAGTTTTTCTCTTATTACGGTTGCACTAAACTGTTTGACGACTAGTAGTGAACCAACTTTTCCAAAAATTAATCAAATAAGTAGTTTATTAATAATATCCTATATAAATTGTAATTTCTGAGAATTTTCATAAAATTAAATTTTGTATGTTGTCTTATTTATGTTTAAAATACAAAATTTTATGTACATTATAACACATTCTTTAATAAAATGTACAAATTAAAATTATTTATAATTCTACTTATTAACTTGTTTTAACACATAATATGGGAAATTTATTATAGCTATATAATATATATTTCCACGCCGAAAAAAATAAAATCCCAAATGAGAAAAATATATAGGTGTCGTAATTTCTTATAAAATGTTATGTCCATACAAATTCCTTCTGTAGTTTGATCCACAAAATTTGCTGACACTATAAGGTGACTTTATTGACTGATTTTATTTTTCATACAAAGTTAAAACCTTTCCAACCTGTCATTATTATAATTACATATAAAGTTGCTACAGTTTAACTTAAAATACAAAAATGGCAATTAAAATTATAGGTACGTCTAACAGTTCATAAGAAACTCCTTTAAAAACTGTCCACTCTTTAAGTTAATATGCAGAAGTGGCAATTATTATAATTACAGGTATGTTTAACAGTCCTTAGGAAACACTTTGTGTTAACATAAATATTTAAATACTCCGATATTGATTCGTATGAATAGTATGAATGCAGAGAAGAACATATTAGTTTTTGCCAATATTTTGTATGTACCGAAGACATGGACGTTGTAAAGAAGCCATACTACAATCTTACCAGATACATTATAATTTTAAGTGGTTTAAGTCTACGTCATCCAAAGTGGTTAAATTTCTTGTTAAAGATATTTAATTTTTTTACTATATTTTCTTTCATAGGTTTTCAGGTAATATTAAAATAAATTATAGTTGTTTTAAAATGAATATTATGTAGAGGTGATTAAAATTAAAAGGGCATTTTTGACAACCACAAATGTTGATTTTTAAATTTTGGAATACCACAACTAAGGCATCGATTTGTTGACCCAGTCAGCACGAAACCCTAATAACACAAGATATCTTGGGATATATATTGATAATATCCCGCAGATATCCTACGTCCTATGGATATCAAAAGGATCTCTTAAGGATATCCAAAAAATCGGTGGTTTGGATATCCTTTGGATATCTGAGGATATCCTCAGGATATCTTCTGGATATCTCTACAGACTTTCATAAATGTCCTCCAGATATCCCATAGATATCGTCAGGATATCCCACAGATATTATCAGGATATCCCACAGATATTTTCAGGATATTCTCAGTATATCTTCTGGATGTGAAGAAGATATTCTCAGGATACTGTTTTTAAAGTCATTATGAGACTACGAGTGAGAATATTCTGTGAATTAAATTTTATATAAATAAAATAAAATGCAACTTGTTTTTCGAGAAAGTTGTTTAATTTGAAAAATTATTAACTAATTTTTTTCTCATTCGTGATTCATTCCTTTATTCATATATGCTTAATATTGTCAGAAAATAAATTGGCTTTAAACAATATAAATTCTTCCCCGCAAATAACGAATAACTATTAATATTAATTATACATTAAGTGCATGAGTTTATTTAAAAACTTTGAAAAATGCGTTTCAAATCTTCATTTAAAATAAATTAGAAGCTCATAAGATTTTTGTTTTTATTATATTATTATTCATTATATAAGCTTAACAATTTTAACCTTTAAAAATATATGTTGAGATATTAAATATCCCGTGAATATCCTAAGAATATCCCACGGACATCCTGAGGATATCCCATGGATATCCTGCGATATAATATGTAGTAATTTTGGTGCAAGCAACAAAATGTCCTCTTACGGCAAGCTTGAAGGGCAACCTTGGCGCATGCTTGCTGCAAGTTTGCAAAACTTAACATGATGCGCAGTTGTAAACAGAACCTCCTAAGGCTGCGCGATAAATTTTTTAATCTTCAAAGCAGGGTGCCATTTATGATTATTTAGAAACAAATTGTTTCTAAAAAAAATTATCTTTTAATCATATACAAGCTTGCCTTAACACAGTAAAAACCTGGGCTTATTTTGATTCACAGCAAAAATTAAAACCAATGCTAAAAGACATAGAACGTGGCACCCCCTACTTGACTCATTTTTGCCGCGGATCAAAATGATCCTGCTGGCTGGATCATTTTGAGCATTTCATTCATTTTTACTGTGAAGAGGACATTTTGTTACTTGCACCAAACTTGCTACATGTTTGACTGCAATCTTGCACGGCAAGCATCCTGCAAGTTTTCGTGCTGTTTGGGGAGATGTGAATTCTTTTTCTTTCTTATGAAAATTTGAATTTAGACAGAGCAAGTGACTACAAAAATTAATAGACAAAAATTTTTTTGATATATAAATTTAGTATTAAATTTTTTTTGACCAGACAGAAAAATCCTTTTTAATTTTAATCACCTATAGTTATAAATAAAATTAGATTGCAGGATTTATAAAAGTATTGGATAATATTGACATGGCATTGCAGTGCGTTACACCAATATGTTTTTCTTTAATGTCTGCCATTCTTTACACAAATAACAATCTAAAAGTGAAACAAGTAATCACTTTAAATTCTTTCCTTTGCTTCCTCAAAGAATTTGTTTTTTTTTAATGTAAACCAATGATTACTCATAAAAGTGCAAATATGATGCTGACTTTAAAGCAAAATATTTTAAGTTAGAAAAAATTAGAGACTTATAACTTAGATGGTTTAAAAGCTGATAAAATTCTTCGTCTGATCAAGGATTTTTTTTTTACTTTTTGGAGCAATTATAACACCGGGAAGGATTCAAGAAAAAAAAATATAGAATTTTTCTATTTTCGAACTAATGTTTTTGATTACTGGCATAATTTAGAATAGTGCATGATAAAATTTTAAACTTTAACAACATAATCTTTAAGATCTTAGTTTTAATTTGCTTTTTTGAAACTTAAAAATGTTTTGAGGTTCTTGATATATGTTAAAAAATATCCAAGCATGTTTTTCTACAACTCAGCACTCCATGATTGCTTTTCGCCGCGCCGCCTCGCTGCTGAGTTGTAGAAAAACATGCTCGGACATTTTTTAATATATTTCATAAAACACAAAACATTTTTTATGTTTTAAAAATGCAAATTAAAACTAAAATCTTAAAGATTATTTTGTAAAAATTTAAAATTTTATCATACACTATTCTCAATTATGCCAGTAGTAGTAAAAAATATTAGTAGGGAAATTGTATATTTTTTTCTTGAATCCTTCCCGGTATTATATACACCGAGAAAAAAGATTACTTTGATTCAAAGAAATCAATTTCTTAGACAAATGTTTCTTTGATTCAAAGAAAATTTATTTGTTTCCAACAAATTATCTTTGATTCAAAAAAAAATTATCTTTCTTTTAAAGAAATTTGTTATTTAATTCAAATAAATGTTTCATTGACCCTATATCAATGTTAAAATTTTTTTCGATTTAATGCACAAATTTTTTTCATTTAGTGAACATTTTTTTTAATCAAAGAAATTTTCTCTGAAACTAAGAAACTTTTTTTGTTTCAAAGAAAATTTTATTTTGAATGAAAGAAAACAAGTCAAAGAAACTGGTTTTATTTAAATCAAAGAAATCTTTTCTCTGGGTGTAATTGCTCCAAAAAGCAAAAAAAACGTCCTTGGTATACATTCGGACGCAGAATTTTATCACCTGTTAAACTATCTAAGTTTTAAATCTTTAACTTTTTTCTAACTTAAAATATCTTGATTAAAAGTCAGCATCATATTTGCACTCTAAGCACGTCGAGCGTACCGACAATTTCTGACGATACTGTGTATTGTATGTAAAAATTACTATTTCCTTGTAGATAAACGCTGTTTTTGGAAAAATGCAAACTGACTGGGACACATTAATAAAAGAAAATGAAATGATTATTTTACACAAATATGGTAGAAAGTGCAGAACTTTCACTACCATATACATTTGTAGGTGTTTATTTATATGAAAATCAAATTCAGATATTAAAAAAAAAATTGTATACATAAATCATCAGGTTTTTATAATTAAATATAACTTTATTATTGTCCTCATATATTTATATCCAATTTTTTTTATATATGACAATTTTTCAGTTGCTTTTTTTGCAAATTGCTTTTTCTACTCTTTATCACTTGGCATTCCTATCTTACTTATAATTATGAGAAATGATGGTACACCTAAGCCGCTTATGTTTTTCATTGAGTGTGGCATAAATTTACAAAAAAACTATGCTCTCGTGATAATTTATAGTTATATAGCTGGTTACGTTTGTAGTTACACAATTGCAAATGGAGGTACAATTCTTATAACGTTTCTTGAGCATGCTTGTGGAATATTTGAAATTTTAGGGTAAAATCAATTAATTATTTTATTTGTTAAATAGTAAAATAATTTTTCGAAAACTGCAAATCGCATTTATAGCTTGTTGTCAGTATTAAATATGTCTACTAAATAATTATTGTTTACAGACATAAATTGAGTACTGCCATAAAAGAATATCCTGACTCTATTAATAAAGTTAGTAATCGAAAGAAACTCCATCAAGAAATTAAACTTTGTGTGGCATTGCACAGAAAACTTCTATTGTTTGTATAACAAAATTTACTATACTGTACACGGAAAGAATTTGTGTTGAGAAAATCTTCAAAAATGTGTCTAATATTAGAATTAGAAAACAGAGAAAATTTACGTACACACACTTTATTGTATACCCACACAGCACCCAAAATTCCCTGAAACTTGACAGAGCCTCACATGGCGAGGTTATGAAACTTCAATGGCAAGGTTCATACAATAAGTTTGTGTCGATGTTTAAATGTCCACATGAAAAGAATATTTACACGAAACTTTGAGGGGATATTACACTATAAATATTCACGTGCAATGTTCAGTCAATGTTGTGTCAATATTGAAATTACATTTTCGCCTAGTTATAAAAATTTCATTTACTAATATAATAAGTATAAGTGAATATTGACACAACATTAACTGATCATTGCACGTGAATATTTACAGTGTAATATTTCCTCAAAAAGTTTCGTGTAAATATTTTTTTCATGTGGACATTTAAACATCGACACAAACTTGTATGAACCTTGCCACTGAAGTTTCCTAACCTCGCCGTGTGAGGCTTTGTCAAGTTTCAGGGAATTTTGGGTGCTCTGTGGGTATATTTTGGGACATTTTCCTTAGAGTGAACAACACACTCAGGAAAAAAATTTCTTCATTGATATTGTGAATTACCAGCACAAATTTTCCGTGTACTCAGTATTTAGAAAATACATATCAAATTACGTACATTTTATTAGAAAGAATATAAAACTGCTTGAGTTATATTAATTAAAATATTTTACTTTTCGAGATTTATCAATGATATTCAGACTGTTTATTCAACTCCCTTTCTTTTTTTCTTTGGGTTCAGTGCAATTTTGTTAAGCGTTACGGGAATTCAAGTAAGTATCTTACATTAATAAAAAGAAGTTTTTGTTTTCATTAACTGTAATGTTAAAAAAAATGTTTGTAATTACGTGCGTAAAAAGGAAATATGCATATAACTACATTCATTTTTTTCAATGGGATAGGCTCTAATCGTATCTTGTGATTTAGTGTGTGATGAGTTTAAAGCATTCTGGGGATACAATAAGGTTTGGCTTTTACGTAATGTTCCAAGTGTGTAATATTTTTTGTTTAACTCTACCAACTCAACATTTACTGGATAACAGCCTTAGTCTTTCAAGCTCCATGTACAACTTATTTTTAATCATTTTAAAATTTCTTAAATAACAGCAGTAGTAAAAAAAATCAAAACATTAATTTATTCTTTACAAGTTTTCTTTCATACACGATTTCAGCTTATTAATCATTTATTATATCCATAATAATTCTACAACTTTCCTTTTCTTTCTAAACTATACTATACTTCCCCCACAGCACCTAAAATTACACTAGTGTTGTCAAGATTGCCTTAATATTGCCATTATTTCTGCAATGTTTTCATATTAATAAAATAATGGGAAATATAGTATTGAAAATAATAAATGGACACTTGAAGTGTTCATTTATGCAATAATAATTGTCACAAATTAAATTGTAATTATGTATCACCTAATAAAAAATTGAAATTTAATTTATCAAAATTATTGCATAAATGAACAATCCAACTGTCCGCATTTATTATTTTCAATAGTTTATGTTTATTTCACCATATTTTATAAATACTCAATATAATTTTTCATCTATACTTGAATCCTATACATATCCTTTACATTTTTTTAATAATTAACGATTGTCTTCACATTGCTGTGCTATGAAAAACAAATTATTATAACTAATAATTGATTTTATTAGATACAATGCAGATTGGTACCATCTGACAACTGAAACAAAACAATTGTTAATCGTAATAATGAGAAAAGGATCGGAACCAACTACATTTGTTGTTGGCAAAATATTCACACTTTCATTACAGTTTTTTACAAAGGTATAAATTTCTTTTTTTAATTAAATGTAAAAATATTTGAATTTTGTGTCCAACCTCAGTTAACCCTCTGCCTGGCCAGTTGACCGTTATCGACAAAAAGCGACAATTCGGTCGCCTGGTGGGGACTATGGGAAATACATTCTATAGCGTTAGAGTGGGGATAACCCAGGACAGGGAGAGGGTTAATTTCGTTTATAAATGATTTTTTTCATTATTCTTCCTCACTACTTTTGTATTTTGAGAGAAAAAATTACTAATAGTATATAAATTGAAAATAAGAAAGTTTTCACGCATTGAAAAAATTTTAGTGCAGTAGCTACCCCAAACGAAAAATTTCTATACTTAATTAACTTCATATTTAATATATAATAAATATGAAGTTAATTAAGTATAGAACTTTTTCGTTTGGGGTAGCTACTGCACCAAAATTTTTTCAGTGCAATAATTTGTGTTAACATTATGTTAAAATTAAAAATATGAATCTTGACTTTACAAATTTCAACAAATTACTAACCATAAGTGGTAAATTGGTAATTTATTATGTACTTGATTAAAGGTTCTCCAAACATCAATGTCATATTTCACTGTATTGATGTCTGTACGAGAGTAAAAATAAACTTCAACTGTTGTTATAAGATACTACTCTGAAAGTTTTTTTTATATTTTTAATAATATAGACAAACTGTTTAGAGCAGCACACAAAGTGAAAGTTATTTAATTACGTTATTATTGATGATGTTATTTTTTAGCTTCAATTTGTTATTAATTATTTTGTGTATTGGTTGTAAAAAAGTTTTATATCAACATACAATTGTTTATTTATTTTTCAAAATAAATAAAATAATTTCGTAGCCTTAATCTGAAACTATTTTAAAATCGATAAACAGAGTAATTAAATTGTTTTGAAGTATTTCATTGTTAAAAAATTGTAGTAAATAATTAAAAGAAAATGTATATGTAGCGATTTATAATAGTCACGATTATTTTCCAAGCAAATAAAATTATTATAGAAAGCATAAATATGGATTTTATTTTTTGTTCCCTAAATATATTTATAAAAAAACGTTCTGAAAGCTTCCGAAGATTAAGTAAAGAGTTACAAGTAGTTTTTTGAAAAATATCTGACATCTATTTTTTGTTTTACCTAAAAAACCAAAATCGAAGCCAGAAACGCACCGTGGGACATAGTTGCTATTATAACAGATTTTTCCCGTGTGGAAAATTGGCAATGGCCCCGTGAGGGGCACTCGTGGATTGCCCTCGTGCCGCATGGAAACCATAGGGGCAATCCACGTGGAGCCCTCAAAGGCGTGACATGCTTTCCCTCATGGATACCCTCATGGAAAATTTATTATATTTTATTTATAAATTTTATAAATTTATATTATAAAAGTTAATTAATAATAAATAAGCTTAAGTTATGAATAAATAACATATTTATTTAATAATTATTCAATTTTAAATTAAATTCTTACTCAAATTGAATTTATTAATTAACGTTCTAATTAATTAACTGTCGGATATAATTAAAAGTAATAATAAATTAATTAATTAAAAAATTAAAAAATATGTAATTTATGCATACTATTAACGGATATTTTCATTTTTCAATTAATTCATACATAGAATTAATGATTAAACGCAAACCTGAGAAATAAATAAATCTAACGCATGGGGGGAATCGAACCTACGACCTACGGACTATGAGTCTAACGCTTTACCAACTACGCTACGCACGCTACTTCAAAACGAATGCTAACTTCTTGATGCTATTTAAACTTCAAAAATACCTAACAAAGAAAAGTGCTTAACATCATTTAGTTAAAGTTAAGATATTAAATTATATTTTCCAATCAAATGCAATTTATAAAATATAATTAATTATATGCTTTATGATTATTATCATGAATCATCTCAGGTGAATTTTCAAAAAAAGTGTAAATATATTTTTATTAAAGACGCGTTTTTCGTTGTTCTGAATCATTGGAAACATTCATTTTTTGTTGACGAAAAAATATTTGAATTTTGGACTTAGAAAATTTTGCTAATCGACCATGAGGGCGATCCATGCGGGCCCCTACGATGGCCTTCATCTATTTTGCCATAAGTGTGAGTGTTATTTTCAAAAAAAGTGTAAATATATTTTTATTAAAAACGCATTTTTCGTTGTTTTGAATCATTGGAAACATTCATTTTTTGTTCATGAAAAAATATTTGAATTTTGGACTTAGAAAATTTTGCTAATCGATCATGAGGGCGATCCATGCGGGCCCCTACGATGGCCTTCATCTATTTTGCCATAAGTGTGAGTGTTTTTTTCAAAAAAGTGTAAATATATTTTTATTAAAAACGCGTTTTTTGTTGTTCTGAATCATTGGAAACATTCATTTTTTGTTGATGAAAAAATATTTGAATTTTGAACTTAGAAAAATTTTTGAGCAGGGCACCGTGAGGGCAAATAGTAAGGGCCCTGCTGGAGCCTTCGTGTATTTCCATAACTTTGTACATAGATTTTTAAAAAATGTCACCCAATGTTTATTTCAAGTGCTTTAAAATGTTATTTAATGCATTCTGAAGTAAACATTTATTATACAAAAAAAAAATTTTTTTTTAACTTAGACAAATTTTTGAGCAGGGCACCGTGAGGGTAAAGACCGGGCACCCTGCTGGTGCCCTTGTGGATTTCCAAAACTTGGTACTTAGATTTTTTTAAATGTCACCTAATGTTTATTTCAACTGCTTTAAAATGTTATTTAATGCATTCTGAACTAAACATTTTTTGGTAAAAAAAAATTTTTGTTTTTGGACTTAGACAAATTTTTGAGCAGGGCACCGTGAGGGCAAATAGCGGGGGCCCTGCTGGTGCCCGCATGGATTTGCCCTCATGGATTTTCCACTTGGGACCCTGCCGGGGGCCCCTATCACGCATGGGACGAACGGGGCGTTTTCCACACGGGTTCTTACTATAAAAGCATATACACTATATGTATCTTTAGTACGAACAAATATTATACTAAAAATTCTCAAATATTTGCTCCATTAGTAAGAAAAGTTCATACAAAAGTAGCAGAATAGTCTTTCATACTATAAAGCCTTGATTTTTCTCTCCGTGCATGAAATAAAAAAGAAAACGAATATATCTTTGTCCTCTTCTAACTCATGTACTCGTTTCAAAATGAGGGGATTCCCACCGTACAAAATTAGACAGCTTACTTGCCGAGGCCTGAAGCTGAAGTCAAGGCTACCAACGCAAACACAACAAAAGCAGACGATGAAATCATGTTTTAGGCCAACGCACAATGAATTCGCGAATCTATTGTGCGTTGACCATTTTGTAGTTACGTTGGTAACCCTAAGGTTGGTTCCACAAGAGTACTATAAGACAAAATCGTAAATCATATCATCTTAAAAACAAAACAAAAAGATTCGTGAGGTTGATTGATTCCACAATAGGCAAAATCGTATCATCTTAAAGACGATCTTCATGACTCAACACTGTATTTGCCATCTGTCAAGGTCACTGGGCCATAAGTGAGTAAAGGTGCTTTTATACCTCCAGTATTTTGGTCAATCAATCGGCTGGATTGAATTTTCACGGCTGTATCACTGAATTTGATTGGCTCTGACTAATATTCCATTTCCACCGTGAAAATTGAATATTTTTAGAGCCAATCAAATTCAGTGATTCACCGTGAAAATTCAATCCAGCCGATTGCTTGATCAAAATACTGGAGGTATAAAAGCACCTTAAGTGACAAGTTCGTTAAAGGGAATTAACTTTCGAATGAGAGCGCATGTGCAGTGTAATATAAGTCTCTCTCTAACTAATAGGAAAAGTGCTACTGAGAAAGTAGCCGGCATTAGGTTGTTCAAGTTGGGTGGGGAGAAATCCAAAATGGCGATTAAGCGGTGCACCAACAAACATAAGAAATATGTACAGGATGAAGTCGAATTTTTTTAATATCTCGCTTAAATGAAATTTTGGAACCTAGATGTATTAGGATTTGAGTTTCTATTTTTAATTACGTATTTAATGCAATAATAAAAAACGATTTTATTTTTTAAAGAAATTTTAACACTCGAACATTAAAAAATAATTATTTATTTGTTATAAAAAATATATTTCTTAAATTAAATAATAAATTATTATTTCATTTTGTTTAGGAAAATTATATTATTTTCCTATTCAAAATGTATAAATACTGATTTCAAATATAATTATAATTCTTAATATATGTTTTTTGGATATATTTTTGTTTATTAACAGAAATAGAATACAAAAATATTTCATTATTAGTAAAATCAAAAATTTTTATGACAAATTATTTAGCATGATCGAGTGTAGGGCGAATTATATTATAAGAACGCCCCTGAAGAAACTAAGCCGTGCGAGGTGTCATGGCTACTGCTGCAGTATAAGGAAAAATAGTTTTTCACAATTTTCCTTATAACTTCTTTATTTTTTATAGAATTAATTCCAAACTTTTGGAAAAACTTCTTTAATATGTAAGGAAAAACTTTGTCGCGAGAAGTTTTTCCAGAATGAAAATTCCCTCGATAACTTTTTCAGTAGAAGGTTGAAAAACACATATTTTCAAAATTAAAACTTTATTATTATTTAATATTAAATAATAACAATTTTCTTGATTTTTTTATGATTGTCGTCTTTAATAGTATAAACTGAATAAAATGCACCAAATTTCAAAAAAAATCCATTAATATTTGGAAAAATTACGACGAGTTATGTTTTAAAAGTCCATTAAATTATCGTAAAAAAAATTTCCACTTTTTTACCTCTATTAATTTTAATATTCGTTTTATAAAAAAATCTCAAAGGAAAAAAAGGTTGCTAAAAAATAATAATGGTAAACATTTATATTTTTGTTTTCAAAATCTTTTACCCTACAGAGAAAGTCCGTGTACCTAACTTATATGAGTTATTAAAACTCGATAAGTGTTTTTTAATGAAATCTGTTAATTACATTTTAAGTATTACTCGTCCATCCAAACTATAGCAAAGAAAATTTGTCTTCATTCGATATTTGAGCTTCATGCTATTAATTGTGTTTTAAAATTTGAAAAAAAATATTTTTGAAATATATGTACAGTGAATTGTAACACATAAGAAAATTTAATTTTTGAAAAATTATTCCTTGTTACATTTTTATAGTTTTTCTATATAGTTCGTGCTATTTGTGGTGTGTGAATAATAGTAATTTGAAATTGATTTTTTTGTGTTAAATAAGACAAGATATAATTTAAAGGTGAGTGTATTTCGTAAAAATATTATACAACTGTCTCTGCAGAGATAGAAAATTTCTGCTTTCTTCTCTTACCCAAGAAGCAAGTAATATTACAGTAACATTACAATAATATTACGTGCTACATGAGTACCATATATTTACATTCTCGAAAGAAGAGTTCAATTAAGTTTATTTTCGCAGATAATTATGCCATCAACTTGTGCCGCTGTTGGATGCAAAAATGTACAGGACAAAAGAAACCCTTTGTTCAGGTTCTTTAGATTTCCGAAAAATGAGCTGTATTGTAAAAAGTGGCTAAACGTTTGCAAAAATAAAAACATTAATGTAAAAAACGGTGAGTTAAAATAAATTTATTAGATGGAGATAAGTACTATAAATTTGTATATTGAATTAATTTATTTTTCAGCTAGGATTTGTTCAATGCACTTTCGGGCTGATTCTTATAAGCCAATCTCATTCGTGGATGAAATTTTGCAAACATATAAAACAACTGTGAGGACACTTCGTGATGATGCTATTCCCACTGAAAATCTTTGTTTTCCGGATGCAATTGTTTGTGAAAATAATAATATCAAATCTTCACAAAATGCGAAAAGAACTTCTCCTATCACATCTTCGCCAATAGCATCTTCCTCAATAGCATCTTCGTCAATAGAATCTTCGCCAATAGCATCTTCACCTATCACATCTTTGCCAATAGCATCTTCGCCAATTGCATCACAACTTCTCGATAATGATTTTTTAAATTCATTCCAAATTTTAATAAATGAAATATTTGTGGATTTTTGTAAACCAGAGTATCGCGAAGATTTGCAAAAACATTTGCACATTTTAAAAAAAGACTTTGAAACAGAAATAGAAAACGAATTAAAAGATGAAAGCTTCTTCGAAATGATAGTTCAACGTTTAGATAAGTCAGAAGAGAAAGTAAAAAAACTTCAAGAAAGTATGGAAAAGATGGAAAAAAAGTTGAGAGTAGAAGCAAATAATTCAAATAATTTAAATTAAAAGAACGGGCCGAAGAATATTTTAAAGATTTATCAAAGAGAAAGGAAAAAGAAGGAGTTTCAAAGAGACACAGTAATTATTACAAACAAAGAACAATTTATGACGAAACCAAATTAAAATTAGCTGCAAAAGAAAAAAGTGACATTATAAACGTATGCAAAAATTCTTATATTAATAATGATTAAAATACATTTTTAAAACATATTTCAATTATTTAAAATTATTTAAATATTAAAAAATATATAATAATATTATTAAATGATATATTATTAAAATAGTTAATAATAAATTATTTTAAAAAAACTACAAAATTATTGTAAATGTTACAAAAATAAATAAAAAATAAACGCGACCGTGCGAGTTTTTTTTAACCCAGCATGATTGATGATTGTACAAGCGCAACCTTAAGGCCAGGTCCAAGTCGTGTCAGCTGTTCCATTGAAACTTCAAAGGAACAGCTGACTCGACTTGGACCTGGCCTTAAATGAATGGCCCGTGTGTTTTAATGTCATAAAAATTTCCCACAACATAACGATGAAAAAAATTGTTATAAATAATTTATTTAAATTGTTTATACGCAAATCTGAAAATTTAAATAAAAACAAAAAGCAATTCATATTTATGTACCCGTAATTTTATTTATTTTATATATTTAATAAGAATATTGTGAAATACTATTGTTTTCATATAGAAAATATGTATAAAACAAAAAACAGTATTAAATAAAACAGATGATATATAAAATATATAATATTTATATATAATGTATGTACAATAGTGTATAAAATACAATATAGATATTTGTAGATGAAATTATTTTTCGTCCTAGTTATTTCTATCTCTGTATACAATATATATATTCACACATAATAAACAATAGAAACGAAATGTAAAATTCGTATTTTTTTTTTTTTTCATTAACATTTCACGAAATTCAAATGGAATATAATTGTCTATTAATATACAATTTGATGAATCACTATATTTAATGACAAGACAACCATAAAGCTTAAAAGAAAACCATTTGTAAAACTGTTGTTATTCGTGCGATTTTTCAAATGGTCCTTGTCTTAATTAATTAAAGATAGTTCTCCTATCACAATCTTTGTCAAATGTTAATTCTGTAAATTAAAGAGATTAACAAGGAGAAATTATTTTAGTGAAATGATCTTTTATTTAAATAATAATAGTGGTCTAATAAAAATAATAATAATAATATTTGTGAAAATAATTTTTTTTTAGAAAATATAAAAATGATAATTATTTTCAAGAGACAATTTTTTTTTTCTTAAAAACAAAACTATTTTAAAATTGCTTAGTTTATTATTTACAAGAGTTTTTTCATTATTTTACTTCTTATTTAAAATTTTTAAAATGTTCTATATTTAAAAAATTTGTTTTTGAAAAACAAGTTCATTTAAGAAAATTTTTTTTATCTTTTTTCTTCATTGAAATCTTTAAAATTATTTCATTATTAACTTGCTCTCAAAAGATTGTCGCTAGGTGAACAACTTTTTTTATTTTTTTTTTTTTTTAATAATTCAAACAACAATATTGTAATAAACTGTTTTTCACTCGAGAAAACGAGTATTGTATGAAACAGCATTTTTTTTTATCTATCATTCTTACACTCCCATATTTAAAATATAAAAACAATAATCATTTTAACCAGTTCTTTGTTAGCGATGAGCTTGATAACTGATCTTTAAAAAAAACTTAGTTAATTAAAATACAATATAATTTTTGTAGTCAGTTCAGTATCCATTTCAAAACATATATGTATGTATATATCTCTTTTCTAATTATTTTTTCGTAATACTTTTCCCTTATTATGAAAAAATTGTCTTTTTATGCCTAAGTGCGTAGAAAAATTAATTCGAGCACAATTTCTTTATTAATGACCAACTTTCATAATATTGGACATTATTTTGGCAAACTAGTTTCATTGCTTAATCACAATTCTTTAAAAAAAAAAAATCTTTAAAATGAACATTACAAAAGAAATTTTAAAGAAGAGAATCTTAATATAAATTAAATTAAATGATATTAATTTATATTAAAATTCAATCTTTATAATTTCATGAAAATAATGCTCATTTATTGAGTATCCTAATTATTGCACTGATTTTTATAATGCCACACTAAAAATTTGTATTTAAAAAAATATGAATTAAAAAAAAAGGATTCTATAAGGGTCATTCGACTGACTTTCGTCTAAAAGTGATTGTAATCAAATTATTTAAAAAAATTTGAAAATTAATATCTTCAAAACGAAGCAAAACACCTTCGTGAGATCTTAATGAAAATTAAAGAATATTATTAAAAATCTAAGTGCAAAAACCTCAAATTTTTCGGAGTACCGACAAAAAAGTTATAAGTAAAAAAAAATTTTTGAAATTCTTTCAAGAAAATTTTTTTTTAAAATCATATATCATCTAAAAATAATAAATTTTTGTAATAATTCTTTCGTTCCTGTGTTGCAGAATAATGTGATTTATGTTTTTGGTGAGAGTTCCAACATCTAATTTTTAATATTTTTTTAATAATAGCGTTTTTAAAAAAATTTTAAAATTTAAAGTTACGAAATCACATCGTGAACCTCTTACATTTGATAATTAATATTTTTAAAGGAAATAAAATATTTACCATAATATTGTGATTAATGAACTCAGGGAATCATTGAGTTTCACATATATTAAAACTAGTTTTTTTAAAAATTTGGTCGCAACAACTTTTTGACAAAAGTCAGTGGACTGACCCATAAGTCTTTATTTTCAGAGAGAAAGAGAGAGAGAAAGAAAAATCAGGCAAGTCTGTGCTTTTAGTTAATTCGATTTTTTTGGACTTTTCAAATTTCCATTGACTTTTAATGGTGGACATCGTGTCGAAACATTGAGTCGAAAATAATTCCATGTTTCTCTGAGAGTGCATATTAAATTAAAAATTATCACGGACGGGTTTTCATATTCATTTGGTACAATGCCATCAACTGATGATTCAAAAAAGCTGAACAACGGAAACCATATTCTCGTTCGATTTGAATCGCGTTGCATTAATGCCTGATTATTTGCCAATGTATGATAATATAAGAATAATCGCGATGTTATATAAAATGCAACGAACACATCAATCGAATAATGTTCGTGTGCGGCTAAAATAAAAAATATACCAAACATATTGAGCATCCACGTGAAAGTATGAAGAAAATATAATTTTCTCGGTGTATCTGGAAAAAAAAGAAGATAATTTATTAGAAAACCCCTTTTCTTTCTATTTGTTTTAATAAATCATTAAAATATTAATTTTATTAAATCGAATGAAATTTTTTTTTTCTCCAATTTATTGAGAATAAATATCAATATTGAAAAAACAACTTCTTTGATAAACTAATAAAGATCTAAATATCTAATTGAAAATTAAATTATGATTGAAATTTATTTTTTAGTCTAATAAGAATTGTTTTTTTTTTTAAATTTCATTAAAATCGAATCTTAAAAATTAAAATTCTGTAAAATAGAATTATTAATTTAAATAATAAAAATATTATTATTTTGGAACTTACATTCAGTAATAAAAAAGTTTAACATAGTTAATGCCACAGTGTGTCCGCTGAACATATAATCGCCGCATGTTCTTACTCCTTGAATCGACATACCAGCACCTCTCCAAATTTCATAAGCCATTGCTATTTTATTATAAAGTTCACCGTATGCAGTCCTGTGAATTTTAAGATAAATTATTTTTAAATTTATTATAATATTTAATAGTTAATAGTTTTTCATTAATTTTAATATTTTTATATAATGGAAAAGAAGAGCTAAGTTAAATATAAAATTAAAAATTGGATTTTTTTCCTCAAAAATTATTAGTATTTGAATCACAGAAAATTGTGAAAAATTCAACTACATTATATGAAAATACAATTAAAAGTATTTTCATATTCAGAAATATTATTTAAAATAATTTTATTAATTAATTAATTTTTCACATTATACAGGTAAGTCTAAAAAACAAATTTACTTTTACAAATTCACTTTGAAATCTTTTTTAATAATAAATTATTATTAAAAATTTTTTTTTCATTATTATTATTTATTTTTTAAATAAACCATCTTTTTTAATATAACCAATAATCAATTAAATACTAAATAAATTAATTAATTAATATATAAGTAAGTAAATTGAGTTAATATGAACAATTGAGGGGCCGGAAACAATAACAACCAGTACGCTCGGCCGGTCGCTTTGAAGCCAATCAACACCTCAAAATTGAAACTCAAAATTCGGATTTTTCAGAAGCACTACTTTATAGAAGATAAAAAAACATATCTTTTTTCTCTTAGAAACTTTTTTTTAAATCCAATATTTTTGGTAATAAAAGCAAAAAGCCCAAAAAAAATTTTATCAAATGTAATGAAATTTTAAAATGTAAACGATTATTTTTTTCACAAATAGTAATAAATTTGTTTACAACTTGGTATACATACTAGATTAGGTCTAATAAAGCCATTAAAACATTAGAAAAGGCAAAAAAAATTATTGTTTTATTATTTTTAATTAAAAATTGAAAGAGGTCGATATTCACATTTTCTAACTTTTGACGATAAAATGTCTGCAGGGAATTTCAAAACTGTAAGAACTTCTCTTATAATATTTATATTATTTATATTTATTTATATTATATTTATAATATGCGTATTTTAAATATTTACAAAATATCAAGTATGAATTATAAATGTTACTAATATTAATATTGTTAACAATTCTAATACTAATGTACATACATATAAGATACTGATCACAAAAAATAAACATAACTTTCTTCTTATTTCACTAATTTCTTATTATTCGAACCGAAATAATTTCACATACTTCAAGAAAGAGTCTCCAGCGGGTTAAGTGAACGCGATGGGCTATCCGCTTTTTCTTATAAATTAATTTTTTTAAAAACTATAACAGGAATTGATTTGGAATTTTGCAGAAAACTTCCTGAAATAGTAGTGAATAAATATTATAAGAGAAGTTCTTACAGTTTTGAAATTCCCTGCAGACATTTTATCGTCAAAAGTTAGAAAATGTGAATATCGACCTCTTTCAATTTTTAATTAAAAATAATAAAACAATAATTTTTTTTGCCTTTTCTAATGTTTTAATGGCGTTATTAGACCTAATTTAGTATGTATACCAAGTTGTAAACAAATTTATTACTATTTGTGAAAGAAATGATCGTTTATATTTCAAAATTTAATTAAATTTGAGAAAATTTTTTTTTGGGTTTTTTGCTTTTATTATCAAAAATATTGGATTTAGAAAAAAATTTCTGAGAGAAAAAAGATGCATTTTTTATCTTCTATAAAGTGAAGCTTTTGAAGAATCCGAATTTTGAGTTTCAATTTTTTCACCTTTTTGACGTGTTGACTGGCTTCAAAGCGACCGGCCGAGCGTACTGGTTGTTATTGTTTCCAGCCCCTCAATTATCAATTAAAAAATTCATATTACAGGGATATTATTTTATTTACATAAAGTAGTTGAAAAGGTGAATTATTTTTCCAAAATAGGTGACAAAAACATTTGTCTTAACAATAAATTGAAGTTATAATCGAATTAATTGAAAATTTTGAAAACTCTTTGAATTCAATAATTTAAAAACTATTTAAATTTCTCTCAATAGATTTTTACAAATAAAAATTACAATCAATTGAAATATGAAGCAATTCTATGTATAAATTCAATTCAAAAACTTTTAAAACTTTTACCAATAAAATTATTTACTATATTTCGACCAAAGTAGTTGCTAACTAATTTAAAAAAAATTATAATTGCAAAAAAATTTGTTTATCTTTCTACAATAAAAAATAAAAAGAAATTTTTATAAAATTTTTATTATTTTAAAATATGAATTTTAAAAATAGAAAAAACAATTTCTTATTTTGCAAGAATTACAAATTTTTTATCATAACTCTTTTTATTTTTTATTCTAGAAAAATACATAAACAAAATTTAATAAATTAATTTAATTATTTACTTGAAAACTTTTTTAATTCTATGAAAGTTAAATTTTCAAAATTTATTTTTTAATTATAATAATATTATTATCAATGCTAGTCGATAATTCGAAAAAATAAATGAATGAAGAGATTTTTTAAAAAAAAAATATTATCATAAAGTTTCTTATTTACATACCAATTCCATTCTTCGTGAGTGTTTCTTGGATGACACTGCAAATGAGCACCTGGTACTGACAAAGAAGTGATAAGCATTGTAACACATCTCAATAGGAAGACTGTGCCAGAAAGAGCGAAAAACCTTCGCAATAAAATAAACCTGAAAAAAACCATCAAAAATTTTTTTTTTCAAAACGATAATTACTATCAAATTTTTAAATTTTAAAGATAAAAGATCATTTTTCTCAATTAATGTACTGATCGATTTTTTCAGAATTTTTTGTAAAAAAAAAACTGTTTCAAATTTAACAAATTTTAAACCTAGTCCGGTCATGAGCAAACGATTTTTTCAATATTTTCAAAAAAATTTTAAATTCTTAGGCCTCGGATTATATGACTATTATGGCTTTTTCCGACTTTTTTTCGAAAATACGACTTTTCTCGACTTATTTTAATATAAGTTTCGATTTTTTCGACTTTTTTTTACATTTTTTTTTTACAAAATATTTAATAAAATGCGTTTTCTTTTAGTCTTAAACTATTTGTCGAATGAAAGAATTTATGAAATTAAATAATTGTTTTAAATTTTAAAAAAATTAGCACCGAAAATTATCAAAAATTTCAATTCAAAATCACTTCGAATTCAATTACTTTCAAATATTTCAATTAAACACCTTCTAAAATTTCCCATCTAAAACTTTCGGAAATTTAATAATTGTAATTATAACTCTTCCCAAATATTATTTTTAATTATTTTTATAATATTCTTCGAAAATTCAATTATCAAAAACTATTTTTCACTTAAAAAATTTTCAAATTCTATTTTTGTCAGCTATTTCTAATAAATTTTTCAGTAACAGAAATCATTAAAAAAATTTAATTAAAAATCACTTGAACTTCAATTAAATCACTTGAAGTATAATTATTTTCCAAAATCTCAACAGTAAATCTTTGAAAATTCAATTACTTTTAAAAAATGTTATCTAAAATTATTTGATAAATTATTTTTAGTTCTGTAAAATTTTAATTTCTGTTAAATAAAAACTCAAAGATTGAATTGTTGTCAAAAATTTAAAAAAAAAAAAATTACAGTTGTTGCAATTTTCAGAAAATTTATTTCAAAATCTTTTTTGCAATTCAATTATTTAAAAATCTGTAAAATTTAATTATGGACCGAAATTTTTTTTACCATTCAATATTTGGAAATTATGACAAAATTTTCAATTCGATTAAATTGCTTAAATCAGACTTCAAAAAATTATAAAAATGGAACTTTAAGAATTTTTTTTTTTGGAAATTTAACCTACTTAAATAAAATTTTAAAAATTTGTCTTACAATTAGTTCAATTCTAAAATATTCGAAATAAATTTTCTTGCAGAATTATTCTCATTACAAAATTAATAAAATGAATTTAATATCTAATAACATTAGTTATTTAAAGTAAAATATATTTGTTAACTAATTAAATTTTGTTAAAATAAAAAATCGACTTTTTCGTCTATTTTTGAAATGTAAATTGACTAAAACGATTTTTTTGTGCCTTAAAGTTGATCCGAGGCCTAAATTTTTAAAAAATTCCTCCGATTTTTTTTTATACAACAAACATTTATATATTTTGATAGGCTAATTACGAAAATCATAGTGATTATATCTGAAAATTTTAATTTTATGGCGAAAACCATAAAAAAAAAAAAGTTCTAAAATTTATGATTTTTTCCGTTTATTGAGTAAAATATGCAAAATTAGAAAAAAAAATTAATCTAAAGTCGTAGATTTTACTGAAATACATTTTTTTGAAATTATTATTATTATAATCATATAGAATATACTATGCATAAATAAAATGTTTGCTTGCAATTTAAAATTTTTTATATTTCTATTGTTAAATTGTACGATTTCATGAATTTTCTAATATTAAATTTTAATAATAATAATAATAATAATAGTAGTAATTATTGTTATTATTATTATTATTATTATTATATTTTTTAAATAAATTAAAAATCGATGGAACTTTTTTCTAAGAATATTTCCTCTTTTTTTGTACGACTTACCTATATTTGTGAAAAATGAGAACAATCAACCAAATGGCAAAAAGTACCGTTCCAGTTACTTCGCACATATCAAAAGCCCATGGAATATGCGGTACATTATCCAAGAAGATATCAGGTAAAGGGGGATACTTCTTCATGTCAGGCACACGATCATGAACAATCACCATCACAAAGGCAGTAATCCAAGTAACGATAAATAAATATCCTAAACTAATAAACGCCTTCCATATTTCCGGAGGTAGATGAGAAGCGTGTCCGTCTTCGGAAACAGAAGCTGAGTAAAATTCATGTTCCACCGAACCCTCATTATTTGTTCCACCCGTACTAGGAATCTACGCAGGAAAAAAAATATTTCATTTCAAAAAAAAAAAAAGAAACCGAGAATATAAAATTACATTCGTCAAATTAAAGCATTTCTCTATTGTTAATTTATTAAAAAGCTTTTTTTTTTTAAGATATTAAAATTTGAATTTCAAATTAAAATTAATTATTTTCAATTTTCTTTTTTGGAAATTTAAAAAAAAAAAAAAAAAAAAGAAAATTACCTCTTGTCTTTGTTGGGAATAAAAATTAGTCGTTGAAAATAAGTCTATGTGACCCAATTCAAAGAGAAGGGCAATATTGTCTCTTTGTAATTGTTTGATACTGATATATAGCCTCTTTATGTCGCCAATTTTTTTGATATTCATTGCCGATGATTTTAAATCTTCTTCCTTTAATGTGAGAAGTGCTTTTCCATCGATATCATGTACCACACGAAAAAGATGAGAAAATCTTCCTTGTCCAATTTCTTCCAACCATATTGATACATCTTCCGATGTCCACTGTGTTACGTTCTTCGTTGGCATCTTCATTTTTTTTTTTTTTTTTTTTTTTTCTCGTTTGTTTCTTTTCAATAATCTATTACCTCAGCCTGGACACAAAAAAAATAAAATCAATTTTTAAGCAAACATACATTTTTAATTTTTTAAATGAAATTTTTATTTATTATTAGGCCTATTTTTTATACATTATCGTATTATTATTATTATTATTATTATTATTATTATTATTATTATTATTATTATCAATAAATATTATTGATTTGTTCAAAAATAATTTTTCAATAGACCTAATGAAGTGTAAAGATGTGAACCAATTTCAATAATGGAAAATTACTTAACGACTTTAGTCATTATAATCACAAACGTAATTCAATTACATTTTCGAAAACATAATAGTTATTTATAATAAATGACTAATATAAATGAATTCTTATTTATATTCTAAATAAAAATAAAAAAAAAACAAAGAGAAATAATAATATTTTTATAATAAAGAACAGTAATCTACATTATATAATAATAATAATAATAATAAATAGTTTCGTAAAAAAATAATAATAATCAATAATAACAATAATTATTATTGTAAAGACAATAATTATTAATACACTTCAAAGCACTAAAATTTTAAAAACATCGAACTTTTTTTTACTAGATAATAATAATAGTAATAATCACTATCGACAAAGATTTGAAAGTTATTAATATTCAACTTTAACTACGTAGTTTTGAACAGATGAGAGTAATTTTTTTAAATAAGTTTTTGAAACAAAGCTTATTGACATTGAACTATCTACGAGTGTTTACAAAAAAAAAAAAAAAAAGAACAAAAAAAATAACAAAGTATCAATCCATTCTTTGTATATGTGCGCTCTAGAATAAAATTATCGTAAATTACAAGATAAAATATTGACAAACTGATATTTTAGTACAATATAATATTAAGTTTCACTTTTCTTAAAACTTTTGTCACATTTTCTAGAAAATTTCAATTATTTAAAAATTATATAATTTTTCCATAATTCAAATTTATGTTTGAAAAATAAAAATTAATATTCCAAATTTTAATATCTTATTTAATAAATATTAATGTACATTTAATAAATGTAATGATTATTTTAATTTCAGTCTAAAATTTACATTTATACTATTCTCAAAATTTACATTTGAAAAAAAAAAAAAAAAAAAATTAAAAAAATATAATAAATAAATAATTTAATTAGAATAGTGGACTTGGTACTATAGTGATTTAACAAAGAATTTTTCTAAAACATTATAAGAGCGATGACTTTATACAATAATTTAATGATAAAAATGTTGAATAAAAAGAAAAAAATAGATTTTATTTAACAAATTTAAATTTTCTCTTACCTTATATAAAAAAGAAAAATTTCTTGCTAAAATAAAAAAAACCAAAACAAAATTTTAATCTTATCTATAAAAATTTTCTTCCTCGTTTTCACTCACATAAAGTAGAACATTAACTGTATATTTTTGTAATAAAAGTCTATTAATTGAATTTTCATAGCACAGGCAATTTTGCAATATTTAAAAAATGTTAAAAATTTGAATTTTTTTTTTATAATTTAAAACAAATTTTTTAATTTTTGGGGTAGAAAAAAAAATAATTTAAAAAAAAGACAACAATTATGATAACATAACCTCAATAAAAATGTATTATAACACTTGCGTGCTCTTCTATTTAATCGTCGTTATGTTCTGGAAGAATAAAACAGTAAAATCGTTTAATAATCTTTTTTTTTTTTACTTAAAGTAATTTCTCGAAGAAGAGTCAGCAGGTGTCATAATACTTTTCGTTTTTTTTTTTTTAAATGACAAATCAGTGGAATGGAATGTCAATATTCTAACCTTATATTGTTAAATTGTAATGGGCACAAGATTTCATAATTACCTTTTGCCTTGTCAATATATTAAAAATTGCCATCAGAATATTTTTGTTTTCTTAAAATTCCTTCTACGCTGCATCCTTTTGTTGGTTAAGTCACTTAATTTTTACGGAACCTATTTTTTTTTTTTTTTTTTTAGGAGTTCAGTGAGAATTCCATCTATATACAATTATATATATGTACGCGAATAATACAATATACAATACATACTAGCTATAGTATATACGGTATATACTATATATACCATATAATCATACTACATATATACTGCACACAAATACACACATACATACATATTCCTGACATTCTTCTGCTTCCAATATCCCTTTCAGAGAAACATTGAAATAATATTTTTAATCCATGACACCGCGATAAGGTTGAATTTTCTTTTATTTTCCGATTGTAAAAAAAGTAAATTTTAATGACATGTTTACGATTTTTTTTTTTGAAATTTCATTGCGATATTAGAATTTATATTTTATGTTTTCCAATCTCGATGCAACTTAAAATTTTCGTAATTTGACAATTTTGAAACAACGTTTCTTGTGGAAAAAAATTTAATGAAATCAAAATATTATTGATTTTTTTTTTTTTTTTATAAACAAATTTAAAAACACTTGTGAAGTTATCTGCATAACGATGCGTATATAGAAGTACCAACATTGTGGAAATTTAAGATAATTCGAATTCTTATTTAAATTAAAAAAAAAAGATCAATACACGGTGAAAAAATAATTATTAATTGTACATTAAGTTATTTTCTAAAAATAAAAAATATTAATCTTATTTGGGAATTTGAAATTTTGGCATTTTATTTTTCGATCTGCTTATAAGTATCAGTCGATAAAACAGATTCATTGCCACAGAATCAATACAAAGTTTGTCTACTGCTTTCTTCTCCTTCATCAATTCATTTCTCTATTGTAAAATTCTAAAACTCAATTGACACGTTTAAAATTAAATTTTAGACAAAATATCAAAGTGAATAGAGAAAGTATTTTTCAATTCTATCAAATTTCTCCTGTGAAAAATGTCAGATTCTAGCATAGATGAAAGGTAATAAAAATTTATATATCAAAGAGGCGAATACTTATTGACATTTTGGTTATTGTTTTGTTTCTTATTTATTTTTTATTAATTTTTTTAATAACAATCATTTTTTTTTTTTTTTCTAGAGTTGTCGATGAGATAGAAGCGTTAAAAGCAATTCTTCTAGATGATGAGCTTAAAATTGCCGAAAACGAAAAGTATGTAAATGTATTTTTATATATATATATATATATATAATAGTAAGAAAATTTTGTAAAATTATATTTACAAAATTTATGTACTTTTTTTTTTTATTCTAGCGGTGAACCAGAATTGATAGAAATTTTAGTTTTTCCATCAACTGGAAATGATTCACAGTCACAATATGTTTGTGTACGACTTGTTGTTAAATTGGTTCCCGGTTATCCAGACGTTTCACCTGAAGTGAATTTTCGAAATCCACGAGGTTTAGATGAAGGGACAATGCGAATTATTCAATCAGAGGCGGAAACAAAGTGTCAGGATTTTGTCGGTCAACCTGTTATGTTTGAATTAATTGAGGTAAAGTTCAAATTTTCAAATAAAAATTAAAATCCGTATAAAGTTTAATTTCTTAACTGAAAATTTTTTTTGAAAAGTTTCTCGATCAACAATATTTTAAAAGAAAAATTCGTAGATAAAAAATGTTATTATAATTATTTTATTTAAAACATTTATTTCATTGAAAATTTACTACTTATCAAATTTTGCAAATCAATTTTTAAAAATTCAATAACTTTGGATAGAATAACAATAGAATGTTTGCTAATAAGTCAAAATTTTAAAATGCAAAAAAAAAAAAAAACAGTACTCATTATTTGACCTACAATTTTAAAAAATACATTATTAAAAAATGTGATTTTTAGATTCCTGTGATCAAATAACATAAAGATACAACAGAAAATAAAATTCGAAAAATTTTAATCTTACAATGCTTCCTTCATGAGAAAGCAATTCGTAAAAATATTAAAAAATCTTAATTTTTTTTTTATACTGTAAAAATATTTATTGATAGAAATTTTAAATAATTCTAAATGGAATTTATCAGAATTTTAATTACTTTTATGTGGATATTTTGAATTAACTTTAATTTTAGATAACTTCAAATTTAATCGATCAAAAACTTTAATCTATTAATTAATAATTAATAATTAATTCAATTAAAAGTTTTGGAATTTTTTTAAATTTTCTAAATTATTCAGATTTAAGGGGAGGGACCAGTGAAATTTCAACTCATCGAAATTAATAATCTAAAATTACTGTAAATTATCAAAATTAAAAGAAAAAAAATTTTTTTTGACCATTTTAGAAATTTTAATTTTTGAAATTATTAAAATTTTTAAAAATCCATACAATTGATTGTTTTAGAATCTAAAACAAAGCCTACAAAAAAATTACCGATAAAAAATAATAAAAATTGTGGAAGAAGTTGAATTTTTTAAATTTAAACCAAACACATAATTAGCTTTGCTTAGGGGTAACAATTTTTTTTTTTTTTTTTGAAAACATTGAATTTTTTTTAAAATCCATAAATGATTGATTGTTCAGAATTATGAAAAAAGTGTATTAAAAAATCAACAATGAAAAATAATAAAAATTGTGACAGAAGTTTAAATTTTTAGTTTTTGAAAATTTCGAGTTTTTTTAAAAAAAAAATTATTAATGAATTAATTGTTTTTTAATTTCCCATAGTATATGACAGTTTTAAATACTCAATATTGTTACCAGTGAAATTTTAACAGATAAAATCTTTACATTGTTTATGGTGTCAATTTTTTTTTTTCCTACTTTCTTTACTATTTAAAGTCATATTTCATTATGAAAAATTGAAGATGTAGAATTTTTTTTATTTTTTAGGAAATTTTTTTTTTTTTTAATAAATTAAATTTTTTTTTAAATATTTTCAAATTAACTGATGTTCAGAATCACAAGAAAAGAGTAGAAACAAAAAATTGTCAATGAAAAATAATAGAAATTATTGAAAAAGTTCTTATTGTTTCATAATATTGAGTTCTATTAAAAAGTTTAATTAAGAAAAAAAAAATTTTTTTTCTTGCATGATATAAATAATTTTAAATTCTCAATAATGTCGGAAAATAAATTTGCACTTCTAAACAACGTAAATTTCGATGAATAAATTTCAAGAAAAAATTAATTAATAATCATTTCCAGAGAAATTCTTATAATTTGTTTTAAAAAAAATATATATTAAAAATTGGAACATCAACTACTGCACTTGAAATTTGAAGATGATTTATACGAGTTAAATTGTATTTAAAATTTTTCTGAAATTTCACTTTAAAAATTTGAAAAAGGCCTGGATTTTCAATGAAAATTTTTATATTTACTATGAATTCAAATTATTTATTTTGTATTATGTTAATTTTTTAAAAATATTTTTGTCACGTATTTTCGTAAAATAATTCATCTTTTCATCAACTTTATTTAAGTAAAGAAGGTACATATTGTTGTTTTCTCATTTTTTTAATATTCTCATTTTAATAAACTTTTCTATTTATAACATTTTTTTGAATGCCTTTTTGTTCATTAAATTCCTTATTAAAATTGTTATTAAAATTTTTTTTTTTTTTTAATTAACAATTTTCTCTTTTTTCAGCTGGTGCGAGAACATTTAACAAAAAGCAATCTTCCCACTGGACAATGTGCAGTTTGTTTATATGGATTTCGAGAAGGAGATGAATTTACAAAAACAGAATGTTATCATCATTTTCATTCTCATTGTTTAGCATCTCATGTTGCTGCTGCTGATCGATATTATCGTGAAGAACAGGAAAAATTGCCTCAATGGCAGCAAGATAGTTCCAAACAATTTCAAGTAAATATTTCAATTTTTTTCTCATTTTTTTTTCTTTTTTGCATTTTTATTCCTGTTTTATTATTTTTATGTTTTTTTTTTATTATATCAAATTTTTACGAAGCTGAAGTACGCAACATTTATGATAAACGATTTTTAAAGAAATAATTTTTTAAAATGAAAAATTCTATAATTTTTTGGCTAAAAAAAATATTTTGTTTATACACAAGAAATATTTTTTAGGCAAAGAATTATAGAATTTTTCATTTTAAATAATTATTTCTTTAAAAATCGTTTATCATAAACGTTGTGTACTTCAGCTTTGTAAATTTTTAACTGAAAAACTTTGTAATTTAAAAAAATGTAATTTTAAATTTAATTTAATTTAAAATTTTTTTTTTTTGTAATAAATATCAGGCTCTCTGTCCCGTGTGTCGTGAATCAATTAATTGCGATGTGGAGAGTCTATATTCGGCACCGCCTCCAATTGATGTGGAGACAGCTACCGATTTTTCAGTGACCGCCGAACTACGTGAATTGCAAAGAAAAATGGCTGTTTTATATCTTCATCAACAGCAAAGAGGCGGTATTATTGATTTGGAAGCTGAAGAAGTTAAAATGCTTGTGAGAACTGAAGATGAGACTGTTGCAACGACTGAAGAACAGAGTCCACCTGGTCCTAGTTTAAATACACTTTCCAATCAACCAGCACACATGGTAAGAAATATTATTATTATTCCATTAATATTTCTTGTTTTTATTTAATTTGGAGTTTTTCTTCACGAATTCGAATATATTCAAGATAAAAGCCCAAAAAAAAGGATAATTTATTTCAGAAAAAAAATTTTTAAGAAAAAAAATTTCAATTTTAATAATCTATTGAATTTTGGAGAGAAATTAAAAAATTTAATTAATGATAATAGTTAAAAAATAATTCATTTAAAATTAATTTAGTATAAAAATAATTTAATACATTATAATAATATAATTCAATTGGAACTTGAAGAATAATGAAATTATAAAGTAATTAAATTAAAAATTTTTTAAAGATTTATAATTTCAATCTCAATTTAATTATGTTTAATTGAATTACCTTAAAATGTTTATAATTAACAAATGGACGCATAAATATTTTCTACATTAGATCAATCAAAATTTTTGTCTTGTCGAATTAAAAATTATCGAATTTTTTATTTAGCAAAATTTTATAAAGTAGATTTTATTATTTTTTCTCTTTGACTAAACTTTTGTATACCACATTTTCTAATACATCGATTTTTCAATTAATACAATTTCCATTTAATAGAATTTATGTCTAGCAAAATTTTCAAACAAAAGAAAATTTTTATTTAAGAAAATAGTTCTCGAATTTCTACTTATTCAACTATTCACATGACAATATTTTCATTAACTGAATTCACATTTATTATAATTTCTATTAAACAAAATTCTTATATACCAAAACTTTTATTTAAACAAATTTTCTATTCAATCTAATTTTTATTGGAAGTAAATTAAAGAATTTAATTAATAATAATAATAATTTAAAAAAAAAAACTAAATATAACAATAATTTAATGTTCAATACAAATTTGTAAAAAAAAATCCAATTTAAAATTAATGAAATTATAGAAGTAATTGAATTTTACAATTTTTTAATTTGTAAAGAATTTTTGAAAAGAATTATAATAATTAGAATCCGAATTCAATTATATATTTAAATAATTAAAGCATATTTATAATTTATTAATGCCCAAAGTTTTTGTCTTTTATTTTTGTAATTTTTTCTTTGCAAAAATTAATTATCTCCATAATTTTTTTAAAATTTATTTATAAAAAAATAAATATTTTTGATTTATAAATTTTTAATTTTCTTATTCAAAAACAAAACAAAAGCAATTACCAAATACGAAGCAATCAACCCAACAGCAGAATCAACAAACTCAAAATCATCCTCAAATTCAATCAAGACAATCGCATAATAATCATCATGGTCATCGAAATCGTGGTCGCGGACGTTCACATTATCATCGTCGACACTTTGAGAAAGTTCGACAAACAGAATCAACTTCCAGATGACAAATAGCCGATTATTTGAAATTCGGGTCTTATCATCATTATCATCATTCACTAAAAAGTGTAGAATTATTATTAATTAAAATTAATAGTATAATCGCAAAAATATTATATCGTAATTGCAGTTTAAATTTACATCATTTTTTTCACTCAAAATTGTAGGTATTGTTGTTTAACAACATTGACAATGTGGTTCAAATTCACGACATTCGATATGTTGAAAAATTATTCACGATGGTGCATTTACATAGACATTTGCCAAGAGGCTTTTTTTTTATTTTATATCATTGGAATAAAAGTGATTTATTAATTTTTTTCCAATTATTATTGTTATTGTATTTGTTGGAAATTTTCCTTAATCAAAACGCAACAGATTGTTGTATTAAACAAAAATTTTCACACAAAAATAGGTGACGATTGTATAATTTAGTTGTTCGATTTTAAAAATATTACTTGTTTTTTACTTTTTGCATTGAATGTTTTTTTTTTTTATTTTTCATCTTCAAATATTATTTTTTTTTTAATTATATTCATTTTCAAATTTTTTTTTTCTCTAAAAAATTTTTTTTATACTAAACGTTTTAAAAGGCACTGTCTAATGTGAATCAAACCTTTATGTGAGAATTTATTTGCAATAGGTAGAGAAATCGAAATTCATCAAAATTATCGAGATTTTTCAAATGTTCGCTATTTACATATAAAAAAAAAAAAAAACTTCAGTAAAAATGATTATAATAAAAGAGAAAAAAAAATTATTAATTAATTAAAATTGAAAAATAATTCAATTCTCCTCAAATATTATTGTTATCTAATTATTTTAGTTTTAGATTTAATTGTAATTACTAGTCGCTCTTTTTTACTTTCACTTTGTCAATTTGCGAAAAAAGTTAATGATATTTCAAAAATGTTATAATTCTTCTAATTTCTATTATGAAATTTTATTTATTGATAAAAATTAATTTAATTTAAAAAATAATTTATTAAATAATAAATGAAAAAAAAAAGAAAATGTTTAATTATTTGAAACATTACAATTTGAATATTAATTAACTTTTGAAAGAAATTGTCAGTGGTAAATTTATATTATGTACTTCTATTTTAAAGATTTTTCAAAATAATATTTGAGGCCATATTTGTATAAAGTGATATATTATATTATAATGAAAAAAGAAATTCATAATTTACTACTTTGTAATTAAAAATTATTTAAAATGTAAAATGTTTATAAAATTTTGTGCTTCTTAGAATTATTTATAAGAACATTAGAAATATAAAATATATTATTTAATTTTTTTTTATAAAAAAAAAGAACTCATATGTTATAAGAAAAATATTTTTTAAATTTGTTTATTAAAAAAATATACCTAATGATATATCTCGAACTATTATTATTATTATTATTATTATTATTATTATTAATGTTAAATATTATATTAAGATTATTTCATACACTTGACTGTGATATTATTTTTCTGAATCATTTATTGTACATTCATTTTTATTTTATTATTCATTCCATTACTAGCAAGTTTAAAAAATGATAGGAAAAGAAAAACATTGACAAAAATTATTTAAAAAAAAAAATTGTGTTCAAAACTGAAAAGAAAAATTTACAATGAAAAAGAAGTCAAAAATATGGATACAAAAAAAAAATAAGTTCAAAATAATTAAAATTGGAAAGAAAAATTCGGGAATAATTTGTAATGAAAAAAATAATTTACTAATTTGGAAAGAAAAATACAAAAATAGAAAAAAAATGTTAATTAATTCGCAATATTTTAGAAATGAAAAAAAAAATCAATAAAATATAGTGAACATCTGAAAAAAGAATTAAAAGTAATAATATAATAATTAATCTATAGCATCGAATATATAGGAAATTAGATAAATTAAATGTTATTTGTAATCATTGTTATTATAATAATATAAACTTGTCAGTGAGCCCAGAACTTAAAATACATATATACTCAAAATGATATTGATAGAAATAATACTTATTATATAATATATATAGGTATAAATCTTTTTTCAATTTTCATATGAGTTTTTATGTGACAATGTAAATTATCGAATTATATTAAATGGAAAAATTAGAAATTAAGGACCTTTTGAAAAAAGGAAACTTGTATTATTAATATAATAATAATATAGACATAAAAAAAAAAAACTTTTTACAGAAAAATGACTTTATTAACAAATTTTTTCCTCATTGAATACTGCTTTTTGGATTGCACAATAAATATTAAATAATATATAATTACAAAACATTTATAAATTTTTAAATCACTGTGTGTGTGTGTTTTTTTTTTTTTTTGCCTTTTAATGTGGCAAAATCGAATTCTGTAAAACTTTACTTAAAATAAAAAAATATTATACATATTCACTTCTTTTTTTTTTTGTAGCATTTTTTCAAATTCAATCTTTACGCATAAGATTATTATTTTATTAACTTAATTGCAGCGGAACAAAACTAAGATAATTTTCTATTTTTAATTCCCCAAGTAAACGAAATGAAAGCAATTTTATGGAATTTTTTATGTTTCTGATTCTTTGGTTATTAAAGTGTTAGAAAAAAAAAAATTTAATTACAAATTTTGATTTTGTAGACAAAATTAGTTATTATCAAAACTTTTGAATTAAATTTATATTAAATCTTTACATCTTTGCGAAAAAAAATACTGATATAAGTACACAATGTGAAAATTAATAAAAATCTATTCTAATTTTTTAAACATAAAATTCTACTTAAGATTTATTTATTTTTTTTTTTTAATATAAGATTGTTTTTAATTCTAAAGGTATATTAATTTTATTTTTATATACTAATTTGTATTTTCTATAATGAATTTTAAAAATATGCAAAAACACTCTTCAATGTAATTACAATTTTTGACCGCGAATCACTTTCAAAAATAATACCCTTTCGTATGTTTATATTATAAATCTATAATAATTTCTAATATCTATTAAATATATCTACATTTGACACATGATTATCAACAATAAGATTCTTAAGAATTAGAAGAAAAAAAAACTTCTACGTGTAAAGAATCTATTTCTTTCTTTTTAAAAAAAACATATTTTTGATTAATTAATTAGAAAAAATAATTTAAACTATCACATGACATATAGGTCTAAAATTTATCTATATATAATATATATATTACTCTTTGATTATACGCATCTAGAAATGGAAATTATTTTAAATAACAATTGCAATCTAAATAAGTTAATTTTTCTCTACAACATGCAAAACAACGAAAAAATAAAAAAAATCTGTAACTGTAACAATTTTTTCTTTTTACTTTTATCATTTGAAAAGTTTTTTAGTTTCAATATTTATTTAAAAATAATTAAACTATTAACAATGATTACGGAGGAAATTTCTTTTTAACTTTAATCTTGAAATTAATTAGAGGATTTTAAATTAAAAATTCAAATTTTAATTTTCCTTGAATATCTTAAAATCATTGGAAAAAAAAAAATTACTTCAGTCACAGAGAAAGATAATAAATTAGAATAAAATTGCTATTTTTTTATACTAAAGTTCTGGTGTTATTAGGAGACGAGATTGTTGAAATTGATCGATTATTATAAAAATTTGTCGAGGGAAGAAGAATTTTGGAATTTTGTTCCTCCTTGAATTTTTCGATTTTCATTTGTAATTCATTGACTCCCGTTTGAATTGGATTCATTAAATGTTTACTTTTGTAAAGAATGTCATTAATTTTTAATAATAATACTGGATTAAGTGCCGGAGATGATGGTAAATTTGCCGTGGGTCCCAATGATGTTCCATCCCCGTAACCCTCGTCAACACTTTCTTCTGAAACTCTCGTTATTGATTTTAATTGTTCCTTTAACTCCTAAAAGAAATTATTACTTATTATTATTATTTAATTAGTATTATCATCATTAAAAAATTAATTATAAAATTACTTTATTGAAAAAAAAAAATTTATTTACCTAGGCAATTTTTTATATAATTATTAAATTTTAAATAAATTAAAAATTATAACAAATTCTAAATTATTTTGCATTTCAATGATTTTTTAATTCAAAAAACATTTTAATGTAGATTTTCTTTATATTTTAAAGATAATTATAAAAAAAATTCAATTACATTTTTGATTTTTAATTACTAAATAGTAATTTTTCAAATTAAAATTACCAATTTGTTTTTGAAAAAATTAATAATTTTTTAATTTATAAAATACGAAAATAATTGACATTACAGAAACATTGAATTGAAAAAAAAAATTATTTTTTAAAAATAATTAATTTCAAAAATAATTTTAGAATAATTGAATTTTATTGTTAACAAATTAATAATGTGAATTTATAATTTTTTTTTTCAAAATTCCTTTTTAGAAAAAAAATGATACTTTTTTAAAAAAAGAGTGTTTTTAATTTGAAAAAATAATCAAATTATCTAAAATTTGTGTTCAATTAATAATGCTTTAATTTATGTGAAGAAATAAAAAAAAATTTATTCAAAACAAAATTAAAAAGAAATAATATAAATATACCTTGTTTTTATTAAGGGCTTGTTGAAGACAATTTTCCACAGAATTGTCTGTTTTATTTTCCTGGAAAATTAATTTTTTTTAAATCATCAACTTTATTATTTATTGTTTTTTGTATTTTTCTTTTTATTATTTACTTTATTATTTTATGTTATTAGCAATAAATATCAAACAAAAAAAAAAGGTGAAATTTACCTCATCCGGCCTTTGAATATTCTGCTTTTTATTCAGCAAACACTCAAACTTTTTGACTTTTTGCTTTTCTTTTTTTAATTTTTGCAAAAGTGAACTATTCGCATTGAAAGAAAGTAACTTGAGCCTTTTGCTCTCATCTAAAGCCTCTTGCATCAAAGTAACTTTCTCCTCAAGATCCAAATTTCTTGTTTTAACATGTTTATATTGCGTTAACATTTTTGAAAGTTGAATTTGCAATTCAGAAATTGCCTCCTCTACTTGAATTTGATTTTGCTTCGATATTGTCAAAGCCAATTCAGCAGTATTTTGATTTGATTTAAATTTCTCAATTTCAATATTCATCTCTCTTAAATGTAATTCCAATTCATTTTTCTCACTAACAAGCCTCTGTTGATTATCATCCATTGATGAAATTATTGAACATTGTTTTAAAAATGTATTTTCCATACATGTTTTTTTAGCCTCAGAATTTAAAAGTTTTTCCTCCAAATCACGTTGTTGTACTTTCGTTACACGTAATTCCTCTTCTATTGTTTCTAATTTCATTGAATTATCATCTTGATTTTCAGTAGAAATAATTTCCATAAAATCCTTCTTTTTTATATTTAATTGTTGATTATTAATTTCATTTTGTAAATAATTCTTTTCCTCTTTATATTTCGTAACTAAATTTGCATATTCATTATTTAATTGTGAACATTTTAAAATAATATTTGCCACCAATTGTTGTTTCTGTTTTAACATTTCTTGATAAGTTTCAACTTCAATTTGTAATGTTTTTTTACTTGCCTCAACTTGATGTAATTGTTTTTGATACCATTTTGTTGAATTTTCAGAAATTAATAATTGACTTTCAAGATTTTTTAAATTAATTTCCAATTTTCGTTTTTCTTGCAATGATGCTTGTGCATCGACATAAAGCACTGTTATTTTATCCTTTAAACCTTGATTGGCAGCAATTTTTGTATTTAATTCTATTCGCAGATTCTCCATATCAATGCGAAGACGTTCATTTGCCAATTCAAGGGAAGTGGCACGCTTATTAATTGATTCGTCGTCAACAACATTTGATAATAAATTGGAAATCGAACAATGTGAATGTAATTCATCGTCAATTAAATGCATCAGTGATTCTCCAGATTTTATGGAATCGAATTCACAATTTGATGAGTCGGAAGAATTGTCCATGTTTTTTTCGACTCAGGAAAAAACTAAAAAATATGAACGATTTTTATTACTCAAAAAAAAAAAAAAAAAAAATGAATTTTACACGGAGAGAAATCTGCTGCGATTTGCGCATGAGCATGTCCATAGGAATATAGCATGGACACTTCCAAGCAAAAACCATAAGATTCCATCTGAATATCAGGTGAGACTCATACAATAATACCTCGCTCACTTAGGATTTTTGCTTGAAAGCGTCTGTTACTATATTCCTAAGGACATGCTCATGCGTAAATCGCACCAGATTTCTCTCCGTGTATAAAATAAAAATTTTGTTAAAAATAAATATGGGAAATTTTTTTAATAAAACAAAAGAATATATAGTGGGTTGGTATAAGAATAATAATTTTTTCAATTTTCCTGACATTTTCCTAATAAATTTTTTTTAAATGAATTTAATGAATTATAATATAGAAATCTAATAATTTAAAGTTAGAAAAATGGGCTTTATCCTACATTTTACTATATTTTCACTAGAACAGGGAACACGGATTTTTTTTCTTTTTTCTTTAAAATAGATGAAAAAAAGTGAATTATTTATCGAAAATTGGTGACAAAATTTTTATTGCAATTTTCCAAATTTGAATAAATTGAATTTTGGATCAATTGAAAATTAAATCAATCGAAAATTTGGATAAATTAAAATTCGAATAATTTGAAACTAAAATCAATTAAAATTTGGATAATTTTAAATTTAAATCGATTAAAATTTGAACAAAATTGAAACTATATAAATAAAAAAATTTTCATAATTTGAAACTTAAATCTATTAAAATTTGGGACAAATTGAAAATCGAATAATTTGAAACTTAAATCCATTAAAATTTGGGACAAATTGATATTTGGATAATTTGAAATTGAAATCAATTAAAATTTGTACAAAAATTGAAAATTGGAGAATTTGAAATTTAAATTAAATAATCATTAGATAGAATTGAAATTTCGTTAATTTTAATTTTCAATCGATTCAATTTGTATTTAATTAAAATTTTAATTAATAAATTTGTTTTGACCAGTAAAAATTAGAATTAATTGAAAATTTAATTAAAATTTAGGTTCAATTGAAATTTTTGGATTGATTAAAATTTAAATTGAATAAAATTTAATTAAATTGAAATTTGCATGAATTATTAAAATATGAACAGATTTAAATTTGGATAAATTGAATTTTGAATTGATTAAATTGATGATTTATTAGAATCAATAAAATACTGCAACTAATTTAAATTAAGATTTATTGAAATTTGTCCTAAATAATTTTTAAATTAATGAACAATTTTGATAAATTTAAGCTAGAGTCAATTATTGAATAATTTATAGAAAAGATGAAAATCTATAATTTTGTTTTCTCTAAATTAATATAAGTTTAGGAATATTAAAAAAAAATCCTTTAAACTAATAAATTATTTTCCAATATTCCTTAGCTTAAATCAATGTTTTTATATTGCATATTTAATTATTTTTAAAACCAAATTAGAACCACAAATTAATCGAATTAATTAATTAATCAAAATAGGGTTATAACCTATTATTTCTTCTCGCGGCAAAAATTGTTCAAACTTTTTATCCATATCGGAAGAATATAATTAATTTTATCTGTAAATTTGTTCAATTTCCCAAAATTCCCAGAAAAAAAAAATATTTTTTCTCTTGACATTTCCTTGTGTAGCTATCATGATATATATATATACGTAAAAAAAAATCAGTTATAATAATAAAAAAAGAATGACTTACATTTTTGTCAAAATTGTTTTTTATCACTCAGCACATTTCCAATAAATGTATTGTGAGATTTACACTCGTTTGTTGCAGTTTAAAGACATTATAAAAATAATGTAATTAGTGCAAAGACACAAGATTTATGAGTAGACATATGCTTATGTTGTTCGTATAATTCAATTTATATTCCATTTTCTCTGAAGAATATAGATATTATCGAGAAACATGAATTTTACTTAAAAATTTCGATTATTCAAAGTATCACAATTTTTCTTCACATTTTCGTATTATCACTAATTTTAGTCGAATACAGCATCCAATTTATAAACAATATGCCCTATAAAGTCGTGACGTCACTCGTGAGAATAAATTTGTATATACCTATATATATGCAATAAAATGCGCAAACGCGAATACAAGTGGTTTTACACTAGATTTTTATTTATATATATATATCATATTGATATAAGAAACTGGAACAATGGAAAAGAATAATATATATACCTATGTTTAAATATAATTCACAAAATAAAAAAAAAAGATAGAAAAAAATGACATTGAAAAATTTTTCATAAATTTTTGCAAAAATAAATATTAGCTGTATTATAAATTATCAATAATCTAAATAAAATATTTTACTTATTTATATTGATATATTAAATTATTATATTTAAACATTTCAAAAGTTTCAAACATAAATTAAAACAAAATATATTATAAATAAAAATATATATTTATATATAACCTACAAAAAATTTGTTGACATTTCACTATATATATTTATATATTTCACATTAAAATATAATTTAATTTTTAATATTTACTTGAATATTTACCATTTCTTGAATAATTTTTAATTTACAGATTTAAATATTCAAAATATTTTTTATTTTGACAGTTTCTCAAAATTGATTTCATGAGTTTTTTTTTGACATATTTTGCGAGATCAGGCATACCAACATTTATAATAATTTAATTTTCACCGAAATTAGTTTCTACACATGTATATAAATAGTAGGAGGATTATCTTTTTTCTGTAATATAATGAAATTTAGATATGAGTGAAAAAAACAATCAGAACAATATTGTTTTTAATTTTAAAAAAATGTTTAAATTTAATACAGTTTATTTTGTACATTGGTAGAATGGAAATTTTGTCCAATTTATCCAATCACAATAGAGAATTGAAATATCAGGGAATTTTCAAACTAAAATTTTTATAATAATTTTATATAGATAATATAGATTATAAAAAAACAAATAATAAATAAATAACAAATTCAATATTTTCTTTGTATTTTTTATTATAATATTAAATATTAATCAAAATATTAGTGTAGAAACACTTTTCAATAAACAGCATAAAAAAATAATTGTAACAGGAAGTTTGGGAATATTTATACAAATATTCGATAAAAAAAAAAAAATAAACTTCGAAAATTACAAAGATACTTTCAATTCCTCTACAGTTGTTTTAATTTTAAAAAATATAATTTGAGTACGGTTTTAATATTTTTTATATAGCTTCGAACATAACCTAAAAAGTGCTTTTGGCAAAATGGTCAAAATCGAAATCGAAGAACGACCATTCAAAATCAGTTACGTGGATATCGTCTGCTATACAAGGAACAATAACATTGGTTGGATAGTTGTTCTTTTATAGATTTAATAAAAATTTTTCATTGTCGTCATCATTAACACATCATCAAAGACAAGTAATATGTAAATAAACAATTACCTTGACAATGTGGGGGTTAAAAGGGACTTTGTATAATAAATTTTTAGTATTATTAGTTAATTTTTATATTGTTTATTGCCACGATTTAAAAGCTTTCGATGACACTGTGCTTTTCAAAATAAATTGGCCGGGCAAAAGTAGTGCAGAATTATTGGTAAGTTTTTAATTTCCATATTTTTTACACGTATTTAATTAGTTTACTTTCAAAAAAAAAAAATCCTCTAGTTTTTTTTAATTTTTGATATAATACAACGTATAATTCTGAATATAACATGGGAAAAGTCCACGCCATTGTAACATATCGTTGACTTTGACATTTTAGATTTGGCTAAAATTTTTTTTTTATCTTTTTGTACTTATACTCTACGAAAAAATGGTTCGATGATTTTTTTCGAATTTTTTTTATCAAGTCGATTACGAGATATAAATTTTTCAAAATTTCAGATTTAAATATTTTTTTTTTATTTTTATAACTATTAAAAAAGCATCAATTTTAAGTTGTGTTTTTTAAATGAACTTTCGAAAATTTAATATGTGAAAAATGTATGAAAAATAATTTACTATTTTTTGGCAACTTATAGATAAAAATCGTATTTTTTAATTTTCAAAGAAACTATTTTCTTTTACAAAAATTTTAAGCCTTGTCCCATCAAGAGGAACGATTTTTTTAATTTAAAAATTTTTTTTTAAATTTAATAATAATATTTAAAAAGAAAATTTTATAGTATTTACCATAAAAATCAAAATTATAAGCGAAATAAATAAAAATTGAATTCTTATCGTAATATTTTTAGGAACCAGAAAACGTGGAACCTTATTTTATCACAACAGCTAACAATGAAAAATATCAGTGTCATATTCCCGACACAAATAAACAAGAAAGTGATCAGGGTGAAACGTACACTGGACCAAATGCAATCGAAATCCTGGCTCCACTTTTCAATCAGAAAAGCTGCTCCTACCGAGTTAGTAACTAAAAATTATTTATTATATAATTATTCCTCTTATTATTATTTATTTATTTTATTTTTTTGATTGTAAATTGAATTGTGAATTTTTAGTATTTTTTATATTATTTATTTGAATTATTTTTAAAATTGTTTCTATTACTCAAATTAGACCATTTTCTCAAATATTAAGTATTAACAGGCCTCGAATTATAAAACTATTTCTATTTTTTCCAACTTTTTTTTTTTTTTTTTCAAAAATACTACTTTTTTCGTCCAATTTTAATAAAATGCGATTTTTTCGACTTTTTTTACATTTTTTAAAACCATTTTTTAAACAAAATACGTTTTTTTTTTAGTATACAATGGAGATCTTCTTTATTTCAATTATTTAAAAAAAAATTTAACTTAAATATTCTTCACTAAATTAATTATTTTTAATAATTTTAATGAAATTCATCACAAATTCAATTATTTTAAACTATTTTTCAATTTAAATTTTTATAAAAATTTAATAATTGTTTATAATTTAAAAAAAAAATTATCAAATAAAATTACCAAACATTTTTAATTCAAAATCACACTTGATATTTAATTATTTGCAAAAATTTCAATTATTTTTAATGATTTTTATATAATATTCTTCAAAAATTCAATTATCTGAAAGCATTTTTCAATTAAAAACTTTTAGAATTAAATTTTTGTATATGTGATTTCTAATAAATTCTTCAACAACAGAAATCACTAAAAAAATTTCTCTTATTATAATTATTGTCTGAAATTTAACGTACAATCTTTTGAAATTTAATTATTTTTTAAAAATTTCGATTTAAAAGCTCCTAAAATTTAATTGTTTCTAAAATTTTCCATCTAAAATTTTTTGAAATTAAATAATTTCAATTATAACTCTCTTGAAATTCAATTATTTTTAATGATTTTTATATTAATATTCTTCAAAAATTCAATTATCTGAAACCATTTTTGGCTTAAAAAATTGTCAAATTATTGTATTTTTGTCTGCAATTTCTAATAAATTTTTTAATGAAATCATGAAAACTTTTTAATTTTAAAATCATTTGAATTTCAATTAGTTTCAAAAATTAAAATTGTAAATCTTTGAAAATTCAATTACTTTTAAATGTTATCTAAAATTATTTGATAAATTATTAGTTTTAGTTCTGTAAAATTTAATTATTGTCTGAAAAAGTAACAAAATCTTTTGAAATTCAATTATTTCTAAAAATTTCAACTTTAACTCTTTCAAAATTATTATTTAAAAAAAAAAAAATTTATTTACAAATCTGTAAAACTTAATTAAGTATTGCCAGAAATTTTTTTGACCATTCAAACTAAAAACTATGACAAAATTTTTAATTAGAATAAATTGCTTAAATAAGACTTCAAAAAATTATAAAAATCAAAATTTAAGAATTTTTTTCAGAAATTTGTCCTACTTAAATAAAATTTTGAAAATTTCTCTTTGATTCTGAAATATTCGAAATAAATTTTCTTGATAATATTCATTATAGAATTATTCTCATTACAGAATTAATAAAATGAATTTTATATCTAATAACATTAGTTATTTAAAGTAAAATATTCATTAACCAATTAAACTTTGTTAAAATAAAAAAAATCGACTTTTTCAACTTTTTTTGAAATATAAATCGAGTAAAACGACCTTTTTTGTGCCTTAAAATCGATCCTAGGCCTGTATTAATAAATTATTATTATTATGTATTATTAAAAATTATAAAAAAATTTAAAAAACAAAAAATTTGTTAATAATTTTTAAAATGAAACTTGAAACCTCTGAAAAATTAAAATTAGAACTTCTCTCATAATTTCTACTATTTTTCACTTTTGAATTTTTTATAAGCTGTTTTTATGATTTTAAATAATCAATCATGGATTTTACCAAATTTCAATTTTTTCAAAAAATAAAATTTTTGAAAATAAGAAAAAAATATTTTCCGAGTTTCCTCCTAATCAAAAAAAAAATTTTTTATTATTATTATTATTATTATTATTATTATTAAATACTATAAATTAATCTACAGCTAGAGTCATATTGGACATATGAATTGTGTCATGGTCGACACGTTCGACAATATCATGAGGAGCGCGAAGGAAAAAAAGTGAATCTTCAAGAATTTAGTTTGGGCACATTTGATAAAACACAAAAAATAAAAATGTCCATTGAATATGATGAATTGGCAAAAAATTCCAATCGTAAAATACATATTCCAATGAAAAAAGTCGATGGAATTAATATGCCTTATGTGGAAATAAATATGAATGATGGTACAATGTGCGATTTAAATAATAAACCACGTTCAACAAGAGTACTTTATGTTTGTTATCAACATGGAAAACATGAAATTTTCTCACTCAAAGAAATATCAAGTTGTGAATATGAAGCTGTTGTATTATCGCCATTACTTTGTTCACATCCTGATTATAAGCCACAAAATACTGGCGAAAATGACATTAATTGTCGACCAGTGGATGATGCACCAAAAAGGCCACGATCATTGTCACAACTCGAGGCCGAGAGTCTTAAATTGAGACATCAAAAAATACCGGTAAAATTATATTTTACAAAATTTTTAAATAATATATATAAAGTTTATTTTTATTTAATTTCTTCATTTTTTTATTTTTTTTTTTTTTTTATTTTTTTTTTATTTGACATTATCTTTATAATCAAGAGTTATACTTTTGTACAATATCATTTCTCATATTAACAGTTTTAGATTTTTTTTTAAACAAATTTTAATGGGGCGCATGAATTTTGCCAAAAAAAAAATGTAATTAATTAGAATTTTCATTTTAAAGACTTTTATTAGAAATTTTTTTTTGAATTAGCATTTAACGGAATTTCTATTTATACGATTTTTTACTTAACAAAATTTTTAGCTACGGAATTTTTGTTTCGTAGAATTTTTATTTTACAGTCATTTAATTTACATGACTTTTTTGTTTAAAAGAATTTTAATTTAATTGAATTTTCAAAATGACAAAAATTCCAATTCATCGTATTTTAATTTGTCCAAATTTTTATTTGCACGAATTTTTAAAACGCCGAATTTTGTCAATTTAAAAAAAAATTTTATTTCACACAGAAAATCTTAAAAGGAACTCTTTTCTAGCCGAATTTACATTTTACAGAATTCTCAAAAAGGTTGAATTTTTGTTTTACATAATTTTTATTTGTCTAGATAATTATCTGGCAAAAAAATTTGGGCACAAATTTAAAAATTGACCAATCACAATTTCGTTAATAAATTCTGATTAATCAATTTTTAAAATTGCGCCGAAATTTTTCTGTCGATATTTTAAAAATTTGGAAAAATCAAAATTTGATGAATTGGAATTTCTGTCATTTAAAAATTCGAATCACATAAAATTTTCTTAAATAAAAAGTCATTGTAAATGAAATATAAAATAAAAATTTTGCCAAAATATTAAGATTATTCGAAAAATAATTATTTCTAATAAATTTCTTTGAAATGAAAATTCTAATTAATAATTTTTTATGGAATAATTATGCTTCCAATTTTAATTTAATTTTAATTAACAAATTGCATTTTACGAGATTTTTAGTTTTAGTGCTTTAAATAAAATAAAAAAGAAAATTGTTTTTATAATTCATATTACAGCATATATATATATATATATCTCTTTAAGTTTTGCTTGCCATTTCGTATTTTTTAGTTGCTTTACAGAAATAAAATTGAATTTGTAGTTTTTGTATTTGAAAATTTTTTCTTAAATTAATACACTTTTTAGAGATCTATTTCTATACTAATGTCGAGAATTGATAGACGGTATGTTAAACAAAAGAAAAAGAAACATCAATATATGTGGTAATTAATTATTTCTTATGCAGGATGATGAAAAGAAGCAGAAAGTCTATGCGATATTCCATGTAGATAAGGAAGGACAGGTCAGAATAATTTTCCTTTTTAGGGGAACGGACTTTTAATCTCAATCACAAGGAATTTTTCTTTTCTTTACACTCTGTCCTCTCCATTCATATTGTGTATACTTTTTTTTTTTTTTTTTTTTATTTCTGTACGAGCGGAGCTGAATATTTGCTATTTTTAAAATAATATCTAAACAATTTTCTATTATTTTTTAAAAAATTTAATTTTTAATTTACTGAATTTAAAAAGTTTTTTTTTAATATTTCCTTTAGATAAATAAATTTTTACAATCGATTGATTCTTAAAATTTACGAGTTTTAATTTAATAAATTAATTTTATTGGATAAAAAAAAATGTATTCTTACTTTAAATGAGAAAAATTAATTTTAATTAACACGATCGAAATAATGTATCAGCGCTTGAGTACAAGAAATTACAAAAGAAATAATTGTTCATAAAATGGTATTCATCTTTCATCATAAAAACAAAACATTTTCTAATTCTCGTCTTTCATTTCTTGGGTTTTTTGCGGTTGACTGAGGCACAAAATTCTAATCTTTTCTCATTGTGACTAACCAAATCTGCTTCTTTTGTTGTATTAAGCTTTCATTAAAAAAAAGAACAAATTCAGAAACATCTCAGGGAGATGATTTTTATGAAACTATGTGTGGAAAAATTCAAGTGAATTGAATATAAACGTTGACAGTATTTAATCAAAAAATAATTGTTTTCATATATGTCAATAAAAAATGCTAATTTTTTTTGTGTCTAATTTTAAAATTAAATGATTTTTCAGGATGGAGAAACACGCGTGAGAGTTGAGATACGTCCAATGGACATTCTTGATAAACACTACAATATTGATGAAACTGTGAGTAATTTAGTGGATCAGGAATTAAATTTAGCTAAAGCTAATCCTGTTCAAAGTTTTTTGAGTGGCAAGAACTGCTTGAATGGAGTGAGTAATAATTTATTTATTTCTTAAATTATTTAATTAATAATTTATTCTTAATTTCTTCATATAAAATTTGTAATATATATATGAAAATAAAAAAAATTTAATTGTGAATATATATAAAGAATATTTTTCTTCATCAGGGAAATGGATGGTGGAAATATGAATTCTGTTATGGTCGATCGGTTATGCAATATCATTTGGAAAGAGATGGAACGAAGACAACTGTTGATTTAGGGAAATTCGATAAAGAAAAACATTTAAAGTGGATCGAGGCACATCCTCATAAAAAGCCAAAACCTCTTGTACAGAGAAAACAACTTTCACACTTTTACAGCGATGGAAGTATTTGTGATAAGACTGGCAAACTGAGACAAACAGAGGTTCGAATTGTTATTTTATTCTTTATTATTATTTTTTTTTATAAACTTACGGCACAAAATTATTTCTAAACAAATTCAAATTAGTTTTTGTATACTTTTTTTTTTTTAAGGAATTCTTGTAAATTATTAATTACAAAAATCACAGAATGTTACTTTTTCACTTTTTTTTTTATTTTATCACTTATTTTTCTAATTTTTATCTTTTTCACATTATTAAAAATTATTATTGATTTAAAATTTAACAGATCAATATTTTTTCAAATAATTTTCATTTTCATTAATCAATAGAATTTCATCATTGAAATTTTAAACGCTTCTAATTTTAATCCTTTTAAAAATTTTACACAGAAATTACAATTTTAATCAATCGATCAAAACTTATTACTTATCAATTTTTGCAAATTGATACAAATTTTATTATTTATTCAAATATGAAATTCATGGAAAATTTAAAAAAAATTCTAAATTTTTACGCTAAACATTTTTATTGGCAGAAATTTTCAGATTCTAAATTGAATTTAATTGCTTTTATTTTCAATTGATTTTAATTTTAAATAACTTAAAATTCAATTAATCTAAATTGCAATCGACTACAATTTAAATTTATAGAATATTTTATCAATTTTAAAATTTTCTATCCTAATATTCATCCACTTTTTTTACGATCTAAAGTAAAATGCATTGCTTTTTAATTATTCTTAAAGTTAAACGATACAAATTTAAATTTATTTAATTTTCAATCTATTTAAACTGTAATAAATTCAAATTTCAATTAACGAAAATTTTGATTTATTTAAATTAAAGTACATACGAGTTTCAATTAATTTTTAATTTCTAATTGTAAACATTTTTATATTAAAATTTTAACATGTTATTTAAAATGAATTTTACTTTTTTTTTTTTAATTTAAATTTGAAACTCAATTTATTCTAATTTTAATTAACTTACAAATTTTATTGATCTAGAAATGAATCTATTCAAATTTTAATCAATTACAATTTCTCCATTCATTCAAATTTGGAATTGATTTTTTTTTCTTTTTTTTGTTAAGTAAAGTCATATTTTTTAAGAAAATTATAATCTTTTCTAAATTTAATTTCTCCAAATTTTTACACATTTTCAAAATTAATTCATTGTAATTTTGTTTAATTTAATTGTTTAAAAGTGTTTCAATTGTCTGATTTATGAAAATTATTGTAATTCAAATTTTCTGCAAAATTTTTATAATATAATAAAAAAAATAATGTTGAATTTTAAATAGATTTAAAAAAAAAACTTCTAATATTAATTCATGGAATATTTTATTGTGTCAAATATTTAAGAGATTATAAATAAAAATAATTATCAATATTTGATCACATGTCAATTTTTAAAAATGTAAAACTGAAAAATACATTTTCGAAAATAATTATTCAAAACAAAATTTGTTTTTTTTTAATAATTTATGATTTTCTTCATATTTGAGGTTTAAAGAATTTAAATTTTTGTCTCAATAAAATTTTCATTTCCATAAATTATTGTTTAATTATAATTTTGCAATTATTAATATTTTTTTTTGTCTTTCAGGTGAAATTGAAATGCGTAACAAATCCTCTCGGCAGTCAATCGAGTGTTTCACTATTTCTTTTGGAACCAAAAACATGTGAATATATTTTAGGTGTTGAATCCCCTCTAATTTGCAATATTCTTCAATATGCAGACAGTGAAACTGGTTTAATAAGTGAAAATGCATTTTTAACATTAAGTGAAAGTAAATCAACTTCCAAATCCGATGAGGAAGATATTTTAGAGAAATTACCGAATCGTGATGAATTATAAAAAAAATATATATATATATATATATTTAAAGAGTTTTGCACAATTTTTGTTTGTTTGTTAATTATTCATTAAGTTCAATTTAGAAAAAAAAATACATTACCAAGTTTGTATTTAAATTTCAAATGTTTACACATTTTTTATAGAAGAAAAAAAAGTTTCTAATCGATTGAAAAACAGTGAATTAAAAAAAAAAAAAAAAAAAAAAGACGAAAAGAATAAAAAATACCTCGTAATGTATGAAGAAAAGAAAAATAAAAGACAAAAAAAAATTTTTCAGACGAAAAATTTTTTAATTATAATCCTCAAACTCTGCGTAAGACAGGGAGAGTAAATAAAATATAATTATTCTTTAAAATGGGAAAAAAAAAAATTTTAATAAATTTTTAATTATTCTTTAAAATAGGAAAAGAATTTTTTAAATAATTTTTTTTTCCATTTTAAAGAATAATTAAACATTTATTTTTTAAAAAAATTTTGTTTTTCCATTTTAAAGAATTTTTATTTTTTTTTTAAATAAATTTTTTAAGTATTCTTTAAAGTAGGAATAGAATTTTTTAAATAAATTTTTTTTCCCATTTTAAAGAATAATTAAACATTTAAAAAAAAAAAAATTTTTTAAATAAATTTTATGAAGCTGAAGTACGCAACGTTTATATAAACGATTTTTAAAGAAATAATTTTTTAAAATGAAAAATTCTATAATTTTTTGTCTAAAAATTATTTCTTGTAGTTTTTATTAATCAACAAATTATAAAAAAATAATTTTTAGGCAAAAAATTATTTCTTTAAAAATCGTTTATATAAACGTTGCGTACTTCAGCTTCGTTAAATTTTTAAGTATTTGTAGGAAAAGAATTTTTGTAAAATAAATTTTTAATTATCCTTTAAAATAGAAAATAAACTAGATGAAAACGTGATAAATGTCATTTATCAAAAGAAAAAAAAAAAAACTACTGATACAATATGTTTTTTCGAAACAAACTTGATCCACCACACACGATGTGATTCGAACAAATATATTTTCTATTCACAAATGTTTCTAATTTATTTCACTCTTTTTTTTTTTTTTACTAGCCAATATTTAGTCCCACACCAACGCGAAATTGTTCCTTTTTATAATTATACAATGCACTGATCAATATTGACGAATTGACTGAGGGCAAAAGTCTTTTTTCAAAAACGCCAGCGACTGTCATTTCAGAATTAAAAAGACCGCGAAATGTTAAATCCAAATGTGACAAATCCAATTGATAGACAATTGCCGATTCACTGTCGAGTGTACGAAAATTTGTCTCAAATTCAAGACCCAATTGTAATTGATTACTTGCCTTCATATGATAACAAAAATGTAATCCAACTTTACTAAATGTCGATGAAATTGTATATTTACCCGTACTATAACGCGCTGCCATTGTGACAATTGATTGTTGATAATTGGGAATTTTTATACCACGACGATATGCCAATTCAGCGCCAATTGTCATACGTGGCGTTAATGCTTGTAAATAATGAATAACAAATGTTCCATGTTTTTTTAAAATATTTGGATCGGCAAGTGTTAATGATGCTGTACAATCATTTGATCGATATTCAATTGTTCCACTAAATGCTTTATATTCTCTATTTTCAATTTGTGCCCCTAATTTTATTCTATATCTGCATTTTAATGTATGCATAAATGTTGCTGTTAAATTTCCATTTGTCATTATTTCACCGCGTATTATTGGATATTTTTCTAAAAGACCAACACGTTTATCACCAATGAAATTTCCACCAAATCTATAACCTGACGGTGTCATTGAGCTGAATATCAATGAATGAATTATATTAAAATGTTGACTCAGCGTTCGTTTTATTGACAATTTTGCACCTTCAAAATTACAAGGATAGAGATCCTTTACCTATATAGAGAGATTTTTTTTCTTCAATTTTACCTTTTTTTTAATTACTATTACTTAGATATTTCGAGAAATTTTTACCCAATTTTTTTTTTAAATTAAATTAAAAAAAAAATAAATTTAATTAGTATTTATAAAATAGAATTAATATCTTTGAATTATATATATATATATATAACCTTTTTGTGAATTTCTTCCAAACATCCAGGATTTCCTGGTTCTTTATTTTGTGATTGCTTCATGGAAGTAATGTGTGATAAATAATTTAATTGTCTCGTAATATTATCAGTATTTGAATGTTGCATTATTAATTAATCAATAATTTGATCATCAAATTAATAAAATTGTGACAAATTTAATTTTTTATAAATATATATTTTTTTAACCTTTGCCCTTTGTATAAAGAACAAGATCATATTTTCTTCGATTATAATGTCAATTAAAATTTTACTTTTTCAATTATTAATTTTTTGTCTACTATTTTTTACTATTATCACAATAATTATAAACGAATATCATTAAATTAAAGTGTCAAAAATATTTTTAAGGTTCTTTCGTTTCGCGCGAAGTCAGCGTCAAAATTGAAATAAGCCAAAAAAAGTTAATTTTTTTTTATAGAATCAATTTTACTTTCTATTTTCCTCTTCAAAAAATCGATTATTTTTAATTTCAAAATTTGAAATAGTAAAATTTTATTTTCTGTAATATTTATATTTATTTTCCTTTTTAATTAAATTTATCAAAAAATAAGGGCATACTACGTCTGCAGTGCCAATATTTGGAAGCGACAATTACCTCGTTTGACCTATTCGATTACCCCCCAATTTTGGAAATCGCGGTTTGCGAGGAGCAAAGTGAGAACTCTACCGTGCGAGCATACAGGGGCCGCGGGTGTATTTTAAGATAAAATACACCATACGGTTTGCATGCGCATCGGGAGTCAAACACAAGCTACATTAAGCGACAACGTGACAACACCCACTGAGCAGATCTGCCACATCTCTAACATCTAGCGATCAATGTTCAGCTGTGCCATCACTAGCACACACTTCCAAATGTAAGTTAAAAATTTTTTCCTTATATACTTAAACTTGATTAATGTTTACCACTTTTGAGTTGCCTGCTTTTTTTCAAATCATCACCAAAATTTATTTACAACTTTTTATAATCTAAAACCCACCTAATTAATTGACCCATACTGTAAGCTATTTATATCAAGAATATTTTTTCACATTTATTTATTTATAAAACAATTAAAATGTATTTAATTATAACATAGGATAGTGTAACAATTATTGTAAATAGCCATCTAGCGGTTGTTGAGAGAAATAAAGTTTTTAGAATTTCTCTTTATTTCTATTGGTGTCTGTAAATTATAGTCTCTCTCAACGACCAATAGGATTAATGGCAAGGGAAAGTTTCCAATTGTAACGTTTAAGCGCGAAAGTTTAAATTCGTTTCTTTTTAAATTGTGATATTTTACTTTTTATTAAATATTTTTAAAAAATAGTTGTTTTACAATTTTTAAAAATATTGATAGATGGAATATTTATTTAATATGTGAAAAAATTTAATTGGTGAAAATTTTTCCACGAGTTTCCTCTAATCGCTCAACAGGTGTCGCTTTGAAAATTTTCTACTCCAATCGTAGAGACGCTTTAGTGGAATGTCAATCACTGATTGGCTGTTTCTCAGTTCAAACAAATAGTTTGAAGTAGTTGTTTCTCGTATAGCTTATTTATATATTCATAGGTTTCGCAAGTCTTTCACTTCTCTTATCAAAATGGCTGAGGTATGTAAAATAAATATTCTTAAAAAATCCACAATTATTTATGTCATCTCTATAATTACCTCTTTTTTAAGTAATTAACATGATATACCACATTGTTATTTACATTCTAAAATGTAAAATTCAGCAGGAAAATTTATAAATAAGATGTTATAATGCAACATGTAACATGTTGAATTTGCCGTTGTTTTTGTGTAAACACATTTTACTACAAATCAAAGATAACCCCAAATTAGAATGAAAATTTATAACTTAATTGTAAAATTACAAAATTAATAAGTATTAAATTACTAAATTACACTATGTTTTATGTAAATATTTTATTTTTGTTGAAATACTGATATTAATTATAATTTTACAAGGTTTACATTCCAGTTTTTGTAATGTCACTTGTTTTTTAATGTATTTTTCACAATATGACGATAAATTAAACAAATTATATTTATACAATATCTCGTTTATAAATTTTCAAGATGACATTTATTTTTGACAAGTTGTTTTAACTTTATTTTTCGTAATTTCAAAATCATACGATTTCTAACCTCAATTTTGTATAATTGTGTAAAGTTTGAAAATGAAATTTACAATTCTTTTTAAAAAAATATTGACACGATAACAAATTTCATATTTAGTGGAAAATAATAATTAAAAATGTAACTAATTCTAAAAGATAAACAAATGTTTACTATGAAAATAAAGTCTTAATGAACCTGTCACTTTCAACGTGTCAAAGCTTTTTTAATACATTTTGTTGACGCTTTTGCAAAGGTAATAATTATTGTTGAAAATATTTTCGAAATGTTTTACAATTGCAAATTGAAATTTTTTGTTTAAAATTGAGAAAAAAATTTTCAGTTTTTATATTTAAAGAAACAAATTTTTTGTTCCCTTATATTCGATATTTATCTATTTTTTTCTAGATCTTACGAAAGGAAGAGTTTTTGTCAAAAAAAAAAAAAAATGTTTTATTTTTTATTATATTAAATAATAATTCGATTTATAATTTCGGAATAAATTTTATTTTGAAGGGAAAAAAAAAATTTATATTTTCCAGTGTTCATTTTTAATAATTTATTTTATTTTTTTGTTTACAGGTAGATGAAACTCTCAAGAAGAAGAGAACTTTCAGGAAGTTCACATATCGAGGAGTTGATTTAGATCAACTTCTGGATATGCCCAAGTAAGTTAAAAATATTTTTTTTTTTTTATTTTGAATTTACGCTTTTTCTTGTTTTGATAAAAATATTAAGTTTCGATTTTTTATATATCAAACATAACCTCAAACTAGGCTTTTATAAATCGAAAAAAATTGTGTATATTTTTCTATCCTGTTTCAATAAACGATTCTTGATTAAAAAATTACACAAAATTCAAAATTTATAAAATCAAATATTGCAATTATTATTATTATTATTATTACAATATTACAATTTTTTTTAGAAATGTATATTATTTTTTTGAAATATATATTAAAATTAATTTCTATTATTTTTTTCTTTACAATAAAGAATTTTTATTTTTAAGATTATGTTCTGTTAATGAAACACATTTATTTGTATTTATAATTTATAAATATTATATTTATAATTTTAAATATTTTGGTTATAATATTAAATTAAAATTATTATTTTTTTTTAAATTTTCAGTGAGCAATTGATGGAATTGATGAATTCTCGAGCTCGCAGGCGTTTGTCTCGTGGTTTGAAACGTAAACCAATGGCTTTACTCAAGAGATTGAGAAAGGCAAAAAAAGAAGCTCCTCCAAATGAAAAGCCTGAAATTGTCAAAACACATTTACGAAATATGCTCATCCTTCCCGAGATGGTTGGCTCCATTGTTGGAGTTTATAATGGAAAAACTTTCAATCAGGTTGAAATTAAGCCAGAAATGATTGGACACTACCTTGGCGAATTTTCCGTAACATACAAACCTGTTAAACACGGTAGACCAGGTATTGGTGCTACCCATTCCTCACGTTTTATCCCTTTGAAATAATTTATTATTATTATGAATTAATAAAAAAAAAGAGGGAAAATTATACTTTTCTTTTTTCAAATTACCAATCTTCCCCTCTATTTTAGTTTCAATTTTTTTTTTCAAACGGATCACAGAATCACCTTTTTTTTTTAATTTTGTGATTTTCACATTTTTAAAAAAATTTAATTTAAATAATAATTTTATTTCTTAATTGTAAAGTAATTTGAAAATATTTTACATAAATTTTTAAACAATTTTAATTTTTATTACTAAAAACATTTATTCATTGAAATTTTTATTGTTTCTAAATTTTATTATTTCAAATTTTTACACGATCTAAATTAAAATTTATTCTGATTTTAATGATTCTTAAATTTATACGATGAAAATTTAATTTTTTCAAATATTGAATGCAAAAAATCTTAATTTTTTACGGTATAAATTTGTAATGATTTTAAATTGAATTCATATAAATTTTAATTGCTTTTATTTTCTATATTCTATACAAATTTTAATTAAAGTTTCTCTATTCAAATTTTAGTCGATTCTATTTTTTAGAAATAAAGACAAAACAAATATATTCGAAGGAAATTTAATTTCTTCAATTTCAATTGACTTTAATTTTAGATAACTTTAGATTCAATCGATATAAATTTTAATAAATCCTACTTTTTTTTTCTTTTAGTAAAATTTTATATTTGAAGAAAATTTCAATCTTTTCTGAATTAAATTATTAAAAAAAATTTCATTTATTTAAATTGAAGTAGGTACATATAAATTTAAATAAATTCTAATTTTTAATGATAACAATTTTTATTTTCAAATTTTATGTAACTAAATTTTAAAAAATTCGGAAATTTTAATTAATCTACATAGGTCTGAATCTATTCAAATTTTAATCGATTTTATTTATTATAAGTAAAAATTTATATTATATATTTGAAGGAAATTTTATTCTTTTTTAAGTTTTATTTAATCCAAATTTTTTACACAATTTAAAGTTCAATTGATTCTTATTTTCAAACAAATTTAAATTGAAATTATTTAAACTTCAATTTACGAAAATTTTAAACTATTAAAATTTTTATTAATGAGTCATTCCATTATATTTCGAACAATGTCGTTGCCGACTAATTTTTAAAAATTATGATACTTTGCAGGGATGATCTTGAAGTTATAAAGATCACGAAATGAAAAGATTTTTACTAAAATTTTTATTATTTACTTTAAAATATGAATTTAAAGTGTACGAGGTGCTGAAAATTGACAGTTTTTCAGCCAGCAGAAAATATTCGAAAAAACCTATAATTTACCATAAAAGTGTGAAAATTATTATTGCAATTTATTAAGAATGACTAAATTTACTTTTATAAATTGATTTAAGCATTTAAAGATATGAAATAATAGGAAAAACATGATTTTCAATTTCATCTTAAAAATAACCTAATTTTGCTATTTTTATCGATTAATTATGAGAAAGGGTAAATATTAAATTAAAAAAAAACTTACCAAATATCAAGTCATTGCTATTAACTTTCAGATTTTCTTTGTACTTTTTAATTTTTCTCTTTATTTATATAAAAATTTTGAAAAAGAAAATTGCCACTTTGCTAATTTTTGCGATTTTTGAAACTGAATAACTTGTTTACAGTAAAACGGAAAAATCTGGGATTTTGGGAGTATTTAAATATACACTAAATAAACACACTACAAAAGTCTTGCGTTGGTTTTTGAGCTATTTTGTAAGATAAAGCAGATCGAAATTTCATTACTTTTGAGGCTATATTGACAATAATTTGTTCTTAACTTGAAGTTGGCTCGCAAGTGTCGAGCCTTGTAATAAATTCATATTTGTTTAAATATTAAATGACAACACTTGCGAGCCAACTTCAAGTTAAGAACAAATTATTGTCAATATAGCCTCAAAAGTAATGAAATTTCGATCTGCTTTATCTTACAAAATAGCTCAAAAACCAACGCAAGACTTTTGGAGTGTGTTTATTTAGTGAATATTTAAATACTCCCAAAATCCCAGATTTTTCCGTTTTACTGTAAACAAGTTATTCAGTTTCAAAAATCGCAAAAATTAGCAAAGTGGCAATTTTCTTTTTCAAAATTTTTATATAAATAAAGAGAAAAATTAAAAAGTACAAAGAAAATCTGAAAGTTAATAGCAATGACTTGATATTTGGTAAGTTTTTTGTTAATTTAATATTTACCCTTTCTCATAATTAATCGATAAAAATAGCAAAATTAGGTTATTTTTAAGATGAAATTGAAAATCATGTTTTTCCTATTATTTCATATCTTTAAATGCTTAAATCAATTTATAAAAGTAAATTTAGTCATTCTTAATAAATTGCAATAATAATTTTCACATTTTTATGGTAAATTATAGGTTTTTTCGAATATTTTCTGCTGGCTGAAAAACTGTCAATTTTCAGCACCTCGTACACTTTAAATTCATATTTTAAAGTAAATAATAAAAATTTTAGTAAAAATCTTTTCATTTCGTGATCTTTATAACTTCAAGATCATCCCTGCAAAGTATCATAATTTTTAAAAATTAGTCGGCAACGACATTGTTCGAAATATAATGGAATGACTCTAATTTAAATTTCAATTAATTTTAATTTTTATTTGTAAAAATCTATTAAATAGAAATTTTAACCCCTTTTTTTAAATAGAATTTAAAGAATTTACAAAATTTTTAATTAGTAAAATAAATTTCAAATAGAATACAAAATTAATTTTTTTTTTCACATGTTTTTGTCATTTATTTTTGAATTCAACTCTATTTTCGTATCTTTAAATAATAATAAAAAATACACTGAAAAAGTATTGTAAACAATTTAATTAAAAAAAATTTTTAACCATCAATAAAATTATTGCATTTGAATAAAAATTAAAAAAAAAATTTGACAGTGAAAAACGATTTTTTTTCTTTCCTCCAAGCTTAAAAAAATAAATTAAGAAACGATTTAATAACTTAAAATTTAACAATCGTTTATTCACTTTTAGAAAATTTAATTTTTATCCTAATGAAATTTGTTAAAAATAAAATTGCTAATAATTGTATTAAAAAAAAGTTTTTTATTTAAATCAAATAAATAAAACAGTCAAAACAAAAATGATGTAACAATGAAATTTAAAAAATATATACTCAAAAAAAATTTTTTAGAATATATTTTCTTAAACTTGAAGTACAAAAATAAATTTGTAGCTTGTTATAATTATTTTATTTATATAATTTAAATTTTTTGTTCAAATTTGAAATTATCAATGGTTATTCAAATTTATTTTTCATTTAATAATTTTTTAAATTCCTTTTTTTTATATCTTTCGCTAAAAGTTGATTACTACTTTTTTTTCGTATTAATTTAATAACATTTTAAATTGCACCAATAAAAAGGAAGCAATTAATTTCCTGAAAAATTATTGGTGTAAACTCAAATCAACCCTGAAATTTTTTTTCCAATTTAAAAAAAAAAACAACCATAAGCAAATATTAAAAGATTTTTAAAACTTTACATTAAAATTTTATTTTTTTCGTTTCGAAATAGATATTCCATTTTTTATTTACTATTTTCATTTATTTTTTTTTTTAAATGCCCGATATACGCAAGAAAACAAATCATCTGTATTTTTGAGGTTAGTCCACTCCAAATCATGTGATGTGGCAACACTGCGTTCAACGTCTTTGTGTGCGTGTATAATTCTTGTTTCGAATGTGAGTGTGTGTGAGTTGGTTTTCAACTCTCGCAACAGAGTTTGACAATTATTATTATATATTCATTTGACTGACATTCTTGTCGTGAAAATTTTTTCCCCAATAATAAGTGTTGTGAATTCATTAAAATAAAATAAAAAATAATTATCTCCTTTTTCTCATTATAATTAAAATGAAAGTCATGTTGTGGCAAAATCCAAAATCAAGGAGTGCTTATTTGACGGGAGATTTTCATTGACATGAAGGAGGTTGTAAAGAATCCACTGGTCTACGGGCCACTTCTACTTGGCAGATTATCCAAAGGCACTTTCATTAAAAAATCATCACGAAAGTGCAAAAATGGTTGTAAATTGAAAATTCGTTTTCCCCGTGAAATTAATAATAATAATAATAATAAAATTGCAACGCTTGTTTAAAATATTAAATGCCTGCGAGCATTGCTCGGAGGCATCGCAGTGTGTACCTTTAATATATATATAGCTATATATATATTTACACGAAAGGCGAATGATTAGTGAATAAATATTGTTTTAAGTGTCAAGTTTTTTTGTCAAGAGGAATTTTAATTTAGAAAATATATTTGACAATGGCTTCGACATCAAGTCCATCAGTGCAAGTTTTAATGAATAAAGGAAAACGTGGAGCTGCTGCCTATATTCATGCAGAATGTAGTAACCGGGCCATGGGATCCGGCTGCCCACGTCATCTCAATGAACTCCTGGATATTTTATTGAATCCTAGTAAAGCAATCGACGACTGGGAAACAATTGACTGGTGCAAATGGTTAATGGCTGGGGGCCGAACACCCGACGAATTTGTTAATACAGGTAATATATATCTATCTCTCTCTCTTTCTTTCTCTCTCTATATCTATCTATATGCATAATATAAATCTTCATATTTACGCACTTGCACGTGCATTTTCACTTCTTGGCTTCAATCGACTTTTAGTGTTTTGTATTTGAGGACAATGTCAAGTTCGCTTGAGAAATGTTTTTTATATAGAATCGCACTCTATCAAGGTAGGAGTCTTATTTGGTCAGCGAATGTTGATCCATAGAAGGACACGCTCCGAAGAGTTTTAATCATTTCTGTTTATTTGGCTGTGGGTGAATAAAATCAATTCGCAGGTTTTTTTTTTTTTTTCTATTTTCCAAAGTCTCGAGGAAAAAAAAATCGCCAGATTATTATTTAGAATTTATGAAATTTTAAAGTATTTTTACTGTCATGAGAAATTATTATGAAATTAAAAAATAAATTCAAAAAAAATATAATTTTAAAAATTAAAATGAAATTTTTTACAGACGTTGATGGAAAAATTTGATTTTTTTTTACATTCTATATATACAAAGTTTTATAGGTTAGATTGAAGTTATTTTGTTTTTGAATTTTCCCGTGATGAATATTATACAATGTCACATGCGTTAAAATGATATTCATGAGAATTCAGTGAATTTTGAGTTCTCTTCTTGATGTTTGTTGTCACTATAGACGTCAAAATGGTTATGTGAAAGGGTTATTGACCGAATATGTACTTTAAAATCAGAGATTATATATATATATATATAGACGGTCCAACAAACCTGAAACGTTAAACCGATCATTTGTCTCAAAAATGTTATAAACTGGAGTTTTTTTTTATAGAATTAATAAAAAAAAAAAACATCTCTTTAATCTCCGAAAAATCCTACTGGATTTTATATATTATTTTGCCACAATTAATTATTTTTTTTACCAAACATTTTTTTGGGTAAACAAAAATTGTTTATAATAAAAAAATTATGATTACAAAAAAAATTATATTTTTGATATATTTTTTTACATTAAAAAGAAGAATAAAATATTTTTTTATTATTTTGAAATAAAAAAATTTTAATGTTTTTTGTAAATATTTTTAAATTATAATTATTTTTTTTTTATAATTCAAATGTTTTTGCAAAATTAATTTTTTTTTTTTTTTGAATTTTTACTATACTTATACGTCGATGAAAATCATAAGGTTTATGATAAACGATTAAAGAGTAAAAAAATATTTTTCATGCAAAAAAATATAAAATTTGTTGTCTAGAAATTTTTTTTCCGAAAAATGTTGCATAAATTTTTCCAAACAAAAAATTATACTGAAAAAAAAAATTATTTAATTCAAATAATCGGTTACTTGACTATTATCAAATAAATATTTATTTGTATCAAATAATTATTATTTGAATCAATTAAATGATATTCATTTCAAATACAGAAATTCAAATACAGTTTATTTAATTCGAATAAAAATTATTTGGTTTAAGTAAATAATTTATTTCATAATAATCAAATAACTAATTATTTGAATCAAATAAATTTTTTTTTCAGTGTATAAATTTGTATAGAAAAATATTTATATATATCTGAAATTATGAATGTTCAAATAAACGAAATTTTTTTAATTTATCAATTTTTTATGTGTATGAAATTCTGAACGTTCAAATGAACAAAATAATTTTTTTACAGGAGTGAAAAATAAAAGAAGTATAATATTCTTTTTTTTATTTCATTTATAAAATTTATTGCGGTAAAAAAAAGTTTTAATTTCATATTTGAAGATTATTAACCGGATGTAAGATTCTTGAAGGAACTAGGCTATTGACCACGAGAATTTAGAAAAAAAAACATGCAGAGAAACAAACCAATAAAAATTAAATTTGACCCCAAGATAATCTAATTATTTCTCTTATAGGATCTTAAATTTATGAAATTACAATTTTTTTCCTTGACTAATAATAGAAAAAAAAATCAAAATTTTACGTTTTTTTTTTAAATTTAAACAAATATCAAAAGAATAAATAATATTTTTGTAAAATAATTTTTTATAAAATAATTTTTTTATGGTAAACAATTTTTTTTTTGCCATAAAATAATATTTAGTAAAGTTTTCATATCGTAAATTCATAATTCAAAAATCAAAATTCATACACGAATAGATAAATAAACCAAATAGAAAATTTGCGTATTTTAGAATTTTATCTTTTTTTTTTTTTTTTTTTTTTTAAATAATAGATTTTCAACATTATCGTTTTGAAATTAAAAAAAAAATTGAATTTTTTTTTGCCAACTAATCATGAGTAATTTAATTAATACACAAATCTCAACAAAATGAAAAAACCATTATATGTTTAATATTTATCAGTATAAGTAAAATATAATGATGACATTTCTGTTTTAGTTATTTAAAAAAAAAAAGATTTAATTTTCCTAACCATTATTCAAGTTCAATTAGACATTCTATTCTAAGAAAATTGTAATATTTTCTGTAATTTTAAAATGTGTAATATTTAAATTTTTCAAAAATATTGTTATATAATTTTTGTTTCGTCTATTATTTACTAAGATTTCAAACAAAAAATCAGTTTTAAATACAATTTTATCAAAAGCCGAGAAAGAATGCGAGGCAAGTCACGAAACGAGGTAAAATAAAAAATAAAAAAAAAAATTCAAGCTGAGATTTAAAAATAAAAATGTTTGATAAATTCATCATTGTTTATAAATTGATAAATAATATTATTAATAAATCAGAAAATGTCTATAGATCTCATAAAAAAAAAAAAAGATAAATCACATCAGAAAAACAATAATAGTTTCTTTTGTTTTATTTTATCGTAAATTAATATGTATTTATCATTAATTAATTAATTAATTTTTAATTTATTATTAGTTATTATTTAATCGTGAATTTAAGAATTGTCGTTTAGTAAATTAATTATTATTTATTAAATTAGAAATAATTTTCAATTTTATTTAATTAAATTAAAAAAATTTTTCTTTTAATTTCAGTGAGAATTTATGATAATGCCACTAATTGTGGATTAGTTTGGACGCCAAATTTTGTTGCTTATCGTTGTCGAACATGTGGAATTTCTCCATGCATGTCTTTGTGCAAGGAATGCTTCAAAAAAGGAAATCATACTCAACACGATTTCAATATGTTTATCAGTCAAGCTGGAGGTGCTTGCGATTGTGGCGATACATCTGTTATGAAGGAAGCTGGGTAAAAATGCAAAATTAATACGTATTTTTCCTTTATTTTTTTGTATGACTCAAAAGTCTCAAAAGAATTCGAATTAATTAATATTAAATCGAATTTTTGTATATATGATTACTAAATTTTCATTTAACAAAATTTCTATTTAATTCAAATTTTCATTGTATAGAATTTTAATTTAACCGAATTTTTATTTAAATATAATTTTTGAAATTCTATTTTGTTTTATTTTATAGAATTTTTTTTTTTTTATTGTTAATTCTCTTTTTTATTGAATTTTTAAATCGCAGAATTTCTATTTCACTGAATTTTTATGTAACAAAAATTTTAAACGGAATTTTTTTCACATATTTGATATAATTTTCTGTTTAATTTATTTATAAGTAAATTTCTATTTAATATAAATTTGATTTTATTAAATTTTTTACTCAATTTTTTGTAATTGATTTTTAACTTTTGTAAAAATGTTACACGAAGTTTTATTCAACAGAATTTGTACTTTTTTTCATATTTTACAGTTTTTTTTTTCGTTTTGTATACATTTTTTTGAAAATACATAGAATAATTTTTATTTTCATATAGATTTTGCGATAAACATGGACCAAAAGCAGCAGCCAACAAAACAGTTGCACCTTCGGAATTAATGTGTGTTGCTGAAGCAATGATGCCAAGAATTATTCTTCGACTCATTCAACATCTTCGAGAAAATTGGTAAATTTATTAAATTAATTCGATTTGGCAAATCTTTTTGCATCTAATTAGTTTTTCTTTGTCACAACAATGTTAATTAATTTAGAATATTTTGTATCTTTAAGAGAATTGATTTTTACCATTTTTTGTTTATTTGTTAAAATATTTTATTTATTATTAGATAAATTTTAACGATGCTGAAATCCAAAACTTTTATCATCAACGATTAGAAAATAAATCTTTTTAAAAGCGTAAAATTATAAAAAAAAAAATTTGTCGAAAAATATGTTTTTTTTTTATAATTTATTGATAAATAAATAATGCATGAAATATTTTTAAGACGAAAATTCAGAAAATTTTCATTCAAAAAATTGATCATTGTGAAATTCAGCATTCTAAATTTTAAGAACTTTTGTCCTAAACTTTTATCATTGAAAACTTTGTTTTAATTTTTTTTTAAACTTTTATCCTAAAAATTATAAACGCCGGAATTTTTGCAAAAAAATAATTTTTCTTGAAAAATTCATAGATAAAACTGTAGATAAAAATAATATTTATCTAAAATTTTAAAATCAATTTTCAATTCTAATGTTAAATGAATTAAACAATATTTTAATATTTGAAATATATGTAATTTAAAATTTTTGAAAATTATTATTTTATTCTTCTTCAAAAGATATTTGTGAAATTTTTCAATTTTCATGAATATATACATGAAGTTAAATATTTAAAAAGACTTTTAATTTTTTTTTTAATATTTTTGTTTTTTAGGATTTTTCTTATTGTTAAAAATTGTTCATCACTTGTTACTAATTTAGTTTAATTTTTGTTTTTTTTTTTTCATTAATTTAGCAAAGTCGGAGTGGCTGATTATCGGGTCGCTATTCAAGGTGCAGATGCTTATTTATCGATGCTATTAGATTTTAATAATATGGGTGCAGTAATGCGACATGTAATGACCGCAGCACTTACAAATCCACAAAAATATCGATGTTTCATGGATCCCTCAGTTTTTACTGGGAAATCAGATTACGATAACTACTGTCAGGACAGTAATAAAATTTATCAAGACGCCATTAAATCGCTACCAAATCCAGAACCGCCAGATGAATATAAAGGTAATATTAGAAAAAAAATATAAAAAAAATTTAGTCAAATTATATATATATATTTTTTCATCTATTTTACATATTTTTCTATTTTGTTACCTTTTTCATCTTTCTCATCGTGAAATTAATTTTTCGGTTGTAATATTTAAAGAATAATCAGCAAAATGAAAAATGATAGAAATTATGAGAGAAGTTCTAATTTTAATTTTTCGAGTTTTATTTTAAAAATTATTAACAAATTTTTTGTTTTTTAAGTTTTTAAATTATATTATAATTTTATATACTATACATATTGTCATGAAGAAAATTTTTACCTCCTCCCCCCCCCAAAAAAAAATAAATTTCGTTGCGTTGAAATTTCACAGAAATCGAAATTAAGTTTCAAATTATCTGAATTTCAATTTAAAAAATTATTAGTTAGAATTTTGATTTTCAAGAATTTTATTAGATACTTATAATTATTTTTTTAGATGAATTTTCACTGACAAAAATTTTTAGGTACCGAATTTTTATTCGTCAGAATTTTTAAAACGCCGAAATTTTAATTGTCCGAACAAATAATTGACAGAAATATTTTGGCACGATTTTTTTTTGATAATTTATAATTGATCAATTTTAAAAAATTGTGCCAAAATCTTTTTGTCGATTATTTTTTTTTGGACGTTTTCAATTTCGGACAAATAAAAATTTGGAGCTTTCAGAATATTATGTTAATTAAAAATTCATTTAAAAACAAAATTCTGTCAAATTTTAATTCGAAAAATAATAATTCATCTAAAAAAAATAATTATATTATATAATAAAATTCTTTAAAATAAAAATTCAAACTAATGATTTTCGGGATAAACAAATAAAATCGTTAAAAATAATAAAAATACACCAAAGCGTTGGAGATCTATAGAATTTGGAGTTAGAGAAATAAAAATAAAAGGTTAAAAATAATGAAGTTCTTAGTTAAAATAAATTACAAATTAATATAAATTAAATTAAAGATTACCTAATATACCAAAATTAAAAAAATTTATATAAAGACACAAAAATAAATAAAATTAAAAAAAAAATCTAGTTTTAATATATATGTGAAACTCGATGATTCCCTGAGTTCATTAACCATAATATTATGGTAAAAATTTGATTCCCTTTAAAAATATTAATTATCAAAAGTAGGAGTTTCACGATGTGATTTCGTAACCATAAATTTTTCAAATTTTTTTTTTGAAAACGCTATTATTAAAAAAATATTAAAAATTAGATATTGGAACACTCACCAAAAAATATAAATCACTTTATTCTGCAACACAGAAACGAAAGAATTATTACAAAAATTTATTAATTTTAGATGATATATGATTTTGAAAAAAAGTTTCTTGAAAGAATTTCAAAATTTTTTTTTACTTATAACTTTTTTGTCGGTTGTTGTTTTGCTTCGTTTTGTAGATATTACTTTTTTTTTAATTTTTACTTAAAAAGGTTAATTAAAATGCTTGAAGTTAACTGACCAATTTCAAATCGCTACATTTTTTTTTATAGAAAATGAAGGTGTTTGAAATTGGTTAGTTAACTTTAAGTCTTTTAATTAACCTTTTTAAATAAAAAATGTTGAAAATTAATATCTCCAAAACGAAGTAAAACACCTTCTTGTGATTTTAATAGAAGGTAAAGAATATTATTAAAAATCTATGTGCAAAACCTCAAATTTTTCGGAGCATCGACAAAAAAGTTATAAATAAAAAAAAAATTTAGAAATTCTTTCAAAAAAATTTTTTCCAAAATCATATATCATCGAGTTTCACATATATTAAAATTAGATTTCTTTAAAATTTTGATCGCAACCACTTTTAGACGAAAGTCAGTGGAATGACCCGAAATTACCCACGTTAATAATTTCTTAAAAGGCTTGATTAATAGAAATTTACTATTTTTTTTCTTTAGAATGCGCTTCCTTGAGAGAACATTTGGAACATAATACATTTTTAGAGGAACTTGTTTTCTGGACAGTCGCTTATGAATTTCCTCAAAAACTTGTTTGCTTTCTATTAAATATGCTACCGGATCTCGATTATAAGGAAGATTTAACTAGAGCTTTTGTACTTCACTATAGTAGAATTTCAATGATGTTGGAACGATCAACAGATCCTGAAACTTTGAGTAATCGGGTCGTTCATGTCAGTGTACAGGTAATTTATTGAATTATATTTAATAAATATTTTATTTACCTTACTCTATTCAAATTAAAATTTTTTATAATTATTCCCTGTAAATTTTCTCGTAAATTACTTGATAGATACAATGAATAATAGAAAGAATTATTCTAAAAAAAAAAAAAAAATTGCATATTTGGTGAATGAATAAAATTGTATTGTCGACATATAAATTTTCCTCAATTAAACAATTTTTTAAACATTTAAATTTGTTGAGAAAATTATAACACTCTGGCACATAATATCGATTGTTTATACTACTTTGAGTTCTTCATAAAAAAATTTTTTTTTTTTTATCATTTCTATTAAAATACAGAATATAAAAATACATATAAACATAAACACAAAGTCAATGATTATAAATTGATTCAATTGAAATGTAAAATAGTAAAAAACAAAATACATAATTTAATATTGAAATAATTGTTAATAAGTAAATTGATATTATAACATATTAAATTAAAAATTACAGTTATTCAGCAATGAGGGCTTGGCACTTCGAATGGTTGATCAATTGAAATTACTTCACGTCATGGTTATTAGCTTAAAGTACATGATGAGCAAAATAATCATTCAAAATACATTGCACGGTGAGTTAATTTGAAATTATTTAAAAATATATGATGTATTCCACGCCAAAATGTAAGTCCATCTGCAATTGCATCTCCGATTTTTTTGAGATTTTTTTTTCTTTTAGTACTAACTGAGACTAGCTTCCATGAATTTTTTCAAATTTTTTTAGCAAGCCGTTTTCGAGTTATGAAATTTTGAAAATTGGAGAATTTTTATGACTTTTAATTTTTGAATGCTCATAACTACCTTAAAAATGCATCAATTTTAAAAGTCTTTTTTTCAAAATGTGTGTTTTTAAACGTACTTTTCAAAAAAAAAAAATCGAAAATTTTTTTTAAACCATATTACTTTCAAATTTTTGAGTTTTAATGATAAAAAGTCATTTTTCTCATTTGACGTACTGATCGATTTTTTTCAAATTTTTTTCCAAAAAAACTACTTTTTTTTACGAAACTTTTAAGCCTAGCCCAATAATGGGCAAACGATTTTTACAATATTTTTCGAATTTTTCAAAAATTTTTGAATTTTGAATTTTTTAAAAATATTTTTGGTTTTTTTTTTATACTACGTACTTTTATGTATTTTGATGCGCTGATTATGAAAATCATAGTGACAATACCCAAAAATTTGATTTTTATGGTGAAAACCATAAAAAAAAGTCCCAAAATTTATGGTTTTTTTCGTTTATTGGGTAAAATATGTAAAATTAGAAAAAAAAACTTCCAAACAAAAGTTATAGATAGACCTTATTAAAATACATTTTTTTTGTCTTATGCATTTTTATTAATTTTGCATATTTTACCCAATAAACGAAAAAAACCATAAATTTTGGAACTTTTTTGATGGTTTTCACCATAAAAATCAAATTTTTGGGTATTGTCACTATGATTTTCGTAATTAGAGCATCAAAATACATAAAAGTACGTAGTATAAAAAAAAAACCAAAAATATTTTTAAAAAATTCAAAATTCAAAAATTTTTGAAAAATTCGAAAAATATTGTAAAAATCGTTTGCCCATTATCGGACTAGGCTTAAAAGTTTCGTAAAAAGAAGTAGTTTTTTTGAAAAAATTTTGGAAAAAATCGATCAGTAAGTCAAATGAGAAAAATGACTTTTTATCATTAAAACTCAAAAATTTGATAGTATAATATCGTTTAAAAAAAATTTTTGATTTTTTTTTTTTTTTTTTTGAAAAGTACATTTAAAAACACACATTTTGAAAAAAAAGACTTTTAAAATTGATGCATTTTTAAGGAAGTTATGAGTATTCAAAAATTAAAAGTCATGAAAATTCTCCAATTTTCAAAATTCCATAACTCGAAAACGGCTTGCTAAAAAAATTTGAGAAAATTCATGGAAGCTAGTTTCAGTTAGTACTAAAAGAAAAAAAAATCGTAAAAAAATCGGAGATGCAATTGCAGATTGACTTACACTTTGGCGTGGAATACATCATATATGTATACAATCGATTATATTTCATCCAAAGTCGTTGCAGTCTATTTTTTAAAAAATAATATAATAATTTAATTATTTTTCAGAAATTTATTTTTAATACCTGTACAATATATTTTTGTTAATTTTATAAAATTTTCTGTATTTATCATAGAATTTGAATTTTAAAATTAGTTTTAAAAAGCAATGTACGCAGCTCTTTTGTAAATGAAAAAAATAATCAATTTTTGTCGAAGATTGAATTTGCTTCTTTATAAATTCTGTTAATATATATTTTATTATTATTATTATTATTGCTTACTAATGAATAATAAAATACTATTTGTATTTTCCAGATCCAGACAAAAATTTTCATTATGTCGTTGATTGTGGACGACAAGTGATGAAGGAACATTGTTATTGGCCTCTCGTGTCCGATTTAAATAATGTGCTCTCACATAAACCAGTTGCCTATAGATTCATGAAAGACGATACACTTTTAGAAATGTGGTTCGATTTTCTCTCCATGTTTCAAGGTAAGGAAGGAATTTTTAATTTTTAAAAAAATTATTATTTTTATCTATAACAATATTTTATTAAATTTGTGCATTTATCATCTAGGTATGAATGTTAATCAACGTGAATTGGGACAGCATGTGGAATTCGAACCTAATACTTATTATGCGGCATTCAGCGCTGAATTAGAAGCAAGTGCTTATCCAATGTGGGCTTTAGTATCTCATTTGCAAGGTCCAGAAAGTGTTGTTCTAAGTCGACGGATTCTTACATTTTGTCTCTGTGCACTGCAAGATTGGTTGGATGCTGTTAATTATACTGATACAAATGTGGTAAATTATTACTTTTTAAAAATTATTAAAAATCACTTTCGGTTTTCAAAAGAAAAGAAAAAAATTTTCTAATATTTTATTACAGACAAAATTAATTTTTTATTTACTTTATTTCAAAAAAAAAAAAAAAAAAAAAAAAATAGAATATAAAATTTTAATTAATTTAACAAAGGGGAAAAAATTATTTTTTAAAATTTCAATTTCTGTAAAATTAAACATGTTGGCGAATATTTAATTGACATTTTTTTCTAAAATTATTTAACTTTTGAAAATATAAAATTTTTGAAAACACGACTTTTTAAAATCAGGATTGCCATAAAAAATTTAATTTATTTTTTCTCTATTTTCAAAACAAAATTTTATCTTCTTCCCTGAAATCTGAGAAAGTATTTTTTTTTGTTGAATTAATTTTACATCCGTCATTTATTATATTATTAATTTTTACGAAGCCTTTAAACGGACAACAGATGTTTAAAATTTTAAAAAAAAAATTAATTTTATTAATTAATTTTACAATTAAATAATTTTATAATGTTTTTTACCATTTTATTTAGAATTTCAATTTTCAAATTCTTGAAAAAAATGTCCAAAACTTAAGAAAAAATAAAAATTATAAATTGGATTAATTTTATATAGATGTAAATTTAATTTTCATTAATTTATAATTCTTAAGTTTACTATTGCTTTAATTTTAAAGAAAATTTAACATTAATAATAATAATTAGAAAAAAAAATGTTTTGAACCAAAGGAATTGACAATTTTCAGAAATTTAAAATCTCAATCTTTGAAAAATTCACATTTGGAAAAATGTTAATGATTTTTTTTTTTGTTTTAATATTTTCAGAGTGACAGACTGCAAGTTTCGTTTCATCTGCCTCTTCATAGATATTTTGCAGTATTCATGTGTCGCGCTGCCAGACAACAAGGAGTCACACTTCATGAGTTATTGCCGTCAACTGAAATGCTTCACCTTCTCATGATGCATCCATTACGTGTACAAGTAAGTGAACATTTTTTTATTCTTAATTTAAAGGGCACAAAAATTAGATCCAATTTTAAGATTTTTTTTTTACGGTAGCAGAATGAAAACAATTAAAAATTCAATTATATTATTATTATTAGATATATATATTATGAGAAAAAAATTATTTTTATAATTAAAATATTAAAATGTCGATGAGAGTATGGTTGATGCAAAAGAACCGTTTTTTTTTAGTACAGTTCTACGGTCGGAAAAAAAACTTTATTTATTTTTGAATTAGATCAAAAAACCAAAATTTTTCTGAATTTATAACTCAAAAACTAGAGAAATTAACGATACTTTAATCTATCTAAATATTAATCGATTTATGTTTGAAAATTTTTCAAATTTGAATTGATTTAACTTTCAAATCATTCGAATTTTAATTTTTTCAAATTTTAATGGACTTAAATTTCAAATTATCCAAATTTTTAATAATTGGTTTTAATTGCACTATCAATTTTTTGTTTCTTCATAGAAAGCTTTATATAGTTATGACAATTTTTTATCTCTTCTGACAAATCTGGTTCCAAATCGATTAAAATTAGAATAAATTGAAATTGATTAAAATTTACTAAAAATTCAATTAAAATACTAAGTATTAAAATCTTAAAATAGATTGCAATTAAAATTGGAGAAATTGAATTTATAAGATTAAAATTTCCTTGAAATATAAGTTTTTACTTATAAAAAATAGAGAAAAAAGTTAGAATTGATTGAAATTCAGTTTAATTTGTATAAATAAAAATTTAATCAATTGAAATTTGAATTAATTAAAATTTCAACAAAAAATTGATAATTGATTAAATTAAATTTTAGATCGTTTGAATTTAAAAGTGATTAAAAAACAATAAACTACACTACTAGATCGTAAAAAATTAGGATAAATTAAATTTTCAAAACGATTGAAATTTCCTACAAAAATAATGTTTTACCAAAAAGAAAATCCGGATGAAATTATTAAAAATTGAGTCAACACAAAATTTACAACTAATCAATTTTAGAGAATATTCTTGTGTTTTTGAAAAAAAAACAAATATTTATTATAAATTTAGGTATTTTTTTTTCTTTTATTTATTAACTAGAAAATTCTTTTTGATAGATTTTAATTTCTACATTTTTATGATTAACTAAACGAGAAAAGTCTTTCGAATAATATTAAAACTAAAATTTTTCTTGAAGTGAAAATTCTTCATTTTTTCCAAACTTCTATTTATGAAAAATAGTAAAAAAAAAAAAAAATCTAAAAAAAGAAATTTTCTACAAAAAAAAAATAGTGGAAAAACTCTTGAAAAATAATGCACTGTTTCAATGTTTATTTAGATTTTAATTTTAAATGAAATTTTTATCACATCCATTAAAAAAAAATGAATTATTCATACATTGTAAGTTTTTAGCACTAGATATACAATTAAATTGTTCATTTATTGTAAAATCACAGAATTTCTCTCGAGTCAATACAAGGAGATTCGACAATACTGAACTCCATGATATATATATTTTTGTTTTTTGGCTTTCTATAGAGAAAAAAATTAACATACTATTATTATTATTATTATTAGTCCCCAATTAACGAGGTGTTGTTTTTTTCTTCAAATCTTTTAATACACGAGTATTATAAATGGCGTTTAAAGAAATGCAAAAATAGATAGCTAATTATGTAATTTCTTTAAACTAAAAAATCGTACAAAATATTTATATAGCCGAATGTAATTTTATAAACTTAAAGTTTTATTTATAAAAAGAAAGTATCTAATTCTAATTATAAAAACGCGTTAATAGAAAAAAATTATTTCGAAGAGAACATTTTTTTTTTATGTAAAATTAAGATTTTAAATAATCATTGTTAGATTTGTGTCTTTACGCAAATTAATGATATTTGAATTTTAATTAATTGTTGTTAATTGTTAATAATTATTTAATAATTGTCATTTAATAATTGTTACTTAACAATATTGTTTTTTTTCTAATTCTGTATAGTTATTTAACAACAATGAATTAAAAAACAAAAAAAAAAGGTTAATTACTTCTATACGTAGCACCTGGCTGACAGTATTTCTCTTTTTTTTATGTTCTTATTTTTCTATATATTTATATATTATAAAAAACCAAAGATGAGAAAAAAAAGAAAATAAATTATGAGGCAGTGATTTCGTTACTTAATCCAATCACTGGTTTCGATGGCGATAAATCAATTTCCAAATGTTTGGCAAAATTGTACGTTATTAATTTTAAAGCGACAAATCCTCCCGATCCTGTTTGTCCTTTGTGGAAAATTCCTGCGCCCGCTATTGGCACTGGTGGCTTTGGTACTATTGGTTGAATATCAAGGAATGGTATTGTCGTTTGTCCCGCGTCTTTTCCAAGATCAGTTGGTGCAAAATGTAAAAATTGATTTGATCGTGAATCGGGAACAGCTCTCGATTCCAAACGTATTGGAATGTCAGGTTTCTCCAATTTGAGCTCGGTCCTTGAGAAAAGAGAACAAAGAAAAAAAAAAAAAAACAAAAGATGAGAAAAAGAAATTTTCACATTTTTCGAAAAATTTCTCTTGTCAAATTAAAAAAATAAAAGAAAATTATTCCGCATTTTTTTCGAAAAATTTCTTTTTGTAAAATGAAAACAAAAAGGAAAAATAATTCCATTTTTTTTTTTCATAATTTCTCTCGTGAAATGAGAACAAAAATTTTTTTTTTATTTTTGTTCTCTCACGAAATTCCATTTTTTTCGAAAAATTTCTTTTTGTAAAATGAAAACAAAAGGAAAAATAATTCCATTTTTTTTTTTCATGAAAATTTCTCTCGTGAAATGAGAACAAAAAAATTTTTTTTTTATTTTTGTTCTCTCACGAAATGGGGAAAGAAAGAAAGAAAAAAAATTGTTCTTTGTACCTCTTGCCAACAACTGGTATGTGTTCGTTAAAACCCTCATTTGCATCGGTGTTGTCATTCGCATACCAACGACTCTTTTCCTTCATCAAAATACCGGTAGTAAAATTAAATGGCGTTGCGCGAATTTCGAGATTTAAATTCGAACCAAGTAATTTGAATTTCAAACCTAGAAACAAAATTCGAAAATTGTTCTTTTGAAAATAAATATAAAATAGAAATTATAACTATTAATAATAATGATTAATATTAATTAAATTTAAATAATATTATTTAAATATTAAATTATTATTTAAAATTAATAAAATTAGTAATTAAAATTATAAAAATATAATTTTTTTTTACCAGTTAATAAATGATCTGGTGGCGGAACAAGATCATCTAAATCCATTCCTCTTTTCTCCCAGCTCACTGTATGATAATCAATTCCATTTTTAACATTTCTATCTAAAATTGTATAATCGTCAATATCTTTCCACGATATACTTTGTGGATCGATATTGCCTTGAGCGCGTAAAATTCCCTCTTGAATTTGAATATGTATTATTTTGTTGACCTTCTGTAGTCTTATTCCTGTTACGACTCTGTGAACAAAAATTTGCTTTTTCTATTTTGTTCTGTCGTGAAATAAGAAAAATAATAAAAAAAAAAAAAACAATTTTTTCCACTCACTTATTATTGTCAATATCGGAAACGACTTCTCGTAAATTAAAGTAACGATCGGAATTTGAATTATGATCGTCACAATAACAGAAACAATAGCTGCAATGCCAGAAAAGCCAACGCCACCAACTATCAACTTTTGTTGTTCCTATATGACATTGATCTTTTTTTCCATATATAAGTCCATTTTCATATTCGATATATTCATATCTTCGAGTACTGTTCCTTGCCTTTTTTTTCAAATTTTAGAAAAAAATCAAATTTTTAAAATTATTCAATAATTTTGCAAAAATTTGGAATTTGTAAATTTAATATTACAATTATTAAATCTATAATAATAATAATATTAAAAATTTATAAATTTAATATTTCAAATTCTTGAATTTTAATTCAAAAATTGGAATTTTTTTACGAAAAATTTTTTTGGAATATTTATTTATGTAAAATAAAAAATGGATTTAAAATTAAAATTTCAAAAAAAAAATTAAGTGATTGAAAAAATTCGATTTTTCTTTCTAATTTTCTTACCGATGGACAAATCCACATATCAGAGTCAATATATTGACAGTGTACAATTTTTCCATTACATCGACGTTGTTGTGAGCAAAATTGATTTTTATAACAGCTCTGCTGTTTTGCCACCGTGTAATAGGCACAATTTTCTCTACAAGTTGCTACATCGTTAAGGTCTACTTCATTTACAATGTAGCCTTGGAAAAGTTGTTTCAATTCCGTGTATGTTTCTTCTGTAAAATATTAAATCAACAAAAATTGCAAAATACAAAAAAAAAAAAAAAAAAGAAGAAGAAAAGAAATATTTTCCTAAAATTATAAATTACATCAAATTATTGCCGTAGTTTATTAATATTTCCCGTCTAAATGAAAATTAATTACAACAAAAAAATTGTGAAATTAAAATTTGAAAAATTATATATAGTTACAAGTTTTTAAAAATATAAATTCGGTTAAATACAAAATCTAGTAAATTAAAAAAATAAGGTTTTAAAAAAAAATGAAAATTCGTTTCAAAGAAAATACGATAAGTTAAATAAAAATTTGCTTTCATATAGGAATTGTAAATAAAAAATGGAATTAAATGAAAATTTTCTTTTAAACAGAAATTCGGTTTAATGAGAATTTTATTATTTCAAATTAATGAAAATTTTACTAAAAAGAATTTTATTATTTCAAATTAATGAAAATTTTACTAAAAAGAATTTTCACTTTATAATGAAAATTATGTGGAAATTTGGTAAATAATGAAAATTCTGTTAATTATAGAAATTCATTAAAATCGAAATTCTCTTAAATTTTGAAAAATCGATTTAATATTAGTTTGCGAAGATGAAAAATTTTAATAATCATTTTATTTCATAAAATTCGGCTAAAAAGAAAAAAATTGATATAAATTTTTTTATACTCTACAAAGATTGAGTTTCCAGGAAGTAATTTAAAAAAAAATAATAATAATAATAACTTAAGGTCATGTGACTGTTGTTATTACCCATGTAAACATTCTTCGCAGGTTTTCTCGCAAAATACTTTGGATTAAACTTGAAATTTTGTGTAAAATTCAAAAATTCAAATCCATTGTCACGTGCAAGAGTTTAATATTTTAATAAATTAAATTATTATTAAATTATTTATACTATTATTATTATTTTAATAGAATTAATAAATTATTTTATTATTTATTATTAAATAAATTATTATTAATTATTAATTATTTTGTCAAAAAATGTATTCTTAAAAAATTAAATATTTTGAAAAAATTACTGAAATTAAATTTTTAACATTAAAATTTAAAAAAAAAATTAAAAATTAAAAGCTAATATTAAATTTTTTTCAAATATGGAATTTATGAAAAAATAAATTTTTTTCGACAAAATATTTATTAATAATACTTTGGCACATAATAGCGATTTTTTTTTTTTTTAATACTTTTATTGAGTTCTCAACAAAATTTTAGCTCAAGTTATATGAAGTAGGTATTTTGCGAGAAAACCTGCGGAGAATATTTATATACATATGTGAAATCACAATATGACCTTAATTATTCTCACCTGCTTTGTGAACGGCTGGATCACATTTCCATAGATCTCGAGGTGCAAAAGCCATTGCTGTTTTTACTGCTCTTAATGTTTCAGTTATTCTTTCTTGAAATTCCCTTTTTAATTGATTAGCCTCCTCAGTGAACGATCCTGAAATATCGCTTTTCGATTTATCGACTATATTCTGTTTCCACGTACAGATGCGTTTCAATTTTCTTTTTTTTTTAAATTTTCTTTTCAATTATCAATTAATAATTAATAATATTATTTTATTATTTTTCTATATTAATTATTTTATATTATTGTATAATATTATATTATATAACAATATTAAAATATTATATAATAATAATAATAATAATAATAAAAATAATAATCAAAAATGAAAATTAAGAAATTCAAAAAAAATTTATTGCAAATTATTTCATTATCAATTATATAATCAGAAATGTAGAACAAATTTTTTTATCTCGACAATTTTGTTTTCTCAAAAAAAAAAAAAAAACAAACAAACAAACAAACAAAAAAAATGCAAGACGTACCGTTTTCGTAAAGTTTCAAAAGCTTTAATGAAAACTGCATCATTGTGTAGCCTTTAATTTCAGTGAGGGTAATGGTATTATAAAGATTATACAACAATTGTTGTGGTGACTGTTGAAGATTACAAATTTGTGCTGAAGCTTCCTGCAAATAAGAACAATTTTTTTTTATTCAGTCACGATATATTTACTTATCTGAAAATTGATCATTGCATTAAAAAAAAAAAAAATGACGGTAAATTGTTGAGATAAATTTTTAGTTTTTTTTTCTAGGAAAAAATTTTCTTTTTATTTTATATTGCGAAATTTTCAGTGTTTTAAATTTCTATTTAACAGAATTTAATTTAATTTAATTTAATTTTATTTTATTTAAAAGTAGAATTTCTATATTGAATTGCATTTTGAAGTCAAAACGTCAAACATTATTGAATTTACATGTCAAAGAATTAGTATATTTATCGGAATTTGTATTTTTATTTGAATTTCTATTTTACAAAAATTTATAAAGTAGAATTCATTGTAGAAAAAAAATTTTTTTATTTACCGATTTTGTATTTAACAAAATTTCTACGAATTTGTATATTATATAGTAGATTCGTCAAATATTCTTTTCACGGAATTTTCCGTATTTCTATTTCAAAGAATTTTAATTTTTAACAGAATTATTATTTTTTACCGAATTTCTTCTTCGAATATTCACTTAACAGAATTTTTTTTTTACTAAATTTTAATTTAAGAGAAAATCTATTTTTAATGAAACTTTTTATTTAATTGAATTTTGATTGAAGAGAATTTTTATTCGAACAAATTTTTATTTAGCAGAATTCTTATTTATGAGAATTTCCATTTAGGAATTTTTTTTTTTAAATATTAGAATTTCTATGAATCAACAAATTTTCATTATATTTTTCAAAAATATTCGTTGTAAATATTTAAAATTTTTAAATTCACAAATCAAAAATTTTCAAGAAATTTTTTGATTGATTATTAGCCAAAAGTTTTGAACGTTGAAATGAACGAAATATTTTTTTTAATCTATAAATTATTAGAAATTATGATGTCAATGTAAATTAAAACAGTAAATTAAACAACATTTGTTTAGATTTTTAAAAAACAATATTTTATAATAAAATTCGTACTTAAAGAAGTTGTAAAAAAAATTTTGTTCATTTGAACGTTAAAAACTTTTGGCTCATGATTGGTTATAAATTTTTTTTTTTTAGTTCGCGACAAAAATTGTCGTCTGCTTTTTTGGACAAATTAAAATTCGTCGCTTTCAAAAAAATTTTTCACTAACAGTTTTGGATAAAATATTTATAAATCGAGTATAAGAAATAAAAATGCTTTGACTTTAAAATTCGACTAAGCAGAAATTAGGTTAAATTTAAAATTAAAAAAATTAAAAATTAGATTATAAAGAGAAATTTTATTTATTTAAAAATTAGGTTAAATAGAAATTTATTTAATAAATTTTATTTTTATTAAATAAAATTTAGGTTGAATAGAAATTTGATTAAAAAACAAATTCTATTTAATCGAAATTAGATAAAAATTCGACTAAATAGAAATTAAATAAATATTTACTAAATCAATATTAAAAAAAAATTTCAAAGATAATATTTATCGTAATAAAATTTGACATTTAAAGAAATATTTACGCTTCTCTAAAAAGTTGACAGAAATTAAATTTTGTATTTTATTTTTATTTTTTTTTTGTTTATCTTTTTTTTTAATACCTTATAAGCTGAAACAAATAAATTTTGTCTGACGATATTATCGGTTATTTCTTTGAGTGCTTGAGGTACAGCAACATTTGGATCATGTAGAATATTTTTGGCAAAATTAATCCACTCATTTTCACTAACAAAACCATTTTTTTCTTTAAATTCATTTTGCATTTCACGAAATCTCATATAAAAACCATTAATTCGTCTCATATTTGTTTGTGTTCTTGCCCATATCCAAATTGTATTAAGAGCATCAACATATTCATCGGGTGAATGATCAAATGTTTTTTCAATATTGTCACCGAAATATCGATAAACATTTATCAAATTATAAACTGTATTGTCCCTTTTAAAATATTCATCATTGAGTTCGTCTCCTAATTTAAATAGATTTTGTCGCAATGTGTCTATTATTGAATATTCCTTACGAATTACAGCATTCGCTCCTATAATTAGGAGACAAATACTAAAAAAATGTCTCTGTCCCATTTTTCACTGTCTATTCACTGTTATTCGATGCACTTTTAGAAATTTAGTTATATACCTATATTATGATACGAGTGGAGAAAACTTTTAACTAATGACCTTTTTTTTTATTCTTTGCTTTTATTTAATTTTTATTTATATAGAATTTTTTTTCCTCATTTATTTCTTGTAAATTAAAATGTATTTATATAGGGCTAAATAAATTTTTTATCTCTCTCTTTGACTCGAGAGATTATTTTCATAATAATAGAGATTATTTTCTCCAAGGGTTTTTGTTTGATAAAAAACAATTACATCAGAAAATTTTCTTATCAATGAAATTCATTAGAAATTGAAAGGGAAAATATTTTAGATCTGTAATTATTTTATCCTTGAACTCACGAAATGATTTCGCAAATACAAGAAACTTATATAGATATACGTCACAGGAACTTGAGAATGCACGCTTGATAAACATAACAATTTTGCTGAATTGTCATTTTATTGGAGCACACTAAATTCTTTTATATGCGTCGCTAAAAAAAAATAATAATAATAATAACGAACAAACGTGAGATTATTCATTTATACTAATCAAAATTGAAAAATAATTTTTTTTTTCACAATCACAATCAATTTATTAAGATGGAATTTTTTTTCAAATAATTATTTGAGAATTGATGATAATTTTCTTCTTCAAATAGTTTTTTTTTTTTATTAATAATTTTGAAATTATTATTATTAATTATTGAAATTATTGAAATAATTATAAATTATTATAGATTATTTCTATGAAATATTCGTTAAAATACGTCTTTAGTTCCCGGTTGCGTTTTTCTGTTTTCTTTGTTTTGATTTACGTTCTCTCTTGAAATTTCATTGCAATCAACATTTTTTTTTGCATGATTCAATTTATAAAGAACTAGGACAGGATTAAAGGCGAGATAATCGAGAGAGATGACTCATTTTTTTTCTCTTTTTTTTTTTTAATATAATGCAAATTTCAAAAGGTTACATTTTAGTGCAGGGAAAAAAAAATTAATGAAGAAGTAGAAAATGTGATGTTCGATATTTTTATTAAAATAAAGCAGAAATATTTTTGATGCCTTTTAGACTTTAATTCAATGTCCATTTGCTTTAATCCGAATTATATGAATGTTAAATGTTTCGTTTTAAAAAAAGAAAAAAAAAAAAAAAAAGAGGTCACCCAGGGTCAATTTAGTAAAGGCTTTTTCCACTCGTTTATACTTTAATCAATCAATTGAACATATCCCTGGCGAAATTAAATTATATAAAAACAGGGAGAGAGAGAGATATGTTTTCGAGAATTTCAGGTAAATATTCACTATTATTATTATCGAAAATAATTTTAATTCACTATCAATGGAATTAGGAAAAAAACGAATAATCGCCGAAAAAGATAATAAAACAAATTTTAAAAAAATATTTCAGTTTAGAAAAGAATGTAGAGAAAATCTAGAAATAAATTGAAAAGAGGAGAAATCTAAAAATAAAAAATTTTTAAAGTAGAAAAATATTCAGAAAACTAGTGATAATTGAGAGTAATTAAAAAATGTAACAAAAAAAAAAAAAAAAGAAACTGGACCTGAGAAATTATATTTCGAATCATTACATTGACACTAATCGATCGCGAACAAAACAAAAGGTGTGGGTATAATTTTCTTTTTTTTTTTGCAAGGCGTCGCGATGAAAATTTCCTTTTGAATTTATTGCACTTTGAACACTATTTTTTTTGGTATGGAGTTTCGATAAAACACGTCACTTGCTTTGCAATGACAGGTGTTTGAAAATGACTCTCGCGTATAGAGCCTGGCACGAACTCTAGTTTCCTGACGACAACTATATAATATACTCGATCCCGTTTAACCAGAATATTTTTCTGATCACAACTCTGTCGCACTCTATATACCTATATATAATATAACAACTGTGAGTTTGCCTATATGGCTGTTACGCATGTAACTGACAAATGAAGGCCTCGCCAGCTTGGACCCAACTGAACTCTGGAAGGAAATTCCATTCATCTTGCCGTTTCACCCGCTTTAAACCCTCTCTACTCCTTCCTTCCCTTTCTCAACCGGGACACCAAGCGCATGTCTCTGTTTTATATTATTTTATAATATCAAAAAAAAAAAAATCTATGCAATTTTCAAAAGATCGTTTTCTTTCCAAAAAAAAAATCCCATATAGTGATTTCATATATATATAAGAAATGCAAGGTGAATATTTGAAAAAAAATCCGAATTTTCCGTATATATTTTAAAATTATTGAATTTTTATTTAATATTCGCTTCTTCGATCCCTTTTTTCAAAAATATTATTTTAGCTAAATTTTAATTTTTCTAAATACGAAAGAATTTCTCAATGTTTATTTAAATTGAATTTTTAGGTTATTGAATTATCATTTAATAGAATTTCATTTTATGTAAATTCTCGTACATTTAAAAAGAATTTTCATTCAAAATAATGTAAATTTCGTTCATTTAAAAAGAATTTTAATTTAACTTAATTTTCATTTAGCAGAATTTTCATTCAAACATAATTTTAAGTGAGTCGATTTTTTCAAAATGCAAGAATTCCTAATTCGTCGAATTGTTGTTTCAAAGAATTTATTATTTGACGAATATTGTTATTTCAATGAATTCTTCTTCTTGGAATTCTTATTGACGCAGACTTTATTCATTTAACCGAAATAAAAGAATAGAGACAAAATCAACGGTCGGTAAAATAGAAATTCGCTTAAATTAAAAATTCAGTGAAATACGAATTCGAGTAAATAAAAATTCTGCTAAATTGAAATTCGGTTTAATAATTAAAAATTCAACAAAAATAAAAATTAGTTTTAATATAATAGAAATTCTGTTAAATACAAATTTGGTTTAATGGAAATTTTTTCTGTAATAAAATTTGTTGTTAAATAGAAATTCTGTTAAATACAAATTTGGTTTAATGGAAATTTTTTCTGTAATAAAATTTGTTGTTAAATAGAAATTCTGTTAAATACAAATTTGGTTTAATGGAAATTTTTTCTGTAATAAAATTTGTTGTTAAATAGAAATTCTGTTAAATACAAATTCATAATTGAATAAAAATTATGCTAAATAAAAATTCGGCTAAATAAAAGTGGGGATAATATTTTGAATGACAAATTTTGAAAAAAAAACAAAAAATTTTAAAAAAATGGGGATTTTATTTTAAATTTTGTCTCATTTTAAATATTGTGAATTTTCAATATTATTGTCTTTATTGATTTTAAGACATGAGAAAAATGTTTATTCTTTTTTTGTAAAAAAAAAAATATGTCTCTAAAATTAAACGAAGAAACTTTCTAATTGCAAATATTATCATTGTTTTACCATGGAGTTATATTGCAGTTGTTTAAAGTAGCCGTGAGAATTTCTCATATTTAGAGCTTGTAACTTATCGTTACATAATGTAATTAAAATAATAATTTGATTGTATATATATGTATAGTGTTAAAACATGTTTCTTCACCAAAAATAATATCAGGAATTTTGTATTACAAAATTACAAATTTTTTTCAAATATATAAACTATATAAATAGTTTTATTTAATTATTGAAAAAGAAAAATTAAATTTTATATATTGCTCGTAAAATAAAATTTCTGATAATTTTTCTCGCACAGTAGATTATAAAAAAAATTAAAAACACATTAAAAAAAGTTTTAATGTAAAAAAATTTATTTTAACATTTCATTAAAACTGTATAAAAAGTTTTATCTTTTATTTTATTTTTTTTATTACATTTATTTTTTTTTTATTTTATTAACAATTGTATTTTTTATTGAATTTTAATAACAGCTTATTTTGTTTATAAAAACGTAATTTTGTTTGTTGAATTTTTCAGAAAAAAAAAAAATAAAAATAAATGTATAATTGTTTTTATATAAGTGCGCAATTATAATGAATTTAAGTGAGTATTTTTTAAAATTAAAATAATTTAAACAAAATTCAATATTAACCAGAATTATATTGAAAATATTTGAACTAATTCATTATTGTGTTTGATCAATTGTCTTTACGCTACTGTCTTTAATAATAATTGGTATCTTCTATATTAACTGAAAGACACTAGATATTAATTTTTACCATTAAGAACATTAATCTGAATTAATTATTACATAACGAGAATTGTTTTCCAGAAAATGTAGTAAATTTTAAATGCAAGATAAAAATTATTATATTTATTAGTAAATTTTATTTATTTTTTATTTTACTTTTTTATTTTTATGTATTTATTTACCTATTTATTTATTTTTTTTATATCTATTTATTTTTATTCTTTTATTTTTTTTTGTTTTTTTCTTGTACCTACTTCAAGAATTAATTTTAATAAATTATTTTAAAAAAAAAGAATTCGACAATAATTATTCCAGATTAAAATCTCTTATGGCTAAAAATTAAAAATAGAAAAATTTTTTTAAAAGTCTGGTAAATGAAATTTTAAATTTGAAAATAGAGAAATGTTAATATGCAAAAAAATAAATTTGAGAACAAAATTTTCAGAACTGTGCATGTTTAGATATATTTCTTTGAAAAGTAACTGTACACGGAGAGAAATCTGCTGCGATTTGCGCATGAGCAAGTCCAAAGGAATATAGCATGGACACTTCCAAGCAAAAACCATAAGATTCCATCTGAATATCAGGTGAGACTCATACAATAATACCTCGCTCACTTAGGATTTTTGCTTGAAAGCGTCTGTTACTATATTCCTAAGGACATGCTCATGCGTAAATCGCACCAGATTTCTCTCCGTGTACAATTCAAGATTTTGAGTAATTCAACACCGGAAAGAACTTTGATTCAGTTGACAATATTTTATATCTTTCATTATGCCATTGCACGTACAATACAATCACTTTAGTATGCGATAACAAACAGAAAGGATCGTGTTACTCGTTAATAATTATATTGAAAGTATGCTTATAAGATTCTTATTATAAGTATTTTTTTTTAATTAAAAAAAAATTAAATTTTTATGCGTTTAAAATATTTGCATATTTTTGTTAGAGACGTTAAATTTTTCATTTTACATTTTCAGAAAAAAAAAATTATCATTCAGAGAAAAATATTTGTTGATCTTTTTTTTTGAGGGACGTTCAATATACAAACCAAAACATAACTTCAAACTAAAAATGTTTTTATATTGAAAAAAAGGATTTATTTTGTTTGATTTTACTTTGAGGAATTTGAGGTTATGTCTAGTATTAAAACTCATTAAAACTTTTTATTTTTTTCTAACTTATTTCTTGTCATTATCTAATTTTTTTTAATGAAAATAATTATTGTTTAAAAAATAATCCTTTTGTACTATAACGGGTATTATTTCTTTTTGTTTTGATTTATCGTATCTAACATTGGAAAGACAGTTTTTTTTTATTTTACACTCAAAACTATTTGCCTTTAGTTTCTCGAGAGAATTTTTTCATTTTGTAAATTTTTTTTTTTTAATATTTAAATAAATTATATGTTTTCGTAAATCTAAAAAACATGTGCTAAAACATGCATGAATAATTAATATTAAATGGATGAATCATATGAGACGAGGTCAATGCCTTGCATCTCTCTCAAGTGACAGTTTATCTTTATTTTTCTCTATAAAGCTTTGTTTGAATTACTAATGTTCAATTTTCAAAATGAATAATGGAAAAAACTATTACAGTTATAAAAACAATTTTTTACTTTTCAATTTGTCTATTTTGATAAAAATATATATATAATATTTATATGCTCATTTACCTGCATTCGATTTGCCAACATTGTTAGAATACTCTGTTGAAAAATATCATATTCCTGTGGCACAACTTGATAATGAATTGATTTAATAACATCACGAAGATCGCCTAATCTATGTGAAATAACTGTTCTTGCAAAATCTTGTAATGTATAAGATTCATATTTACTACGATTTTCAAAATAATTGAGATAATCTTTATATAAATTTTCAACTTGACCAATTGACATATAAAGATCGTTCAATCCTTTCTCAAGTTTTTGTCTCTCGGGTATTTCACGTAAAATACGATAAAACATTGTCTCAGTTCTTTGTTCAATTCTATTTTCAATTAAATCTAATTTCATTGAGACTGTTTTCATTTTATCTATCAATCGTTTTTCCATTCTTTTTACAAATGGAAAATCTTGATCGCCCTCTGAATTTGGCGATTTTGGACGTATCCATTCCCATGATTCAAGAGCGTCAGTCACTGTTTCTTTGGTAAATTTAAGAATTTCTGTCACATCACCAAAACTTATATCAAATGATGATCCCAATTGCACTGTGAGGAAAATTACTAATAAACAAGAACTTGACACGTGTATTTTAGTCATGATGCAAAATATAAAAAGGCACTGTTTTTTTTTCAAATTAGAACAAAATGTTTGTCATGATTTTATTTTAAATAACAATAACGAGTTTTATTTTTGTGGTGTGGGGGAATAGTAGTGTAGTTGATTTTTTAGTTGAAAAAAAATAAAATTTTGGAAAAAAGAAAGAAAATTATATATGACGCTCAACTACATTGGAAAATGAGATCGGAGAGAAAACTGTGCTGCGCTTGTGGTGTTAACTTTTGTTAACTGGTGTTGAATTGTTGTAACTGGCAGCGAGAGTTGTATGGAATCAGTTAAATGCAGGGGGAACGCAGGGTCGAAACAAGTTTCTACCAGACCCGATGACTCATTTTATGTTAGACAGACGACAAAAGCCCGCAGGAAAAAAAGACCTGTTTGCGTCCTTTAAGACTTTCTTTTGGAATAATATGGAAATACATATAATATTTTTGAATACCGTTGTTTTTGTCATTGGAGTTTACATATTGAAATTTTTTTTTAATGTTAAATTTTCTTTTACAATGAAAAATCTGATTGATAATAAGGAAAATTTAATTCTTCAAAAAATGTCAATTTTTGTGATGATTTTGTTATGACACCTTTTTTTCTTTTTTTTTTTATTTCAAAAAGAGTAATTTCAATCACTTGACATAACCTCAAACTGAAAATTGCTTTTACCATCAAATAAATTTTAAAATTAGTTTTATTAAAATTTTGAAATATCAAGTTGTTATTATTTTCAGAAAAAATTTGTCAAACAATAACTATTTAACATTTTGTATTTTTTGTTTAAAATTAGTGTGAATAATTATATAATTTTAATGAACAAAAAATTTCAATTAAAATTTTTTTTTAATTTCAAAAAAAAATTTTATTTCTGTTTGATAGTTTTTTTCTTTTTTTAGAAAAAAACATAATATTTGCTTCAAAAAATATAAAAAACAAAGTTTATTTGTTTTCAATAAATTTTGGACAAAATATATTGTTTAAAAAAAATTTAATTTAATGAGCTTGTTTTTGTAAAAATTGGATAAAAATTAGAATATTCTTTATTAATTTGAAGCAAAAATTTAAATAATAATTATTTAACAACAAATTTAGGTAAAAATAAATTTTTGGAAATTATTGTATAAAACTGTTTTTTTTTTAAATTTAGTGAAATTATTATTTTTTTTTGATATGCGATAAATCCAATTTTTAATTTGAGGTTATGTCAAGCCGTTGAACGCGTTCAATGATTTTCTTGGTATTTTTGAAAAACATAATTTCAAATAATTTTTTTAATTTTATTGATAATAAAAACGATCATAATTTTTTTTGGGGTTTATACAAAATTGTTTATTAACAAACTAAACACAGTTGACAAAAGTAAAAAATCTTTATTTTCATTTCTCTTCAGTTCACAGTAATAAAATGCAAAAAAAAAATTACCCTAATAATGTTCATGGAAAAGTTATTTTTAAAAAATAGTGATAATAAAAATGTAAAAAAAGAATAATAAATTTTTTTTTCATTTGTAACTGTAATAAAATAGTTACGTCCCTGCGTGAAACAGATGTTCGACATTTAGACGTTTGGATTGGCAGTTGAAAACATTTATACATTTGAAACCCTTTTCTCATTTCAACCAATGACCGGTTTTATGCACTCAAATTGAATGATTCTATTCCTAAGGGGATTCACCGTCATTCCAACGTAGAATAATTATCATTTTCTCGATCGCTCTCAACTTGCAATACGATTTTGCGTGGGTGGGCAAATCTTTGCCTCGAGTCCACTGACCTAAAATTATTAACGTTCAATTTAATAAAATGCAAAAAAAAATGTTTTTTTTATTAAAAAATAAAAATTAAATTAAATAAAAGTGAGTCATTCGAGTGATTCACTTTTTTGTTATGTTGAACGCAATTTTGTAGATTCTTTGAAATTGGAAAGAAATCCTAGTAATAATGAAAAACTTAATTTTTATTTTTGATTTTTTAAAATCATTTTTTATGTTCAAAAAATGGAAAAAAATTTGTTACGGTGTTCCAGAACAATAATGTGGATTGATTTACAATTTTCTGATATTCTTTTTTTTTTTTTTTTTTCTTTATTCTTAATGAGACTTTATTGTACAAGAAAATATGTACTTCAAGAGGAAGATAATATTTTTGATTTAAAATTATTATTTAAAATTTTAGTATTGCATGCAGGAAGCGGAAGAATATAATTTTATTTTTTCCGTTTTTTTTTTGTAGGTTAGAATTTTATTTTTTATTTCTTCGTTGGATCTTGATAAAAAAAAAATAAAATAATTTCAAATTTCTTGTATATTTATTTTATTGTTAAAAATTAATTTTAGAACTCGATTAATTTTATTTTTATTAACTAATTATTAATTAGATTGTAAATTATTTATTATTAATTATTTATTTATTTGATTTCAGGTGGCGTTTTATGAAATTTTAAATGGCCTTTGGGTACGCAATGGATTACAAATAAAAGGACAAGCAATGACGTATGTTCAATCGAATTTCTGCAATTCCATGGTCGATGCTGATATTTATCTTCTTCAAATTTGTGCAATGAAATTACAACCGGATGTATTTCTCAAGACAGTCATCGATAAGTAAGAATTTTTATGAATATCATTTTTTTTTGTTTGCTTCTGTTAACACAAATATAGTATAATTTTTAGAAATTTAAATAATTTAATTTTTTTGAACAATTTAATTTTATTAATTCAAAAAAATTTATTTTTACAAATTTTATACAATTTAATTTTATAAATTTAAGAAATTTATTTTTACAGATTTGAACAATTTAATTTTATAAATTTGACGATGCTGAAGTACGCAACGTTTATGATAAACGATATTTAAAGAAAAATAATTTTTTAAAATATGAAAAATTCTATAATTTTTTGTGCCTAAAAAATAATTTTTTTTTTATAATTTGTTGATTATTGAAAACTACAAGAAATATTTTTTTGGGAAAAAAATTATTCATTTAAAAAAATTATTTCTTTAAAAATTGTTTATCATAAACGTTGTGTACTTCATTTTAGTAAATTTAAACAATTTAATTTTACATATTTCAGGCCTCGGATTATACGACTTTTTCGACTATTTCCGACTTTTTTTCAAAAATACGACTTTTTTCGACTTATTTTAATAAAATGCGACTTTTTCGACTTTTTTTTTACATTTAAAAATTTTTTTTTGAATAAATTGCGATTTTTTTAGTATAAAATGTAGATCTTCTTCAGATCTTCTTTAATTCAATTATTTAACAAATTTTTAACTAAAATTCTTCACTAAATTAATTATTTTTAATAATTTTAATGGAATTTATCACAAATTCAATTATTTTAAACTATTTTTCAATTAAAATTTTTATGAAATTTAATCATTGTATATAATTTAAAAAAAATTAACAAAATAAAATTACCAAAAAATTCTAATTCAATTGAAATTCAATCATTTACAAAATTTTCAATTAAAAATCTTTTAAAATTCAATTATTTTCCAAAATTTCAATTCAAAATCAATTATTTACGAAATTTTCAATTCAAAATCTTTTAAAATTCAAAAAATTTTCCAAAATTTCCATTCAAAATCAACTAAAATTTAATTATTCTCAAAAATTTCAATTCAAAATTATTTATTATCAATATTTTTAATCTAAAATCAACTAAAATTAAATTATTATCCAAAATTTCAATTGAAATTCAATTATTTTCAAAAATTTCAATTTAAAATCTTTTAAAATTTACCATCTAAAATTGTTTAAAATTTAATAATTTCAATTATAACTCTCTCATGAAATTCAATTATCTTTAACTATTTTCATAATATTATTCGAAAATTCAATTATCTGAAACCATTTTTTAATTAAAAATCACTTGAAGTTCAATTAATTTCAAAAATCTCAATTATAAATCGTTAAAAAATTCAATTACTTTTAAAAAATGTTATCTGAAATTATTTAATAAATTATTTTTCATTCTGTAAAATTTAATTATTGTCTGAAAATTAACAAAATCTTTTGAAATTCAATTATTTCTAAAAATTTCAACTTTATAACTCTTCTAAAATTATTATTATTTAAAAAAAAATTTTTATTTGAAAATCTGTAAAACTTTTTTTGTTAAAATAAAAAAAATCGACTTTTTCGACTTTTTTTAGAACATAAATCGACTTTTTTTGTGCCTTTAAGTCGATCCGAGGCCTGAAATTTGAACAATTTAATTTTATAAATTTAAATAATTTATTTTTATGAATTTACTTATTTATTTTTTTAATCGTTTCTTGAAAATTTTATAATTTTCTTAATTTCATAATTTTTGTTTTAGATTCCATGTTAGAGAATGGATGAGTCTTAGTTTGTATCATGCACCACAAAATGAATATCTCGAAGGGGAACACGATACTCCAATGCTTGAGAGTTGTTTAACATTTTTGGCAACTTTACTCAATATCAGAACAAATTTAGGTAATAGTACTTGAAATAATATTTTATCATGAAAATCAATTTTTGAGGAAAATTTAATTTTCTTTTTGTGTTTTTTTTTGTAGGACTCTCGGATTCTGAAATGGCAGGTTTAGAAATGGTAACACTTTTATGTATTGGAGATAAAACACACAGTCAATTAATGGAATTAATGCCAGAACGTTGTGGTACAACTCAAAATCGTGATTTTGAGGCAATTTTAAGAGACGTAAGTTTTTTTATTTATTTAATAATAATAAAATTTATTTTTATTAATAATACAATTGAGCTTATCGAGCGCAACTTTAAAGTTTAAACATTCACCATTTTGTTATTAATTGTTCAATTGCATTGTAACATTCCAGAAAACTTCTTTGGACCTTAATGAACAATTTTCTCACTGGAAGTTTATTGTTGTTGAAAATTTGTCAAACTTCTTCGCATTGAGAAAATTGCACTTCACGAATTTTGCAATGTCTCAATGAAAAATTAATAACTTTTTTATTTTTAATCAAAATAACTTTTTTTCTTTTTTTAGTCACTCGTAGGATATAATAACACGTATTTTCGTTTTTGTTTAATTGAAAAACTCGTAAAATTGACTGAGCTAGCGCGAGTTGAAGTCAAAAAAAAAAAAACAATTAAATTTTACGTTTCCAAAAAACCCATTTTTCTCTTATATTTCGAAATCGGAAAAAAATGGAAAGTTTTTTATTAAGAAAAAAAAGTTGCGCAATCGAATTCTGTATAAGAATATGCTCGAAAAATATTAAAATTCAAAAAATGAATTTTGAATGTCCAGGGGACTTTGTTTTTCGGCCGAAAAAATTTTACGTGGCCTTTTCTAGAATTCAGCGGTTCAATTGCAACCGCGCTTCAAATAGGGATTTAACTCATTTTTTTTTATAAAATTTTAACAGCATAGAAAAATATACATATTCTCTTTGAAATTTGATAGTAAAAATTTTACATGTATATTATAGAAATTTTTTTAATTAATTTGTAATTATCGCCGACTTTACTTCATTTTACGGTAATTTAATTTTAAAAAACAACGGATTGTTTATTTAAACAGAAATAATAAATAAAATGTACCTAATAGTTTATTTTGAGTTAGAAATTTTCCATTTTTTTTATAGTTATTTTTAATATATTAATTTATTTATTTATTTTATTTATAATTTATATTTATAATTTATTTATATATATTATATTTTTTAAAATTAAATTACCATAAAATGGAGTAAAGTCGGCGATAATTACAAAAATTAATTTAAAAAATTTCTTTATAAAACAGCAAAGTTAACATTTCGCGGGTTAATGAAACAATAAATATTATATATTAACTTTTATATTTTAATTTAAATTAACATTTGGATAATTAATGTCAACTAATATAAGCTAATTATTTTTTGTGTGTCAAATAAAAAAAAATAAATATTAAATAAAATAAAACCGAAAAAAACATAAAACATTTAGGTTAACTATTTGCAGAGTAGTTAAATAATTATCATTTTAAGATTTTTTTATATGCTTCAAAAAAAATAATTTTTTATACTTTTGTGAAGCAATAAAAATTTTTTATATTAATTTTGTAAGACAAAAAATATTTTTAACGGTTTTTGAAGGATATCACACAACAAAATTTAATTTTATTTAAATTTTCGATTGTTAATATTTAATTAAATTTTAGAAGATATATTAGTCTACTGCTTTTTGTTCAAAAAGTAAAATGTAATAATTTCTTTAATTTTTCTAATTTTTAGAATAGAAATTTAAATATCAGTTACAAGTACATTGAAAATATTTTTGAATCAAATAATTACAATTAGTTATTTTAAATTAAATTTTCTTTTCTGATAGGTGGCAGATTTTAGAGCTCAAAACACTGAAGCAAGTGGAAATATGCAACAAAGAATGTATGGTCCTAAGCAACGTGTTTGGGAAGAATTATTCGATCCTTTACATGTTTCACTTAGAGCTGTCCATCGAAAGGATTTTCAATTAGCTATGGATCGATTTATAAAATAGTAAGAATTAAATTAAATATATATTTTATAAATATTGTCACTATTGGAGAATTAAATTTTCTACTTTTTTTTTTTCTTTTTTCTCTTTTTTAGTGTAAAACAATCGGGAAAGGTGAAAAATAGTGCAACTCCTTGGCCACCATTTCGTCATCCTGTTCCTGTTTCTTCGAATTATGACGATCCAAGACTTGTTCTTCGATCGAAAGTCTTCCACGCAATGATTTATATTATTTTATATAAATCCGTTAATGGTCACAATGTTTCGGAAAATGTAATGGCATTGGCTATTTATCTTTTGGAAATGGCAGTTATGAGTGCTCAAGTTCCTGATAAAGCTGTATGTTTCTATTTTTAGAATTTCATTTTCAAATTTCATTTAAACATCGAAATAAATTATTTCAATGAATCGATGAAATGCAAAGAAAATTCTATAATATTGTTTAATTTAAATTAATCTTTGGATTTTCATCTCGATTAATAATTTTCAATTATTTTCCAAAAAGTTTAAATATTTGTTTCGTATTGTTTTTCAAACTTTTATCTGATTAAAAATTATTTAAACGTGAATTATTAAATTAAATTATTAATTATTTTATTACTTTCGATAAATTAATTTTAAAATTCAAATAACTTTAGTGAAAGTGAAAAAATTCAGTGAAATAAAAATTTGTGTTAATTTAAAATTTTTTGATTAGAATAAAAATTTGCATTTTAATTGCGAAAATAATTTCAAAAAATATTTAGAATAAAATGAGGAAAATTTGTTTTCATTATTTTATAGAGCAATCCATTATGTCAGTATACAAGTGGAGAATCTTCTCGTGTGATAAAAGATATGGATTTGTCCAGTTGGTTTACAAGTGATGATTTATCAGAAAATCTCAGAACTGTCGTGCCTCGAGTTGTTTTGATGCAAGAAACTGAACACAGCAGTATGAGTAGTGAATATTGTAAGTAATTTTTTTTTCTAATTTTCACCGCATTTTTATCTTCTTTCTTAAATTTAATTCGATTGAGCAATATTTTTAATCATTAAAAATTATAATTATAATTTCAAAATTAATAGATAAATTTTCAAATCATTTTACATTTAAAATAACTGGTTTTTTTTGGAAATTTTAAAAAATTCCTAAATTTTTTATTATCTTTTGAATTTACAAAATTTTCCTTTTTTTTAAAACAATTTTTTTTTTCTTGAAATTCTTATTCTTTGGAAATTTTTTAAATTTATTAAGTTTATTCTATTTACTTTTAAAAACTGCACTACAATTCTCCAATTTTTTTTTTATAAATTTTGATTTTATTTTGGAAATTTTCTAAAATTTTTAATTCCAAAAAATTTTTTTTTCTACAACATTGTATTTTTTTTAAATTTATATTTTCTTTGTACTTCTCTTTTTTATTATTTTTTTTAAATTTTTCCTTCAAGTTATTATTTAGAATAATAATTTTTTTTTTAATTTTAGGCGATTTTGATTGGGAAGTTCAAGGAGAAATGACTGAAGTAGCTTCATCATTGATGTTAGACGATAGTGTTGTGGAAAATGCTTTGGCACTTGCCTTTGAGACTGTTGACGCTAATAGTGATACAATGGGCGAATCAGCTTCGCTCCCAGCTTTACCTCCCGCTAATGGTAACAAAAAAAAAAAAATTTACATTCTTTTGCGGTAAAATTAATTCTTTTCTCTTCTCCCCTCCCCTCAATTAATATTTTTTATTACATGGTATTAATTTAATTATTATCTGATCAAATTTAAGGATACGAGGAAATTTTGAAATTTAATTTTTGTTTGTCTTAACACTTTTTTCCTATTGACTAATTTATTAATCAAATCCTTGATGTTATTATTATTATTTCGGGGATGGAAAAAAAGAAAAATTAAATCACATATGAAATTCATCCTAAATTCCTTGAGGCTATAATTCTTCGACATTTGGCTGGATATTTTCTGTATTAAATTATTATTATTTTTGTTTGAATTGGAATTTTGCATTTAATTTTTGTTTTTGTGTAGTTGAATATAGCATGGCTATTGTACCTGAAGATGGAATTGTTGCCATTCCACGTGGGAATAGTGACGAGATCTTAATAACACCTTCGCAAAGAGCATTGCCACCATCCATCGAAGAATCCATGGCCCTTGCCCTTGAATCACCTCCTTCACCGCACCGTATGTTCTTTCAAAATTTGTTTCCGTCTTTAAAATCAACCTTATTAACAAAATCATAAACAATAATAACTTACATTGTTTTGTCTCTTTTTTCCTTTTTTTTTTTTGTTTTTTTGTCCATATAATTGTCAAAAAAAAAAACTGTCTTATTTACTCTCTTTTTGTATTAGTGAGAATTCGTCCACTAATTCTAATTAGTAGATATTTTCACTAATTTTTAATAAAATATTACTATTTGATAATTGGTACTATTTTTTTTTTTGATGTTTTAGTGAAAAAAATGACTAAAAATTGGTTGAAATTTTAACTAATTTAAATTAGTGAACGAATTCTCATATAGTAACTACATATATCATTTTTTTTATCTTTCTCTTTGATGTCAAAACTGTGTTGGATACATTGGAAAAAAATATCATTGAATCAAGAAAACCCATGTACTTGTCCGTCATTGATTCAATATATTCTTGATCCAAAAAATTATTAATATTTTAAAGTAAATTTTCTTAAAATTTTCTTAATTATTTATTTTAGTTATTTTAAAAAAAAAGAAACATTAAATTTCGAAACTAATTTTGATAGAAACATTATTGAGAATACGTTACTTTTTTTAGAAATTAATTATTTTTTTTTTTTAGTAAACAATTTTAAATTAATTTAGTTTATATTTAATTTAATAAAATAAATAATAAATTTGGAAAATTTTACTTTAAGAGACAATAATTTATCGAACACATTTTTTGAATTCAATCTACGATAAAATTAGAATAATTGTAGAATTATGTAAATCATTTAGAATGTCGAGTGATTGAAAAAGGTAATTAATTTATGTGATTTTTATTTGCAAAAGATCATTTAGGCCAACCGGCTTTACCACCAGTACCCGCTGTTCCTGCTGTTTTGGCTGGAAACGAAGTGGTACCGGTTCAAAATTTAGAATTAGATACAATTTATCCTCGAATATCAAGAAGGTCTGAAATAGTTACGACTGACATTGTACCCTCAACCTCAAATACTCAGAGACACTTTAGACATAGAGATCCTCAAGTAAGTAAACTATTTTTTTTTTTATTTATTTAAAAGAAACAATTTTTTATTTCCGTTTTATGGAATTAATTTTTTTCCCCTTATATATATAAGAAGTCTCATAATTTTATTTTTAAAAAATTTAATGTATTTTGAAATAATATTTTTTTCTTGCAAACGAGATAAAATTCTCGATTTTTCCTTGAAATTCTCTCGTTTTTTTAAAAATTTTTCTTTGGGTTCCTAAAATTAAAGTTTTTTTTAAATTTCTTATTTTTTGTAACTTTCTCTTTCGTTAAGTTTTCAATTTCTTTTTATTTGAAAAATTTTTTTTTCAAAAAATGATTTTTCACTTTAAATTCTCCTTCTTTTTTGACGTTTATAAATTTTATTTATTATTATAAACTGGACCAAATTTTCTGTTTTTTTCTTTTATTTTTTGATTACTTTTTTTTCATTTTCAAAAATTCTCGTTTTTTCTTTCAATTTTTTTTATTTCTTCAACACTGTACTTCCTAAAATTTTTTTTTTTCTCTTCATTTTCTGAAGTTCATGTGTTTTTTAAAATTCTTTTTCAATTTTACCTTCAAATTTTCATTTTTTTTTAATTATTATAAAATTCTCTATTTTTCTTTCAATTTCTTTGACATTTTATTTTCTGAAATTTTTCATTCTTTCAATTTTTGATTTTTTAAATTTTATTAGTAATAAATTTTTCAATTTTATTGTTAATAAATTAAGATCTAGAGTGAATTTTTAAAATAATTTTTTTTTTAAATTAATTGCATTTTGAAATAATAATAATAATAACAAATAATAATTTAAAACTTTAACAATCTATTTTCTTTCCTTAAATTTTATTTTTCTTCTTAAAAGTTTCTTTTTTTTTTTTTTGAAAATTCCTAAAATTTATTACTTTTATTTATAAATATGACAAAATTTTCGATTTTTTCCTTAAATTTTGTTTTATTTTCTCTTTTTTGATTCCTAAAATTATCAATTTTTCCTTTAAATTTCTTGTTTTCTATAACATTCTATTTGTTTAAATTTTGGATTTTATTTTTATTCAAAAATGTTTTTTTCCAAAATTTATTTTTTCCCTCTAATTCTTGATTTTTTGGGGGCGAAATTTTTTTAATTTATTTATTATTATAAACGGGACCAAATTCTTATTTTTTATTCTCTCGAATTCTCATTTTATTTTTTTATTTTTTAAAATTTTAGTTTTTTATTTCAATTTTTCATATCTTGAAAATTGTATTTTCTTGAATTTTCTCTTTATTTTCTAAAATTAACGATTTTCTTGTTTTTCAATTTTACATTCAAATTCTATTTTTTTTGTTGTTGAAATTTTTAAAATTCTCTTTTTTTCTTTCAATTAATTTTTTCGACATTTATTTTTCTTTTAATTCGTACTTAAAAATACATACTTACGATTGTTTGCTCAGAATCATGAAATTTTTTTTTTTAATTGATAATAATAATTGTATATTCTATATTTAAAATTTAAAAAAAATCAATTTTGACCATTTTAGAAATAGAAATTATGAGAAAACTTTAAAAATTTTTACAAAATTTCGAGTTTTATTTAAAAAATTTTTTAATCTTTTTGCATTTTTTTCATGTTGTATAATTTTTAATTCCTAATAATGTTATAGAAACTAATTTGTCACTTCTTCTAAATAACAAAATATAATTTCGATTCATTGAATTTACAATTGTCCCTTCCTTTATTTATTTATTTTTTAAATTAACTTTTAATTAACAAAATTTTTAAAGGTTGGATCTTCACATCCTCAAACAATGTTGAGATTAGGAGAAAGTATAATCTCCCTATTATTAAAACTTCATTCGCAATTGTCCGGCGTGCCTGACAGTTATTATTCCGATTCACAAGAGCCAAATGAAGCTGAAGCAATGAGTAGTAGCGCTGAACCCGCGAAAGAATCGCGAATTGGCGATGGTCCATATTTCATTTCACAATTGCTCAAAAAAATAGAGAATTTAGATCCCATGTGTAGGGATAGTATCAATGAAACGAGAAATCGATTATGGCCACGAATGCAGGAATACGAAGATGAACAACGTGAACGTGAACATCGTGAAAAAGAGGAAAAGAAACGAAGAGCCAAGGAGAGACAGCAACAAGTGATGGCTGAATTTGCAAATAAGCAAAAACAATTTATGGAAAAAGCAATGGAAATTGATGAGGCAGAAGCGACGGGCGCTGATTGGAGTGGTGAGGAGAATCAAAATAAATTGATCAGCAAAAAGGAATATGATTGTGTTATTTGTAATCAAACAACTCACAGCAGTGAAGACAAACCCATGGGACTTGTTGTTTTAGTTCAAGTGAGTTTTCTCTGACTTTTTTTTCTTATAATTATTCAAATTATAATTTTATTAAATTTCGTTTTATTCTTTTATTCATCAAAAATTTTATTTTATCTTCTTTCACATATATTTTAAATTCTTTTTTTTCAGTATTTAAATTTAATTTACTTTTTACGAATTTTGTGAACAAAAAATTGAAAATTTAAATTTCATTTACTTTTTACGAATTAATTTTCATGTAACAGGCTAAATTTTTCAATTGACTGAAATTTTATTTGACTAAATGAAAAATTCGACTTAAATTATTTTAGTGCGAATTTGAAAATTATTCAAATAAATCACAAGATTTTTTCTGGATATAATTTTTAGTATAATTTTGAAATTAGGCTTTTTTTAAAAAAAATTTTTTAAACAGAATACGTTTTTTTTTTTAGTATACAATGCAGATTTTCTTCAGATCTTTTTTATTTCAATTATTTAATAAATTTTTAACTAAAATTCTTCACTACATTAATTATTTTTAAATAATTTTAATGAAATTCTTCACAAATTCAATTATCTTAAACTAATTTTCAATTAAAATTTTTATGAAATTTAATAATTGTTTGTAATTTTTAAAAAATTAGCAAATAAAATTACGAAAAAATTTTTCATTCAAAATCACTTGAAATTTAATTATTTGCAAAAATTTTAATTTAAATGGTTTTAGAATTTAATTATTTCTAAAATTTTCCATTTAAAATTTTTTGAAATTTAATGATTTTAATTATAACTCTTATGAAATTCAATTATTTTTTATGGTTCTTATAATTTTTTTTATTATTATTACTTTTAAATGTTATCTAAAATTATTTGATAAATTAATTTTAGTTCTGTAAACTTTAATTATTTTGTGAAAATTAACAAAATCTTTTGAAATTCAATTATTTCTAAAAATTTCAATTTCAACTCTTTCAAAATTATTACTATTTGAAAAAAATTTTTATTTAAAAATCTGTAAAACTTGATTAAGTATTGCCTGAAATTTTTTTGACCATCTGAAAACTAAAAACTATGACAAAATTTTAAATTCGAATAAATTGATTAAATTTTGTTAAAATAAAAAAAAATCGACTTTTTCTGAAATATAAATCGACTAAAACGACTTTTCTTTTTGTACCTTAAAGTCTATCCGAGGTCTGAAAATACAAAGAATTATATAAATTGAATAATAAGCTTTATATTTTTCTATTATTCTTTTAAATAAAAACAACATTCTTATAAAGTTTATCATAGTTTTTACAAAACTAAACAAATTAAATAATTAATTAATTCACTCTTTTAATTTTTTGATTAATAAAAGTAAATTATCAAAAAAACATAATAATATTATTTTTAAATTTAATTAGATTATGATTTAATTATTTTACAATTATCTATTTTTAACCGCTTTCGCAATTTTTGTTGTCATAATCGTGATTATTATTCTAAAGAATTTTTTTTTTTATTTTTCACAAAAAAAAATTGTTAAACAAATATATACAAATAATTGTGATTTTGCAAAATAAATTTAATTTAAAAAAAAGTAAATTATTGAAATGATTGTTAATGAAAATTATCACTAATTAGTGATAATTTTCTTTAAAAATGTGTTGAATTTGGAAAAAAGTAAAAAAATTTTTAAATAAATTATAGGTGATTTTCTTTTTGAATTCAATTATTTTAGTTTTTAAACTGATTTTGTTGTTTTCAATGGTCAAAATTTTGAAAACTTCTATTGCAAAAATATTTTTTTTCATTGTATTAAAAAAAATCGTTAAATAAAAATTAATTGAATTTGAGAAACAATTAAAAATTTTAAAAACTGATATTTGTAAATAATTGAAATGTTTGAATTACTAAATATTTTAATATAATTGAATTTTATTAATTAATTGAATTAATAGTGTCAATTTATTTATTTACATAATGAACGAACAAGAAAGAAATGCCCTTTTTTTAAAATTAAATAATTTTTGTTCATCATTTTCATTGATTTGTCATTGTTAATTTTCAGGCTACAAGTGTTATGGGCCATGAACGGCGCCATCCTGAAAGATTAGTTCTTCGTATTTCGGACGATGATTTATCACAATCGCCGGAAACAACACCAAAAGCTGAAACTCGTGGTGCTTCTTTGGATTTGAGGATGACGGAATTGACGAGACATTTTGATTTGGTAAATTTTTATTTATTATGTTTTTTTTTCTTTTCTTTTTTTCTTTGATTTTCAAATTTGAATTTATATTCATTGTATAATTTAAAATTGAAGTATTATTTAATTTTTTTTTTGTCTTTTTCAGAATTCTTGTTTACTTTCCGTGAATCAAGGCTGGGATGACGGTGTTCATGTGCAAACGTGCGGTCATCATTTGCATTTGGACTGTTTGAAATCGTATTTACTAACATTGCGCAATCAACAACGACAACAATCATTGGCCGTTGAACGTGGTGAATATTTGTGTCCTCTTTGTCGACAATTGGCAAATTCGGTTTTACCATTATCGCCACAATTGGGAGAATGTGCTGCAATTGTTCGCTCTCGGCAAGCATCACCGAAAATAATACTCACCGAATTGAATAATTTTCTCAATGACATTCAACGAAATCGAGTATGATATTTATTTTTCTCTACTTTTGCAAAATTATGCTTCAATAATGATTTTGTTAATAATTTCTTATTTTTTTTCTTTTTTTGCAGACTTCGTCTAATTTATCGGTGGCAATGGGAAAAGCCATGGAGGATATGACGGGTGTCACGTACTTAAAATATAACCAAAAGGGTATCACTCCTAGTCATGAAAGTCTATTTCTTTTTGTAACTTCGGTGGCGAGGACAAATTTTGAAGTTGAACTTATACAACGCGGTGGTTCGCTTTGTGTTCAACCAACGACTATTCCTCTCACACCAAAACGAGACTGCATTGGTATTTATTGTTTTTGTTATTCAAAATCAAAAATTTTATTTCTTTTTGTAAATTATAAAAAAATGTAATCTGAATCTAAATACAAATAATTTAGATTTTTGTAAATATTTACTAATTTTTAAATGAAATGAAAAATTGAGATTTGGTTTTTTTTCAGTTGCTCTGCTACACGTATTAGCGATGCACGCGAGAGTATTGACAAATTGGTCAGTATCTCATACTTGGCAGCAATTGGCGGGTTTGCCCTCGGATGCATCAACGCCATTAGCACTCATACCACACGAGAAAGAAGTTCCTTTACTTCTCAGGGATCCAACAGCACTGCTTCTGCAGTTTATACTTTTACTTCCTTTACATTTAGATCAAGGTATATTTTTATTTATTACTCCCCCAATTTACGTATTTTAATATTCAATACGGAATAATTATCCAAAAATGCTATTTTTTTTACTCAATTAAAATTCAAAATTAAAAAAAAGTATAGGGTCAGTCGGGGTAAATCCGAACGGGGGGTAAATCCGAACGCTAATTATTTCAGCTTAATTAAAATTTTTAAAAATAAGTTCGATATGAGAATTTTTACCTCAGATCCTCTTGAAGAGATTCTAAGTATTATCCCATTTTTTGTTTGTTAATTAGCAACAGCATAAACAAAGATAACAAGTATTGCAAAAAAGATTGAAAATCAAAGATGACACTCTTTCAGTATTTTGTATCGTATTTGAAGAAAAAGAAGCTAAAAATTCATTTTATTATTTATAATTGTTTGTTATGAATACTAGAACAGAAACTATATTTGATTTTTGCCTTCTGTAAAATTTTATTAATAATATCAGACCGTTCGTATTTACCCAAGAAAATTGGAAAACTGGGGTAAATCCGAACGGTATTTTTAATAATTTTTTTTTACATCAAAGCCACACAAAATTGTTTTTATTTGATTACACTATTATTTTAACATTATAAAAGTACATAGAAAAAAGTTTTTCTTTCTATACGTATCCTCGTTAGTAATTAATAAGCAGAAACTTAATCTCTGTTCTCTCGAAGGAGTGTTTCAATTTTTTTGCCAAATGGTTTGTTGAAAAAAGTTTTTCAGGATCTTAATAAAATTTGGTATTCTACGGTTTTTGGGGTCGCTAATTACCAATTTGAAGTCAGTTTTTCAAAATTCAAAATGGCGGACGAGAATTAAAAAATTCATTGGATTCGCTCGAAAATTGTTACTCGGGGGGTTTCAGGGTTAGCAAATTTGATCATTTTTAAAAATAAGTTTTAGGAAAGTCCGCCATTTTGAATTTAAAAAATTTGACTTTTATTTTTGTATTTACATTCAATCACTCCAAAATACTTTCTGTACCAAGTTTTGCAAAAATCCGTTATGATTTGATAAAGTTATTGAAGGTTTTAATTGTGTAATGCATTTTAATTTTTAACCTGTTTGATTTTTGTATTTATATATGATGCATTATTACATAATAGGTTTATTATCGTATTTTTTTTGAGTTTTTATATAAGTTTAACAATTGCAATACTTTAAATTTATTTTCCCTAAGATTTTTCTGAAATACAGTGGCGTTCGTATTTACCCCCATATTTTAGGAAAGTTGCAAAGTATCGAGGTAAATACGAACGCTAAGTTTCCTGCGATTGTAATTTATCAAAAATTTTTTCTACCCCATAAAATTGTTCTATGGAAGTAAAGTAACAACTTCATGCACCAGAATACCGGAAGTATTTTTTTTTAAAGAAAAAACTTATGTTATTGTTGAAACTTACTAAAAGCGTTCGGATTTACCCCGGTTGACCCTAATTCAACTTAAAATTGTCTTCTAATTTAATATTTAATAATAGTTGAATGAAAAAAAAAAAGAACAAATAGTTTTGGAAATTAAATAACAAAATAAATGTTATTAAAATTTCTTTTTCTTAATTAATGAATATTTTAATTTGTTTTTCAGCATATTTTTCGGCTGTTGTGAAAGTTATTTACAATCTTTTGTACTATCAAGTTGTTTTGCAAATTAGTTGCAATTTATCTCAGGCGGAGAGAAGTGCTCTTCTTACAAAAACACTTATTGGAAAAGTGGCAATTGGAAAACATGTTCCACATTCATTGGAAACGACATTAGGCATTGTCATTGGATATTTTAATAACAGCAAAATTTATGGCGATGAATCATCAACGAGTGAATCGTCTGCAAGACGAATATTTCGAATACTTGGATTATTTGAATTAGAATTTCCCGCTTGGAATGTTCAATTTGCTGGAAAAACGCTTAATCTTGAATTGATGGTATGTTTTTTTAATTACTTTTTTAAAATTATTTCAGTGATTTTTTCTCGTAAAATCATTTTTTACTGATTACATTTACTGATTTTATTTAAAATTAGATAAAAATCATTTGTTTTTTGCCTTGAACTAAAAATCACGAATTTTTTTTACACCAATTTTCTTGAAATTTATATTCTACAAAAACTAATAAAAATCATTGACAAATTTTTTTCTTCTCATTTTGAATTCCAGCAATAAACAAAATAAATAAATTTTTCTAAATTCTAAATAAAATAAAAAAAATGTTCTAAATAAATAAATAAAATCAATTATATCTCAAGTATCATAATTTTTAATGTAATGAAAATTAATTAATTATCTTAACAAAGCAATCTTATATTCCAAAATCAATATATTTTTTTCAAGTCGAGCATATTTTTTTTAGTTTCGTTTGTCAAATTTTCAGAAAGGAATTCATTGTTCTTGCATGTTGAATTAAATTTTAAGAAAGAAAATATGTGGATTCTTCTTTTTTTTTGTAAATTTGTCTCCTGCAAATTATGTTTAGTTTTTCTTTTAGTTTTCCACTATTTTTTTTTTTAATTCACTGGAAGAAAACAGTTCAACTTGAGCAGAATTTGAATTGGTCCCTTCTCTTTTTTTTAATCATTTACAGCACATCATAATTAAAATGAAGTCTAAAATTAAATTCATTATGACATTCAATTTTAAGGATTGCTTATTAAAAAACAAAACAAAAAATTGTTCTTTTAAATCGCATTACGTATAAACAAAAATATTGTTAACAATTTTATTCAATCAAACTATAATATTATTATTATCATTAATTAGTAAAAAGCCTAATTTTAATTAACTTTGTCTCATGACAAAAATTATTGAAATTGATCACGTCAACACGCAAAAATGTGCTGAAAATAGGACGAATTTTTACTATAACTATGATTTATTTATTTAATTTTTTTCTTTTGTTTCTTCAAATCTCTTTCAATTCTATTAACATAAATACCGTATTTTCTTTTATGTAAAGAATATTTTTCTTTTGTAAAAAGAATTTAAAAAAAAAAAAAAAATTCTTCTCGAATGTAAACATCTTTTTTAAAAATGCTCCAAAAATATTTATCTTCCTATGTAAATTGTTGTATACATATCAGGCAATATTTTTTCAATTGAAATTTTCATGATTCATTTTTCTGTATTTTTATACTAAAATAAAGTAGAAAGAGACACATTCTCTAATTTCTCGTCTTTTTTTCGAATTCATCAAAAATGAAATGATCGAAAATTGAATTCTATTATTATTAAACTAGCAATATTAAATGCGCGCAAGCGCGCCAAATTGGCTGTTTCATTATTTCTTATAGAGAAATTAAAAATTAATATTATCAATAATTATTTAAATTTATTAGAATATTATTCCATATTAAATGATAAAAATAAAAATTATATGTTTATAGGCCTCAGATTATTAATTATTAAATTATTAAATTTTAAATTCAAAGTCTTTTAAAATTCAATTATTTTCCAAATTTTCAATTTAAAATCAAATGAAATTCAATTATTACCCAAAATTTTCCATTCAAAATCAACTAAAATTCACTTATTTTCCAAATTTTCAATTTAAATTCAAATAAAATAAAATTATTTTCTAAAATTTCATTTCAAAATTAATTATCAAAAATCAACTAAAATTGAATTATTATTTAAAATTGTAATTGAAATTTAATGATTTTCCAAAATTTCAATTCAAAATCCAAGACAATTCAATTATTTTCCAAATTTTTAATTCAAAATCTTTTAAAATTCAATTATTATCCAAATTTTAAATTTAAAATCACATGAAATTCAATTATTATCCGAAATTTTAATTTAAAATCAACTAAAATTCAAATATTTTCCAAATTTTTCTATTGAAAATTAACAAAAATTCAATTATTTAATTATTTTCCAAAATTTCAATTCCAAAATTAACTAAAATTCAATTATTTCCCAAAAATTTTAATTCAAAATCAAAGAAAATTCAATTATTTTCCAAATTTTTAATTCAAAATCTTTTAAAATTCAATTATTTTCCTAGTTTTCAATTTAAAATGAAATAAAATTCTTCAATTGTTTTCTAAAATTTCTATTCAAAATTAATTATCCAAATTTTCAATAAAAAATGAACTTAAATTAAATTATTATTCAACATTTCAATTAAAATTCAATTATTTCCCAAAATTTCAATTCAAAATCAAAGAAAATTCAATTATTTTCAAAATTTTCAATTCAAAATCAACTAAAATTCAATTATTTTCTAAATCTAAAATCAAATAAAATTTAATTATTTTCTAAAATTTCAATTCAAAATTAATTATCAAAATTTTCAATAAAAAATCAACTAAAAATGAATTATTATCCAAAATTTTAAAAGGAAATTTAATTATTTTCCGAAATTTCAAATCAAAATTAAAGAAAATTTAATTATTCTAAAAAATTTGAATTCATAATTAATTGCATTTTCAATCATTTGAATTTAAAAGCATTTAAAATTTAATTATTTCTAAAATTTTCCATCGAAAATTTTTTGAAATTTAATAATTTCAATTATAACTCTAAGGGAATTCAATTATTTTTAAATATTTTTATAATATTCTTTGAAAATTCAACTATCTGAAACCATTTTTCAATTAAAAAATGATTATCAAATTATTGTATTTTGTCTGTAATTTCTAATAAATTTTTTAGTGAAATCATATAAAATTTTAATTAAAATCACTTGAAGTTCAATTAATTTCAAAAATCTCAATTTTAAATCTTTTGAAAATTCAATTAAATTTAAAAAATGTTTTCCAAAAAATTTTTTGATAAATTATTTTTAGTTCTGTAAAATTTTATTATTGTTTGAAAATTAACAATATCTTTTGAAATTTAATTATTTCTAAAATTTTCAAGTTTAATTTGACACAAATTTGACACGTTATAAGATTACTATTCAAGAAACACGTGAAATCATAAAAGACCAACTTCAAGTTAGGACAGAAGGACAGACCAATTGAATTCTATTATTATTAAATAATAATTTTTCATTTTTCTTTGAAAAAGTGTTTCTATTTTAATTGAGAAATAAAATCTATTTAAATAGAGAAATATAGAAAACAATTAATGTTTATTAGAGATATAAAAATACAATTACATTGTATTTTATTTTTTTTTTTTTTAGAAAGGAAAGTAAAAATTGAATGCAATTATAAAAATATTCTAAATTAATTAATTAATTTTTTTTTTTAGGTTCAAAGTTTGTGTCTACCATTCTTACGAGTCGCTGCATTGTTGCGTCATCATTTATACGAGCAACCAATACCGTTCATCGAATCACCTCAGGAAGAATTTGTGAGACTTGTTTATTATTTGGAATTGGTTACCGAAGGAATGGACATGGAAATTTTTAGTTCTCTTGTTGCATTAAATTGGCAAGACAGTGAAGCGGCTGTTGAAGTTCCACGTCTTTGGTGTGAACAGTACAAAGCTTTTGTCCATCGAAGTGAAATTGCTGCCAAGAATTTGATTGTTGATCAACATATATCTTGGCAAATGCCGAAACTCTTTAGTCTTCCTAGGGAATATGAAAAAATATTTACGGTTGGTTTACTTTTTTATTTTATTTTAAAAAAATTATTTCCCTAAAAAATATTAAAATTTAATTAAATTAAATTAAAAATGAATTAAAAATTCAAAGAATTAAATTTTTTAAAATAGTCATTTAATTTTGAAAAGAATATTTATTAAATTTAATCGTCAATTTCGAAAAGGAAACTCCTAAACCATAAGAATTTTTTTTACTGTTAAATACTTTGTTTTTTTTTCAAATTCTAATCAATTTTTGTCTTTTTTTCTCTCTCCTATTTAGTATTATCATGAGCGTCAATGTCGGCAATGTCTTTCAGTACCTCAAGAAATTAGTATTTGTTTATTGTGCGGTGAAATCGTGTGTTTGAAGCAAAATTGCTGTAAGCAAAATAATATTTGCGAGGCTGTGGAAGTAAGTTTGAATAATTTAATAATAATTTATTTTTCATTTTAAAAAGTAATTTTTTGTATTAATTGAAATGTTTCTATTTATTTTTTAGCACGCAAATAAATGCGGAGGTGGAACTGGAATTTATTTAGTGGTAGCAACAACATATATAATTGTCATTCGCGGAAAGAGAGCTTGTTTATGGGGATCATTATATCTTGACGATTTTGAAGAAGAGGATAAAGATTTAAAGTAAGTTTAACAAATTTAAAAAGAAAAAATAAATTCAAAATAATAATAATTATAAGTAAGGAAATATTTATTAAAAATCGAACCCTAAGACAACGAAAATTTCAAAAATTTTACTGGTACCTCCTCTTAAATTAAATAAAAATGAAACGTCTTTTTTTTTTAAATATAAAACCTTTTGTTTTCAGGAGAGGCAAACCTTTGTATCTAAGTCAAGATCGATATCAATTATTGGAACAACAGTGGCTTGCACATAGATTTGATCATACGAAAAAGACTTGGGTGTGGCATCGTGACGCGCTGTGACCTTTCATTTTGTTGAACGCATAGCCCATCCGAAGCGCATCAAAATTTTCTTTGACCCCCTCCTCCACCCCCTTAATCAAATCACTGACTCGCTAATAATAACGCTTCACGAAAAAAAAAAGAAACTTTTAACAGTTTGCTCCACTAGAGTTTTAGATATATTTATTCTCATTTTTGATGCAATGCTTAGACGTTATAGTAATTATAAAAATAATAATAGTAATAATAATAATAATGATATGTAATGAGGTAACGAAAATTATGAGATGTTAATAATAACAATAATGATGCTGATGATGATGATCATGATGAATGATGATGAAGAAGAAGAAAAAAATGATAATGATTATAATTGAAAAATTGAAAGTATTAAAAAGTGGTGATAGCCAGGTTGCTAAAATTGATCAAATTGGAGAAGTTGATTGAACTTGACTGTTGTTAAGCTTTGTAAATTTTATTTTAAAAGTCTCAATTATATTATGAAGACAGTAATAATTGAAATCAAGAACTGAGAGTTCCTATACCTACAAGAAAGAGATATTTTAATAATTTTTTTTTTTATTTACGTTTTATTTTTTATCGCGATATAATTTATCCTCTAATTTCTTGTTTTTTTTTTAAATAATATTCAATGAATCTAAAAAATGAATGATCGAAGAATTTTTACTTTCCCAGTTCTAAAAAAAAAGAAAATACATCCTTTTTTTTCTATATTTCTCTATTTAAATAGATTTTATTTCTCAATTAGAATAGAAACACTTTTTCAAAGAAAAATGAAAAATTATTATTTAATAATAATAGAATACAATTTTCGATCATTTCATTTTCGATGAATTCGAAAAAAAGACGAGAAATTAGAGAATGTGTCTCTTTCTACTTTATTTTAGTATAAAAATACAGAAAAATGAATCATGAAAATTTCAATTGAAAAAATATTGCCTGATATGTATACAACAATTTACATAGGAAGATAAATATTTTTGGAGCATTTTTAAAAAAGATGTTTACATTCGAGAAGAATTTTTTTTTTTTTTTTTAAATTCTTTTTACAAAAGAAAAATATTCTTTACATAAAAGAAAATACGGTATTTATGTTAATAGAATTGAAACAGATTTGAAGAAACAAAAGAAAAAAAATTAAATAAATAAATCATAGTTATAGTAAAAATTCGTCCTATTTTCAGCACATTTTTGCGTGTTGACGTGATCAATTTCAATAATTTTTGTCATGAGACAAAGTTAATTAAAATTAGGCTTTTTACTAATTAATGATAATAATAATATTATAGTTTGATTGAATAAAATTGTTAACAATATTTTTGTTTATACGTAATGCGATTTAAAAGAACAATTTTTTGTTTTGTTTTTTAATAAGCAATCCTTAAAATTGAATGTCATAATGAATTTAATTTTAGACTTCATTTTACTTATGATGTGCTGTAAATGATTAAAAAAGAGAAGGGACCAATTCAAATTCTGCTCAAGTTGAACTGTTTTCTTCCAGTGAATTAAAAAAAAAAAAAAAAAAAAATAGTGGAAAACTAAAAGAAAAACTAAACACAATTTGCAAGAGACAAATTTACAAAAAAAGAAGAATCCACATATTTTCTTTCTTAAAATTTAATTCAACATGCAAGAACAATGAATTCCTTTCTGAAAATTTGACAGACGAAACTAAAAAAAAAATGCTCGACTTGAAAAAAATGTATTGATTTTGGAATATAAGATTGCTTTGTTAAGATAATTAATTAATTTTCATTACATTAATAATTTTACGATGATATGCTTCTATGGAAATCTATAGGGATATATCTTTTTGTTACTTCGAAAATAATAAGTGAAACCTTCCCATTTATAGAACTCGATTGTCGTCACACTATAATATTCGAGCAGAAAAAGAAAATTATCATTATTTTTAATTTTTCTAGAGAATAATATTGAATTTTTTTTTTTTCTTTGTGTTAGAACGAAGAATAGTTGGGAAGTAAGGACGAAATAAGGACAAAATACTTTTTTTTCACACACATATATATAGTCACTATTACATTTTTTAAAGTTTGTTGCGTATTAATCCATTAAATTTTGCAAAAAGTAATTAATATCGAGATAGTTATTAAAAATTACGATACACATTGATTTTGTTTATTGCTGGAATTTAAAATAAGAAAAAAATTTGTCAATGATTTTTATTAGTTCTTGTAGAATATAAATTTAAAGAATATTGTGGTAAAAAAAAAATTCGTAATTTTTTAGTTCAAGGGGAAAATATTGTTTTTAAAAAAACGTAATGTTTAAAAATGTTTCTTTTTTCTTTATTTTATTGGATATATAAAAATTTATTAATATTTATTCAAAATAATAAAAGTTATTATTTTTCAAATAATCAGAGTATTCATAGAAGGAAAATTCATAGATAATTGTTAAATATTTTCGAATTTTGTGATATTTAACAAATTATCTCGATTTTTTTTTCTTGTTTAGAGAGAAATAAAAAAAAATTACATTTTTTTTGTAATATTTTTATATTGCAAGAATTTATTAAGTGAAACAAGATAAAAAAAAAGTGCTACGAAAATATTCGTTGAATGAAATTTTTTATCTCATCGACTATATTTTACAAGAAATTCTTTTCATTTTGTATTCCAGAATCGTAATTATTTAAAAAAAAAAAGAATTCGCAAACTTCTTGATGCAAAATATAATGGATTTCGTTTTTTTTTCTCTCTTCTAGAACTTAATAATAAGTCTTTGTCCATTTGTAAAAATGTACATTTTTCCCCCTCGAAAAACATGCTTTTTGAATGATATACAGACATATTTGCAATAAGATATTCTTGTAAGAGAACTGTATCAGATTTATCTGGAAAACATTTATTTAAGAAAGAAAATAATCTTTAAAAAAAAAGTGATATATAATAATATTAATAATAATAATAATAATAATATTAATAAAAAAGAAACACGTGTAATAGACAGTTTTGCTTTTGCTTCTCTTTTTCTCGCGCTATGGTTTGGAAAATCATTAAACGAAAAAATAAAACAATTGTCAACTGTATTTTAATATTGTTGCGAATTAGTCTTTAAGAAAAGTTTGACGAATTTTATTTCTTACAAAAAAAAAAAATAAAACAAAACAAAATCAACAACAAAGGAATAGCTTCATAATGGTTGTAAATATGTATAGATGTGATGTCAGCTACTGTTACCTAAGTAATCTTGAGTAAAATGTATCTGTACATAGATAATCAATTGTTTTCTAGGAATGTTCTTGCATAAATACTTAAACATTAAAGTTATGAAAAAAGAAAGCAAATACGATTTATTTTCCATTTTCACCCTCGAAAAATTTTTAAAAAAAAATTATTATGCTTTTGTTATTGCTGTTTAAATAATTTTTTTTTTTGGACAATTTTATTTTTAACACTTTAATTTTATAATTAATAGATATAATTAGTTATTATTAATATTAATAATTAACATTGATAGAAATTTTTTTGCGAAAAATAATATTTTAATAGAATATATATTAATAATAATATAATTATAATATATATTATAATATATATATATATAATAATATATATATTATAATATATATTATATATATTAATATTATTAATATTAATAATTAACATTGATAGAAATTTTTTTGCGAAAAATAATATTTTAATAGAATATTATTTTGAGCAAATAATTTTAATTTGGACCAAAAATTAAATTTTTAATAAAAAATTATATATTTTTTTACTTAATATGATTAAAATATAACAAAAACTATTCAAAAGCTATACACATTCAATTAATTTGAGTTCGAAAAAATGCTCGGGTCTACTGGACCCATGATGCTAGTTAAGGGTTAATTATGAGCGTTATTTTAGTTTAAAAAACTGATACTCAATAAGAAAAATATTTAATATAAAAAATTGACCGTGAAAGAAAATTTATACGACGTTGAACGCTAATTCCAAATGTGATAAGTGATAGTAATAAGTTTAGTGTTCATCTTGTTTAGATGTTATTATTTAATGATAATAATTGTTATTAATTTAAATAACTTTTTTTCTACTTGTGATTTTTTTTTCTCAATCGGCTTTATAATTCAGAAAAATATTTGCATATTTAAAAAATAAATATATTTAAAATTTAATATTAAAAAATTTTTTTTTATAAATTTTACTATTCCATTCAAACACGATTTAAAAAAAAAATTAATTAACTTAGACTTTATTATAATAAGAAATTACAGGAAAAATAATTCTTTTTTTTTTAGAAATTGTAAGAAAAGTTCAAATTTTAATTTTTCCAGAATATTGAATTCTATTAAAAAAAATTTAATTGTATAAATTAAAAATTTTTAAATATCATTGAATAGTGAATAAACTATAAAAATTTGATTATCTTTATTATTTCTATACTTTTTTTTGTTAAATTTTTACTCTCCTTATTAAAAAGAAAAATAATAAAAGGCTTAAAAAAAGAGATTCTTACTTTCATAAAAATAATTCTACTCTCAATTTTGTACAATATTTTATTTATGGAATCCAGATATATTATCAAGGCAACTTACAATAATTATTATAATCTAAACATATACGTTTAAAGTGACTTTATTTTTTTTGTTTGTTTTAGCCGAAAAATGAACATATATGACTTATAACGAATTAAATTCACTCGCAAGTCAGAATTTTTAATTTAAATATTATAATAGACAATTTATAATTAATTGAAAAATTGAGCCGCATGATTTTGAATCTTATACAAACTTATCAAATTCTCGTAACAATTTTTTTTTTCTTTTTTTTTTTTTTTTTTTTTTTTTTGATGTGAAAAAAATAAATAATTCAAACGACTGTATTATAAAATGAACTTACAACTTTAATTATGTCTTCAATATAATATGCAACAGTTTCAAAATCAAGCAGCTGTTGTCAAAAGAAATATATTCAAGATTGAGTTTTCAAGACACTCATATCTAGGATTCCGAATAATACAATTACAATCTCTGATTAAAAGAAATGAGAAAAAAAAAATTTGTTGCCTCAATGAAGAAATATTGCATACGGTAAATTTGGTAATTATTATAATTATATATATATATAAAAAAAATATATATATATATATTTATAAATGTTCACTTCCAGAATTCGGTGTAAGAAAAAGATTTCTATTAAATACAAATTCGAAGATGGTATTACATTGGACACCATACACTGGTTTTTTTTTTTCGTTTGCGACGCGTAGGATAAAAAAAACGTACCCCATTTATTACAATAATAATTTATCTCAGTACGCTTTATTTCATTTTTACGAAGACTTTTTTTTTACGTGTATTATAAACATAAAGATAAAAAAAAAAAGTGCAATACTATAATAAAGAATGAGGGAAATTTGTTAAATTCTAAAAACATATAATCTAGAATGTAATTTCTGAAAGCTTACAGTTGGAATTAAATCCGTCGGCCATGAAAAAAAAAAAAAAAAATTATCCCTAACCGCAAATGGTTGCAATTCCACCTTTGGAATATCTAGTTTATTTTTGCAAATTCGTGTTCTCATACAATTTGTTGATTCTTTTTTTTTTGAAAAAAAAAAAGGTTTTCGAAAAATATCTAAATTATCAAAAAAACACTTTGAATAAATTAATAATGAAAAAAAGCAAAAAAAAAAAAAAATTTAGATGAAATTTAAACAAATGAAATTTTATGATAATTATTTAGATAATTTCAATCACCTTCTTTTTTCTGACAAAATTCACTTGCCAACGTACAAGTGTGATGAAAGTTCTTTTTAAAAAAAATTTTTTTTTCTTCTCTTAACGTAACAACTTGGTGCTAACTTTAAAAACTGAAATTTTCATTGAATAAAACAAATTCATTATATAGCATATTGTTTCTTTTTTTTTCTAGAAATTTTGTTACAAAAATTATTTAATATTGTCGGTATTTAAGCATATACATATATATATATTATCGAAGAAAATAAGTTAAAAAGAAAAGAAAAAAAAAAAAATAATAAACAGTTTCTTTTGTTATTAATCAAGAAACTTGTCTTACTGTTAATGGGAATGTAAACCAGCACGTCCAGATTGTTACGTAGATGTCAAATTATACAACATGATTTTGTTAACACATGAACATGATTTAAATCTTGTCCGTTTGTTCACTTTCACTTTTTTTTTTGTTTTTTTTTTTTTTTTTTTTTTTTTTTTTTTTAGTAAAAAAAAATATGAAAACCAAATTGCATGGCACCTCCATTAACTTCTATTCAGTAGTAACCACCTGTTTGCTCTTGATAAACTTCAATGACATCGTCGTTTTCCATCTCCAACTGTAATTAATATTTTTTCATTTATGTTAATTTATTAAATAATTCAAATTAATTAATATTATTTTGCGAATGTTATTATTAAAAAAAAAAAACATAAATCTGTTTATTCAACACATATACAGGGTTGCCATGGAACACTCATTTCAAAATTCCATGACTTTTCCAGGTTTTCCAGACCATTTTTTAAAAAATTCCAGATCCAAATATAAATTTTTAAAAATTAATTTTTAGCCAATTATGAAAAAAAATACAAAAACCTTTAATTAAATTATTAATAAAACTAGCAAAATTAAACGCGCGCCAAATTGAGTATTTAATTGTTTGTTATAAAGAAATTAAAGATTAATATTATCAATAATAATTTAATTTATTAGAATATTATTACATATTAAATGATAATAATGAAAATTATATGTTTACAGGCCTCGGATTATACGACTTTTTCCGAATTTTTTCAAAAATACGACTTTTATCGACTTATTTTAATAAAATGCGACATTTTTTTTACATTTGAAAAGAAAATGAAAATAAAATACATTTTTCTAGTATAAAATGTAGATCTTCTTCAATTCAATTATTTAACAAATTTTGAACTAAAATGATTCTTCACTAAATTAATTATTTTTAATAATTTTAATGAAATACATGGGTAAGTCCACGTCAGAAATATCAAAATCTGCAAGTGGTTCTTCGATTTTAATGATACTTGATAAAATTATAGCTTTATATAAGAGCAATGTGTAAGTAAAAGGAATTTTTAAAATATCTAAAATTGTAGGAGTTATATCACTTTTAATTTTGATACTGCATTTTTTTCTTTCCTTTATATCTCGGTCAATTTTCAACCGATTTTGATGAATCAAAAACGATTTTTTTCAGAAAATTACGTATTTTCAGAAAATTTTAAAATAAAAATAAAATTTTGTTATTTAAATAGAAAAAAGTAAAAAACAAAATTTCTTTTAGATTTTTTTTCAATTTCGACCTCTTTTTTTAAATTTTAATTTTTTAATAATATTCCTTTTTATTTTATCTTTAATTTAAAAAAAAATTCATCCTGGAGACTTTTTTAGATCTCGTGATATCGTCCTTTAAGTATTATAAGTCTTCATCAATTTGAAAACCGCAGGACTTGCTTCTATCATTACTTTCATTTGTTTGTTGAAATTTTTTATGGTTATGAATAACTATTTGTTTTAGAATCATCTAAAAGAAAGCGCTAAAAACTTCAGCTACAATTTCAGGTTGCATTGTTAAGGTTTCATTACAATTTATTTTAAATTATAAATATTACAAAAAATAAAAACTTTGCTTCAAATCTATTAATAAAATATTGATTTGCTTGAATTTTCACTTGTTTTAGTCAAGTAATTTAAAAATAAAAACATTATTACGCGAAAGTTTCTAGTTTGTAACAATAATATTATAAAACAAATGAAAGTAGAAACACAAATCTGGATCCTAGTTTTCTTGAGATGTGGATATTTAAAGAACGATATCACGAGATCTAAAAAAGTCTCCAGGATGAATTTTTTTTTAAATTAAAGATAAAATAAAAAGGAATATTATTAAAAAATTAAAAATTAAAAAAAAGAGGTCGAAATTGAAAAAAAATCTAAAAGAAATTTTGTTTTTTACTTTTTTCTATTTAAATAAAAAAATTTTATTTTTATTTTAAAATTTTCTGAAAATACGTAATTTTCTGAAAAAAATCGTTTTTGATTCATCAAAATCGGTTGAAAATTGACCGAGATATAAAGGAAAGAAAAAAATGCAGTATCAAAATTAAAAGTGATATAACTCCTACAATTTTAGATATTTTAAAAATTCCTTTTACTTACACATTGCTTTTATATAAAGCTATAATTTTACCAAGTATCATTAAAATCGAAGAACCACTTGCAGATTCTGATATTTCTGACGTGGACTTACCCACATCACAAATTCAATTATATCAAAATTATTTTTCAATTAAAATTTTTATGAAATTTAACAATTGTTTATAATTTTAAAAAAATATATCACAATAAAATTGTATTATTTTTTAAAAATTTCAATTCAAAATAAACTAAAATTCAATTATTACCCGAAATTTTAATTCAAAATCAATTAAAAATCCAATAATTATCCAAAATTTTCAATTTAAAATTTAATTATTTACCAAGTTTTCAATTTAAAATGAAATAAAATTCAATTATTTTCTAAAATTTCTATTCAAAATTAATTATCCAAATTTTCAATTAAAAATGAACTTAAATTAAATTATTATTCAAAATTTCAATTAAAAATTCAATTATTTCCCAAAATTTTCAATTCAAAATGAAGTGAAATTCAATTATTTTCCAAATTTAAAATCAAATAAAATTTCATTATTCTCAAAAATTTGAATTCAAAATTAATTGAATTTTCAATAATTTGAATTTAAAAGCATCTAAAATTTTCCATCGAAATTTTTTTTTTTTTTTTTAAATTTAATAATTTCAATTATAACTCTAAAGAAATTCAATTATTTTTAACTATTTTAATAATATTCTTTGAAATTTCAACTATCTGAAACCATTTTTCAATTAAAAATGATTTTCAAATTATTGCATTTTGTCCGCATTTTCTAATAAATTTTTAGTGAAATCATCTAAAATTTTAATTACAAAAGACTTAAAGTTTCAATTAATTTCAAAAATCTCAATTTTAAATCTTTGAAAATTTAATTAAATTTAAAAAATGTTTTCCAAAAATTGTTTGATAAATTATTTTTAGTTCTGTAAAATTTAATAATTGTTTAAAAATTTACAATATCTTTTGAAATTTAATTATTTCTAAAAATTTCAACTTTAACCCTTCGAAAAGGATTATTATTAAAAAAAAAAAAATTTTATTTAAAAATCTGTAAAATATTTTTGTTAAAATAAAAAACAAATCCACTTTTTTTTGGAATATAAATCGACTAAAACGACTTTTTTGTGTTTTTAAGTTGATTCGAGGCCTGTGTTTTTATATAATTAATATTTAATAGGTATTCGTTGGCCCCTGGTACCTTAAAAATTAATTTTTTTCAAATTACTATCTTGTACGGAATTTCCTGGCGCATCTTTTTTCTCATTATAAATTTTTTGTACAATTTTTGAATCAATATACAACTTTAAAAAAAATTTCGTTGCTAAACGTTGTGTATTTCAGCTTCGTGAATTGAATTTTCGAATTTGGAATTTTAAAGAAACTTATTCCGAAATTTGGAAACACAATTATACAACTTTGGCAAAAATGAGAAAAAGAATTGTCAAAATTTGACACGTCATAAGATTACTATTCCAAAAAAAAAAACACGTGAAATCAGAAAAGGCCAACTTCAAGTTAGGACAGAAGGACAGACCAAGCATTTTATTATTATATAATAATTTATTAGGATCAGTTGGGGTAAATCGAAATTAGTAGTTATTTCAGTTAAATAAAAAATTTAAAAAATAAATACGGCCTTAAACCTTGAACCTTAGATCATCCCCAACAGATTCTAAGTATTCTCCCATTTTCCGTTTGTTAATCAGCAGCAATATAAACAAATATATTTCCTATTGCATAAAAAATTGAAAATCAAAGACTTTTTTGACTCGCATTTGGAAAAAAATAAACTAAAAATTCATATTATTAATTATAATTATCTCTTATTAATACTACAACAAAAATCAACTTTGATTTTTTCATTTTGCAAAATTCAATTAAAAATAGAAGACTGTTTCTATTTACCCCTAAAAACTGGAAATTCGGAGTAAATAGAAACAGAAATTTCAACAATATTAGAGAGAGAGAAAATTATTTCTATCAACTGCAACACTATTTTCAGCATTATAAAAATACATTGAAAATAGTATTCATCTATATTGTCATCAGTACATAGTATTTAACACTGAAGTACGCAACGTTTATGATAAACGATTTTAAAAGAAATAATTTTTTAAAATGAAAAATTCTATAATTTTTCGCCTAAAAAATATTTCTTATAGTTTTCATTAATAAATTATAAAAAAATATTTTTTAGGCAAAAAATTATACAATTTTTTAATTTAAAAAATTTATTCTTTAAAAATCGTTTATCATAAACGTTGCGTACTTCAGCTTCGTTTTATTGAGATAGCTTTATTTCTCGAGAGAATATCATGGTAGAACAAAACAATTTACCAAAGTATTAAGTCAATCTAATGATTTTAATTTTTCCGCGACTTTCTTTTTTTTCAGAGAATACATTTTCTGTAAAATAGGTTTTTCATTTGCTTTCCTTAGTTAAGAATAAAATTGAAAATTCATAAAATATTACGTTCTCATAAAGCATTTCAAATAATGTTTGATAAAAAAAATATTTAAAAAAGAAGAAGAGCAATTTTACCTGCTTTGGCGTTTCATCATCATTAATTCTTTTGCCATCGAAAAGAAACCTGAGACTTGTCATGGGAACACCCTGTAGAATAGAAAATAAAGAATTTTAATCATATCATAGAAAATTTTGAACTTTTTTTGTTTTATAATTTTTATTTTGAAAAAAAAGTTGAGAATTTTTTTTTTTCACATTTCTCTAATGTTAGAATTTTTAATAAAAAAATTTTCAATTACAAAACAAAAATAATAATTTTTGTAAAATAAAAAATTTTAATTTAACTAAAAAAAAGAAGAAAAATTGACAAATTTTCCAAATAGATTGAAAAAATGATAATTTTATAAACGCAAGCGTTTTATAAAAGCAAAACTTAAAATTTTTTTTTAAAAGCCAAAAAAATTAATTTCTCACTATAAAAAGTTCATTTACCTCACACTTTTTTTTTATTTGCACAAAGATAAAAATGAAATATTATTGATTATAAAAATTAAAAAAAAAAAAAAAGAAATTTTAAAATATAACTAAAAATCAAATCGAAGCACACAAAATATTTTTGTCACACACGTTTAAACACACCGAAAAAGAAAATTCACAAAATCAAAAATTAAATGATTAAAATGAAAAAAATTATTTTTTAAATAATCGCCATACTAACCACGCGATCACTGTAGGATTTCTTTAATTTTCCCATTTGAGTAGTCATTTTTACCCTAAAGTGAATTTCATTGCTGTCCTAAAGAAAAAAAGAAATCAATAAAAAAGATTAATAAAAAAAAAAAAACATCAATTATGATTGAATTTCTATTAAAGCAAAAAAAAAAAAGAAGAAAATAAAAAAAAAAACGCCAACTTACATTTCCAACTACTTTGAGTTTGATGTATTCTGAATTCGCGTCTCCTGGGCCGGAATCGGGTTTTTGTTCCTAAAAATTTGCGCGAAGGTTATAATAATTAATTTATTATCGTGAATACAACAATTTTCATGAAAATTACAAGTAAAAAAAACTTTAATTCAATGAACAATGAACAAATGAAATGAATATTATTTAAATATACCTGATTATCAGACATGGTTATAAATTAGAGACGATATAATTGACCACGCGCCGCAACAGCAAACCAAACACAAGCAAGCAATATGGCGCCTTTGGCTTTTGGCAGTTTCATATATGCGCTATCCGTTCCAAAAATAAAACCGGGCATTCCTAAATTCACTTTCGCCCCCACATTTGTCCATGGCATTTTATTTAAAAAATTTCCCCATTGGTGGACATTTTTCATAATCACCAATCACAAGTGAGATTATGGAATTTGGCGGCAAGATAATAAACAGAAATAACCAATCACAAGCGAGTTATAAAAGAAACATGTTTTATTGGTTAATAATTCTTGTTTGTAGTTTTCCACACACACACCTGATGAAATTAAATTAATTTTTGAAAAAAATTAATATTTTTCAAAAAAAAAAAAAAAAAAGAAATAATCATATTTTTAGATAAATTATATTTCATTTGAAAATGAATAATTTTTTTTTTCTTTATTAATTATAATATATAATGAAAAATCTAAGAAAATCTAACGGTTCAATAGAATACATATAAAAACGGATAATAACGAATAGAATTCTATTGACGCATGAGTCAAATCACTATTTAATTAATACAATTAATTTGAATATTTTTCTAAAAATTCTTTTCTATATTCAATTAAAAAATGTAAAAAAAAAAATTATGTTTGATGAAATAATAAATCCTTTTTTTTCGATTTTATTGAATTAATTTTATCAAATAAAATTGAAACGCAATATGAAAACAACTTCCGGTTTAGTGCATATTTTACATGTATTAGGCTTAATAGGGGCCATCCATAAATTACATTGCACTATTTTTCACCATTTTCGACTCCCCCCCCTTCCCCATATTGCATTAGCGCCATTTTTTCTATTGAATATTGCAAATTCTTGACCCCCCCCCCTTCAAGCGCAACGTAATTTATGGATGACCCCTAAAATACGATACTGTAAATGAGAATAAAGAGCATCCGGTAGTTTTTCATTCGCTATTTTACTTTTCTTTGTTTTAGGAAACAATTTTTAATGACTCATTATTCTCTTTATTAGTAATTAATGGCAAAAATAATCGCGCATTACATTTTGAGAACTGACTAAAAAATTTTTAATTATTAATTTTTTTAGCTTCTTACTAAAAATGTATTAATCAAATTTTTGTATTATTGAAATTATAATGAAATTTTTTTTCATCACTTGCGAAATTTTATTTGAAGCGAATTTTATCGCCTATTTATTATTATTATTATTATTATTATTAATAATAATAATAATAAAAATAATAATAATTGTTATTATTATTATTTAATTAACTGAAATTTATGAAAAAAGTAAAAATTAAATTATTTTTGATAATTAGGGTAAATTTCTCATAATTGTTTATTGTTTTTTTTTTCAAAAACTTGTAACGATTTTTCAAAAGTAGGTTATATCAACTGATATTCTTCTAAAAAACATACACACGAAATTTTATGCATTAATATTAATATCAAGAATTGTATGCAGGAATTTTGAGAAATATGGAAATTGAAATACAGAATTAATCGAGATTTTATATTTTTGAAAAAATTTTCGATTTTTTACCATAATTTCAAAAAAAAAATTTGTTAATTTTATAAACCATTTCTTTGTAGAAAATAAACTACCTTGAAAAAAAATCCATTAATATATGTACATATATTTTAATAGAAATTTATAGAAATAGTCGCAATTTTGTATTTTTGAAAAAATTTTCAATTTACATTTTTTTTTTTACTATAACTTCAAAAATTGTAATTTTATAACAATTTTTTTTTGTAAAAAAATAATCTAAGTAGCTTGAGAAAAAATTCCATTAAAATGTAAAAAATGACAAAAATTTCAATTTTTGTTTCTATAAATTTGCAATTTTTACATTTCACATTGTAGAAATAAATATTTTTTTTTTTTTTTTGAAAAACATATTAAGTAATCAAATTTTAACAGAAATTTTTAGAATTAATATCGATTTTTTATTCTTTAAGAAATTCAGATTTTTTTTTTTTACTTTAACTTTTCAAAGTAAATAATTAGAAATTGTAAAACATTTTTTTTTAGACATTCAAATTTTTTTTCTCGGGGAATTTGACATTAAAAAAAGAATAAAATCATGACTCTTTAATTCAGTTCAATAAACTTACAAAATGAGCATATTTAATAAAAAAATAGAGAAAAATTTTAAATACTTTATTTCACATTAAAATTTAAAAAAAAAATTTTTTTTTCGTAATTTCGTTGTTATGTACAAAAACATAATTAATAATTAGTATTAATTTATATTACAATAATTAGTATAAATTATATAATAATAATAATAAACAATATTATTTATACAATCCAGTGTAAAGAATGTATCACATGATAAATAATCAATAAGAAAAGTTATTGAAAAGTATCTTAATATTATTTATAATAATAATTATTAACGTTAATATTATTTATTAAAAATCTTCTTAACAATATCAACGAGAAATATATAATAAAATTTTTATCTATTAAAATACTATTTACATAGTATAATTACTATACAAATCCTCATAACATTAATATTATTAAACTATTACAATAAATATCTAAAAAAATTATTAGCGCAATTATTAATATACATTTAGATTATTATTTTAAAAAATAATAACTATTAAAATATTATACTATGTATAATAAAAAAATTTTATTTAAAATCACTTGAATTCTAATTTTTTTGTGCAATAGTTACACGTTTTTTTTTTTTTTTTTTTTTTTTTGAGTGTATTTTTATTGTAAAATTAATAGGAAATTTTTCGTTTTGTGTTATATTAAAAGAGAATCGCATATAGCATAAACATTGATAAAAACTCTCTAAAAAAAGTTTTAACATTTTTTTTATGAGGTCAATTAGTGGTATAAAGTTATTAATAGCATTAGCGAAGCTCATATCTCACTCAAATTAAAAAAAAAAAAAAAAAAATTTTATTGAATCCGTTGAAGTTGTATGTTACATGAAGATTTACATGTTAAGAAAAAAGGTCCTTCTTGATCTGGTAAATAAGTCGAAGGAATAATATTATACGTACCCGATGGAACATCGTCCAATTCCAAATAAACAAAACCGCATCTGTAGCGAAATATAAATTTTAATAATAATAATGATTTTTATTTAGAAAATTTACTATTACATAGATAAAATTTTTATTTTAATTCTTTAAAAAAATTAATTGATTTTTTTATTACTTAAAAATTGAATTTTTAATTAATATTTCCAAAAATTGAATTTAATTTCAAGGGAAATATTTATTTCTTTTCTACTTATATATATAGGAAATATTTACCTGAAAAGACCAGAACTTTTTGAATTGAAAGCTGAAGGTGATTCGGAATCGTTGAGAGCGACAGAAATAATTTCAAATCCTATTTGATATTGTTTTGGACCTTTCAAAATAATAAGTAAATAATTATTATTGTGCGAACTATCTAATTGCAATTGATAACGAGGATTATTTTGATAAGTAGCCGGATGATTTCCACATCCTCCAGCGGTCACGCCTTTCCATTGTCCATCAGTTATCTAAAATATAAAAATATAATATGTAATTTAAAAACAAGCATTTTTAACTGAAAAAAAAATTTTTTTTTAAACAAATTTCAAATTATTTAAATATTTCAATTTATATAAAATTATGTGTAAAAGTGATACAATTTGAAAAAAGTAATTAAATATTTTTATCTCTAAAAAAAAATATTGCTTGATGAATAAAAGAAGAAATGGAAAAAATACCTCTTTTATGTGCCTATAAGGATCGGCAATTTTTCGCAATTTAAAAGGACACGTTCCATATGCGCGTAGAGTATAATAAATAGTATTAGTTTTTTCATATTGTGAAATTACTAAAGTATATTTACTATCGCTATTGGGTCCCAATTTTATTTTACAAAGATAATGTGGACTGTTGATACGAACACCATCAATATATGGCGGAGGATCATCTGCCGAAAAAATATAAGAAGAAAATAGAAAAATTATATTTTTATATTTAAAAAAAAGAAAAGAAAAATAATTTTCATATTTTTGTTAAAAAAAAAAAAATTAAAAGAGGATAAAAAATGGATCGATAAAAAATAACTTTTAACATTTTTCACATTAATTTCTATAACGATCAAAAAAATTAAAGATCCTTTAATTTAAAAAAAGAACATTGAAAGATTGTGTAAATAAATATTCTTGATTATATAAAAAAAATTCATTAATGAAATCATAATTCAAATTATAAACTAAATTGAAAAATATTTATTTCATCTGAAAAATTAGTAAAAAAATAATAATTTTTTTTTTGAAAAATAGAAACAAAATTCCTTACGAGGATAGTAAACTCTTTTGCCAGAATTTTTATAAACCAAAACTGAAATATATTCTTGATTTTGTCGAAAATCGGCAATATCGGTAATATGTCGAGTGAGAAGAATCCAAACTGCTCCCTGAGCATTAGGTTGCACCTCTAATGAAAATTGTGGATTATCTCCAATATTGTAGGCATCGCGAACTGGACCAATTCCAGCTCTCCACATTCTAAAAAAAAAGAAAACGATAAAGAAGCCCCTCAGTAAGAATTTAATTCAAATTATTGTAAATTAGTCATATTTCTTTTAATTTTTATTGCTTTCATTAATTTTAATTATTTAATTTTATTAATAATATTTATTAATTTTTTTAAATCACTTTTTATCGTTTATTTAAACAATAAATTCAAATTTTAAAAAAGAATCACAATTTAATTTTTGGTTCAATTTACAGTTTTATATTTATTCAAAAAATATTTACCAAAAAAAAAATATATATAAATTCTCTAAAATAGTCGAAAATGATATTATATCTTCAATTTTTGGAAATGAAATTTGGTTTTAGATTCTAAAGAATGGGGGAAAATTTTAACATCCCGAAATAATGTAAACTTTAATCGCAGTTAAATTGGTAATAATTCTTTTTGAAATTCAATTTCTTGCAAAACTTTTTCTTACATGAAAATTTCATTTAAAAAAATTAATTTTAAATTACAAGAACTTTTTTTCATTTCAAAAAATTGTTTTAATTCGAAAAATTTAAAAACTAAAAAAATCCAGTCCCTTTCCTGGATTTCTAGAAACTTTTTAAAATTCCGTATCCTTTTTCATGATTTTCAACTTCTGTACGAACCCTAAATTTCCTAGTTTGTGACTTTATTAAAAAAAAAAAAAAATAATTTTGAAAATCAATGTTTTAAGAAAACATAATTTTGTAAAATTAATTTAAATTTTCTAGATTCTTTCATTGCAGGTACGTCTTTTTTTTTGGTACTAAATATCTAAAAAATTTAATAGTAATCGAAAAAATTTTATTTAATTTTTAATGCACTATTAGTAACTCAGAGAAAATCGCATTGAAAAAAAAACTCATCACTTTTATCATTTTCATTAAATAACAAAAAAAAAAAATACCTTTTTTTTAATTAATATAAACTTACTGATGAATGCAATACGTATATTTAAATAATCCTGGATTCCAATTAATATAAAAAACATCGAAAAAGCGACAAATACTGTCGTAATCAATCCAAAAAATGCCATTATCAAATTGAGATGCAGAATCGGGATCATAATTTAATGCCTCCTGCAATGAACTTGTCCAATGTGTTTTATCGAGTTCAGAATAATTTCCCTTCCATCTCAAATGTGACCAGGGATTTTTCAATTGTAACAATCTTGTTTCACCCTAAAAAAAAATATCATTGAAACTATAAAAAATCTTTTATTTTTTATTGCTTGCAGAAAGAAAATATTTGAAAATAAATATATATATTATAATTACATTTATTTTTCTAACATCAAGAACTGCATAGGCGTGAGTTGGAACAAGTCCAGTTCGATCAGCTTCAGCGTCTGATAATTCACCGGTGGCTACAGTTACTAAAATATCGCCTCTATGTAATTTTAAAAATAATGTATCAAACAAATGATCCTTATTGAAGTCCGGTTCGTTTAATCTAATTGCCCATCTTTCCGGAATCCATCCAGTTAAAGCGTGTAAATCAATATTCTTTGAAAATAAATTGAGGAAAATTTTTTTTTATTATTTTCAATTTTTAATATTTCAATAATATCATTAAAATATGTCATAAATGAAATTTTAATCGAATTAGTTTGAAAATTTTAAAAATTCTTTGAATTCATTTTAGAAACTCTCAAAAATTTCTATATAAACAAACTTTTTAAAATGAAAATTAGAATTGATTGAAATTAGAATCGATTAGAATTTTAATAGATTAATAATTTTGTTTTTTTCTTTTTGATAAATTGAATTTAGAACAGATTAAAATTTCCTTCAATATATATATAAGATTTTACAGATAAAAAATAGAATCGATTAAAAATGTAAATGGTGTTTCCAATAATCAAAAAATCAACTTATATACTAAAAATTAGAGTAAATTGAAATTAAAATTTAGAAAAATTTAATTTAGATACGTGTTAAAATTTAAAAAAAAATTGTTACCATTATTAGAATTTATTGAAATTCGGATGTGACTTCAATTTTAATAAATTAAAATTTGTATTAATTGAAATTTTCATTAATTTAATTTCCTTCAAATATAAAATTTAACTAAAAAAAAAAAAAAATTGGATTTACTGAAATTTGAATAAATAGGAAAGAAAGTGATAAATTAAAGTTTCGATTAATAAAAACAATTGAAATTTGAATTAATTAATTTAGAAACTTTTAAAATTTCTACCAATAAAAATGTTTATCGTAAAAAAATAAGATTTCTTTTATTTTTGATCAATTTAATATTTGAATAAATTAAAATTTGTATCGATTTGCAAAAATTGAATAAATATAAGTTCTTATCGTCTAAATTAGTGATTGACGATTCAATGAATAAAAATATTTTGAATAATGAAAATGAAGATTGTTTAATAAAAATTAATGGTAATAATTTCCAGACAATATTGATTTTTAGTTAAAAAAAAAAAAAAAACTTACACTATTTGAACCAGGAAAATCGTAACCACCCATAACTTTCATATATGCCTTTTCAAGTAATGAAATCCAAAGTTCTCCTCTTTTATTCGAATAGGAACAAAGTAGATGATTATGTCTACTCACTGGTAAATAATCGTCTATTATAACTTTTCTTGGAATTCCATTGATATGTAATTTTATCATATATTTTCCTAAACAAAAAAAAAAAAAAGGAAAAGAAAGAAAAACATTAATTTTTTACACATTTCACAAAAAAAATTTTTGATTTTTTTAATTTATTATAAATTGCCAAAAAAAAAAAATTACTTACCGAAAGGATTGTAAATCGGCGTTTTATCCCGATTTCTTGGATAAATAATTTCTGTGACAAGTTTGCGGCCAAATTTTCTTTCATATTGTGCACTTACCGCCAGGGAAGCAACGAATGAACAATCAGAAACGACCTGAAAAAATTAAATTTTTTTATTTAATTATTAATTAAATTTGTTTTTTAATAAACAAAAGTTCCGTGTCGGTTTTAAAAAAAGCAAATAATAATTTATTTTTTATTTATTTAGAAATTCTTTATAAATAAATAAATAAATAAAATTTCATTCAAATAAAAAATCCACTGTATTAGAAAATTTATTGAATTAAAAATTCTACTTTTTATAAATTTCAACTAAATAGAAATTCGAAATTATTAATTTTGATCACATTGAAAAATATCGATTTTTAAGAAATATTTATGTCTTGAAATTTTCAATGATTTTAATTTAAATATAAAGAAAAAAACAATTTAAAAGATCTTAATTTTTTTTTTTTCACTAAACTCTAAAATGTAAAATAAAAAACCAATGAAATATTTTTTATAAATTTTATACACTTAACTGTTTGTTTTATACTGTAATAATCAATATGATTTCCAATAATCATTTTGGGCTCAGAAAAAAGTTCTTCGGGTCGACACCAACGGGCAAAATCGGGCTTTTGTTTTGGTGCTAATTCCAAAAGTCCATCCTTATCCGTAAATGGAATTGGATATTTAAATCGTTCAGTTAAATCAATATTCATAAAAGGCACAAATTCATTATCATTAATGTGTGAGCTATGGAGTAATACTTTTTTTTCTTCATCACTATATTCAACATTTCCGCCAACAACTTTAAGATGTGCACTATCACCACGATGTAAAGTTGGCTTCGAACGACTAACTAAAATTAATATTATTATTTCTTTCATTTTTTTTTTACAATAAAATTTAATTTATTTTACTTTATTCATTTTTAGTATACAAAAAAAAATGTCAGCGTTGTCACAAGAATAAATTTTTCAATTTTCCTAACGAATAGAAATTCGGATAATTTTAAACTTAAATAAATTAAAATTCGTATAATTTAACATTTAAATCGATTAATCTTTCGATAAATTAAAATTTCGTTAATTTTAAGTTTCAATCGATTGAATTTGCATTTGATAAAAATTTTAACTAATAAATTTATTTTGAGCAATAAAAATTAGTATTGATTGTTAAAAGTTAGATCACTTGAAATTTAAATCTTGAAATTTAGATCCATTAAAATTTGAATAGAATATAGTTTAATTAAATTGATATTTGGATGAATTAAAATAAGAACAGATTCAAATTTGGATAAATTGAATTTTAAATTGATTAAATATTGATGGTTTTGATTAGAATTAGAATGAATTTAAATTTAGATCGATTAGAATTTTAATCAATAAATGCTTCAACTAATTTACGTATTTATTAAAATTTATTTAATTATCAATGAAAAAAAAATACCTGGAGTAGATTCCGTTGTATTTGGAGATGGTGTTTCACTAGGTAATTCATCTATGTCATTTGGTAAATCAGTTTCCGGAACTGAGGGCAAATTTAAAATAGTTGTTTCAGATTTTTTCCTATTTATACCTTTTATTGCTTCAGCTCTATCAAGTGCTGATCGTACAAGATTTGTTAATTTTGCTTTTATCTCCAAATTCGTTGGTTTCTATATATAATTAAAAGTTTCTCCATTAAAGAATTTATGAAAGATTCAACAAAATTAAAATCAAGAAAATTTTAATATTTTTTTCATTTACAATCTTCACGCCTCGGTTCGACTTTATAACACAAAAAAAATCGTTTTAATCGATTTACATCCAAAAAAAGTCAATTTTTTTTATTTTAACAAAATTTAATTAGTTAATAAATTTTTTACTTTAAATAACTAATGTTATTAGATATTAAATTCATTTTACTAATTCCGTAATGAGAATAATTCTATAATAAATATTATCAAGAAAATTTATTTCGAATATTTCAGAATTGAATTAATTGTAAGACAAATTTTTCAAAATTTATTTAAGTCGGACAAATTTCTAAAAAAAATTCTTAAAGTTGCATTTTTTAAATTTTTTGAAGTCTAATTTAATCAATTTATTCGAATTTAAAATTTTGTCATAGTTTTTAGTTTTGATGGTCAAAAAAATTTCAGGCAATACTTAATTAAGTTTTACAGATTTGTCAATAAAATTTTTTTTTTTTTAAATAATAATTTTGGATGAGTTAAAGTTGAAATTTTTAGAAATAATTGAATTTTGAAAGAATTTAAATTTTACAGAACTAAAAATAATTTATCAAATAATTTTAGATAACATTTTTTTAAAAGTAATTGAATTTTCAAAGATTTACAATTTTGATTTTTGAAATTAATTGAACTTGAAGTGATTTTTAATTAAAATTTTTTTATAATTTCACTAAAAAATTTATTACAAATTGCAGATAAAAATACAATAATTTAAAAACTTTTTAAGCGAAAAATGGTTTCAGATACAGTTGAATTTTCGAAAAATATTATACAAATTATTAAAAATAATTGAATTTTAGGAGAGTTTATAATTGAAATTATTAAATAAAAAATAATTTTAGATGGAAAATTTTAGAAATAATTAAATTTTAGAAGCTTTTCAATTGAAATTTTTAAAAATAATTGAATTTCAAAAGATTGTGTTAAATTTCAGACAATAAATATAATAAGAGAAATTTTTACTTCGGTGAAAGAAAAAAAATAAAAAAACAATTATTATTTTTGTTCTAAAAATTTTTTTTCCAACGTTTCTTGATCAATAATTTAAAAAAAAAATTTGTAGGCAAATAATTAGTTATTATTTTTTGAGTGGAAAATATATATATATATTTTTTTTTAATCGTTGATTATAAACGTTGTGAACTTCACCGACGTAAATATTTAGTGATTTCTGTTGTTGAAGAATTTATTAGAAATCACATATACAAAAATTGAATTCCAAAAGTTTTTAATTGAAAAATGCTTTCAGATAATTGAATTTTCGAAGAATATTATAAAAATTATTAAGTGATTTTGAATTAAAAATTTTTTGTACTCTTATTTGCTAATTTTTTAAAAATTATAAACAATTATTATTAAATTTCATAAAAATTTTAATTGAAAAATATTTTAAGATAATTGATTTTGTGAAGAATTTCATTAAAATTATTAAAAAAAATAATTAATTTAGTGAAGAATTTTAGTTAAAAATTTGTTAAATAATTGAAATAAAGATCTGCATTGTATACTAAAAAAGACGTATTTTATTTAAAAATTTTGTAAAAAAAAATCGCATTTTATTCAAATAAGTTGAAAAAAGTCGTATTTTTGAAAAAAAAAAAGTCGGAAAAAGTCGAATAATCCGAGGCCTGAGTCTTATAATAAAAATACATACGGCATTAATTCCAATTTCAGCGGCTTCGGTATAAAGTTTTAAAGCACTTTCACTGTCACCTGCTTCATCAGCGTCAAGTGCTTGATTTAAAAGTAATTTACATTTTTCCAATTCACATTCATCTAATTGATCAGAAGAAGAATCTTTTTCTTCTTCAAAAACTATTTATATAAAATCGGAGAATAAATTTTAAAATTGAAACTTTGACATAAAATAATTATTTTTGAAAAATTAATTTAAGTAAAATAATAACTTACTAATTTGTTGCAATGCATTTATTCTTTTTTGATATTCATCAATTTTCACTGAAAGATTTGGATTTTGAATTTTTTCTAAAATTTTCACTGCAGCTGCATAATAATAAATAGCTTGCTTATATTGTTCATTAATATCATATTCTACTGCTAATCGAGCTGCCTCTAATGCATCTTCTAAAGAATTATCCATTTTCGAACAAAAGATCTAATTCGATCTAATATATATATATATTATGTCAAATAATGTCATTTATCATAATCTAAAAATTTTCACAACGAATAAAATATGAATGAAAAAAATTGGAAATAATTTTATAATACATTTTTTTTTTTTTAAAAAAAGGGAAACAAATTAGAAATAGAAAAAATAAATTTTTATTACCAAAATTGGTGATAAGTTAACAAAAAATAGTCTAATAGCCAACTGTCAATTTAGAAATCAGCTGATTACTTACACAGACATATTTCGTCATTTGAGCGTAATTAATTGTAAATAAATTCAGATCGTAAATAATACGTAATGGGTAATTTTTTAGAAAATTTACTTTTTTTAAAAAAAGGAGTGAGGAGTTAAATTTTCAACTATAATTAATTAAAATTACGTATTTTTTGTTATGCATAACATAACCTCACTAATTTAAGAGATCTAACCAAACCTGATGCGATAAAAAAAAAAGGATAGACTTCGCATGCGCAAAGCGCAAAATTCAGTTTTTTTTCTATTTTTCCTAAGGAAAATTAAAAAACACCGGTTTGTGAATAAGTAACTAAATCAAGTAATAATCAATTTAATAATATTAATTCCTTTTTAATTAATTTAAATAAATTATTCGTCAGTATTTACTTCTAGAATTCCTTGAGTTCAAAATTAGAGGACAAAATTTGTTTTATCATTGTTACCTTGGCAAAACGTACCTTTAATTAAATAAAGAAATATATTTCGTGTTATATTAGGTATTTTATAATACAGTATTCCCTTAGTAGAATTAAATATTGTAATATGAAAATTTTAATCATTTTTCCTTTTTCATTCACTTATTTTAAATGAAAAAATCGTTATTTGTACAAATAATGAAAATTCTAACCTCAAAAATTTGACAGATACGAAAACAATTATTGTTTACAAACAATAATGTTAGGTATAATACTGTAAAAATTGGAACAGATAAGTAATAATGATTATAAAAAAAAACAATGTCAGTAATGATAATGCATTCGTTAAAGAAAAAAAAAGGGAAAATTATTTTCGAAGATTCTAATATAGATTTTGGAAAATTCCATCAACAACGAGAACATAATTTTCTCACAGAAAAAAAATTTTTATTATATTATTTAAAGCTATTGAGAAACGTTCCTTTTTTAGAAAAACTTAATTTTCGTCTTTTACTTTAATTAATAAAAAGTGTTAATTTTTTACAGTTTTCTAATGATTTATTATTATTTATTTATTCATTTGTGTTTATATTAAATTTTTTGCATTAAATTTCTCTCATCAATAGTATTAGATATTATTTCTAATAGTAAATTATATAGAAATAGAATTAGTAAAATTAATAGAATTAATGAATTATTAATAATTTACTATATTAGAAAATACAATTTGTAATTAATTGAAATTGAAAATTTCAAAAGTGAAATTCAATTAATATTGAAATAAAATTTTCGTTATTACAGAAAAATTTTCCAAGAAATTGATCAAAAATGGGTGACAGAAGTTCAATTATAGACAATGGTCGACATTATCGTAATGAATTTCCAGATTTTTCGATAAAAAGTGCAGCGTCAATAATTGACGTCGATAAACACGAAGTAATATATTTTTTTTTCATTTCTATTTTATAGATTTTTTCAACTTTTTAATTAATATTTGTAAGATTTTTATGCTACATTTATTTACGTCGATGAAGTTTATAACGTTTATGATCATCAAATTAAAAACAAATATTTTTTACGCGTAAAATAATAAAAATTTTTTGCTTTACAAATTTTTATTTTAAAAATTTATTGTTCGAGAAAGTTTGAAAAAAAATTTTCAGACAAAAAATTATAATAATTTGTGTAGGAAAAAATTTTTTTCTTTGAAATCATTTATCATAAACGTTGTGAACTTTACTAACGTATTTATTTTTATATTTATCATTTTAGTGCAAATTTATCTAAGAATTTGTATAAAATTTAATTTAAAATTCATATAAATGTTTATATTAAATCTAATAATTTTAAATATATATTGTTTTTACAAATTTTTATATATTTTAAATTTAAGTTTTTATAGAAAAATTACAATTATTTCCAGAGAATTTTCCATAATTTGTTTAAACAAAAACGTTGAAAATTGAATTTTTTTTTAACAATCTAATAAAGAAGTATCAACTATTGTTACTGGAATATTTTATGATTATATTTTTATATATTGGGACTTGAAAATTTGATTTAAATTATGAACCCTGATTGTAATTTTTTTTTTAAATTAAGAATCAATTAAAAAAAATTTTTTTTTTCAGCTTCAAGATAATTTCAAAGAAAAATTGTCCGAACAGACAAAAAATTTAATTCAAAAATTAGAGAAGAATAAAATAAAATGGCACACAATAGACGATCAATCGATTTACACAGGATTAAGTGGAATCGCAATGATGTTTGATCATTATGGAAAATATTTTGATGATCCAACTTATATTTCTGTAATTGGGAAAAATTTATATAACATCAATTTATAAATTATAAATAGATAATAATTTTAAATAATAATATTAAAATTATTAATTTAAATAATTATTTATAATTAAATTTTTATTAAATATTGTATTTGTAATTTAGGTATAATTCAAATTTTTCAGAAAGCAGCAGAAATGGTTCACAGTTGTGTTTCTAAATTAAATTCAAGAAGACAAGTAACTTTCTTAATTGGAAGTGCTGGACCATTATCATTGGGAGCTGTACTTTATGATAATATCGATAAAGAAGAATCTCGAGCAATGATTTTAAAGTTGGTTTAATAATTGAATTTTTTCAATTTTTTTTTAAATAAAATGGAAAATTCTTAAAATTATAATTATAATATTCACGAACAGGTTGAAATCATTGTCGGACTATGTTTTGGAAGAGAATGAATATTTACCGGATGAATTGCTGTATGGGAGAGCTGGATATTTATTTTGTCTTTTGTTTGTGAACAAAAATATAACACCCTCGCCGTTTGATGATTCTCTCATTAAACAGGTAGGATTTAATTAAAAAATTTTTAAATATTAAGTTAAATTAAATTTTCAACTAATTTTTCCAGAATTCTCTAGAATTTTTCCTAATTATTTTTTCTATAAAGTTTTATCTCTATTATAAATAAACTAAATATTAGATCAATGTTTTTCATTTATTATAATAAATTTTCAATTCTAAACTTTAGTTTTGAGACAAAAAAAACCTTAATTAGTTTCGCTAAAAAACTTGTTTAAAAATCAAAAATCGTGATTTTTTTTAAAAAAAATAATTTGGTCCTCAAAGGGTTAATAAAATTTATAATAGAAATTTACAAGTTTTAACATTAAAAATAAAATTCTCAGGTGGTACAATCTATTTTGAAGTCTGGTAAAGTTTATTCGACACAAAATTCATGTAAATCACCATTAATGTACGTTTGGCATGATACTGAATATCTTGGAGGAGCTCATGGATTGGGAGGAATTTTATATTTATTATTACAAGTACAGATAATTTAAATAATATTTACTTTAAAAAAAATTTTTTTTTTAAATAATATTTTAAAAATATTATTATTTGTTTATTTAACATAAATTTTTATGTTAATTAATATTATTATGTAAATTATTTTACAGGCTCGCGAATATTTAACAGAAAGCGAATTGAAAAACGAAATTGAACCATCTTTAAAATTTCTTCAAAAATTGAAGTTTCCCTCTGGTAATTTTCCTTCTTCGTTAGGAAAAGAATCTGATAAATTAATTCATTGGTGTCATGGCGCTCCTTCAATGACAATGTTATTTTCCTTAGCCTACAAGGTAAATTTAAATATTATTCTCTAATAAATAAAATAGTTATGACAATTTTAAAATGCTTTTAAAATCAAAAAATTTAATAACGTGAATAAATATATATTATTTGATTTAGAACAAATAAAATGTCGAAAAAATTCGTTGCAGTCTAATTTTTTAAAAAATTTATATTTTCAAAAATGACTCCGTATAATATCTATGAGGAACGAAATAAAAAGAATTATGTCACAATGTTTATTATTTCTCTTAAAATATGAGTTTCAAGTGAAGGAAGTATAGAAAATTTATTTTTTTAGCAATTAGAAAATATAGAAAAAAAAACATAAAATAATTCTTTGAAGTGTAAAAAAGAATGGTTGGTTCTTGTTTACAGTTAATTAATTTATTATTCTTTAATAATTAAAGTTGTGAAAAAAAAATTAGAATAATGTATAAAATTTCTCGTATAGGTATTTTTAAAGTAAAAATGAAAAAAATGTCAAATTTGGAAAGTTCTTTTCATTTACTTCATATTGGATAAATTGAAATTTATTTTAATTACTCCATTTTTTCACAAATAATATTGTAGGAAATTTCAAAATTAAGTTATTTGATAGACGAATTTTGGAAATCTTTTTTTTATAAATTAGACTGCAACGATTTTGTTTGATATATAAATAAAATAAAAATAATAATAAAATTATTATTTTTCAAAAAAAAAAAAATTATAAATTAATTTATATTTTTTTTATAGATAATAATATTATTAGTTTTAATAATATTAATAATATTGTAATAAATATTAATATAATAATTATAAATAACAAATAAATAATGATGTTACATTTTTATGTTAAATTACTCTTATTTTAATTGAGTGTTTCAATTAAACAAAATTTTATTTTAAAATTAAAATTTTTTTTCAAACCTTTTTTGCAATTTCGTCTTAAAAAATATTCACTTTTTTTTAAGATTCGAAATCTGAAAATTCGTTGAAAGAAAATAAATATTTCTCAAAAAAACTTTAATTTAAATTTAGAATTTTGAAAATTAGTTTTTTTTTTTTAAATTTTATTATAGATTTACGGTAACGAGGATTATCGTCAAACTGCTGTCGAATGCGGAGAAGTGATATGGAATCGGGGACTGATAAAAAAAGGTTGTGGAATATGTCACGGCGTTGCAGGAAATGCATATACATTTTTAAATCTTTATCAAGAAACTAAGGTATATAAAAAATTAATTTTATCATATATTTATTTATTTATTCTCTTAATTTATAATTTTTAAGGTAGTTCAATTTGGAAATTAATTTAGGAATTTTTAGCAAAAGTAAATTTTCCATTTATTGTATAATAATAATAATAATTATTATTATTATTATTATACAATAAATGGAAAATTAATTATTATTATTATTATTGACACGTTTGTATCAATAAATAATTATAAAAAATTATAATTTGTTAATTAATAATAATACTTATATAATAATAAAATTATCTTTTTTTTAAAATAAAAAATAAATAAAATAAGAAGTAAAAAAAATAAACATAATTATATAATACATATATATATATATATATATATATATAAAAAGAAAATTTATCACAACTTGTTTGAAAAAATTATTCTAATTTAATTTTTTTAAAATAAAATATATTCCGGATATATTTAAATTAATAAAATTACTCTAATTTTCAGGACGTAAAATATTTATACAGAGCGTGTAAGTTCGCAGAGTGGTGTTTTGATCACGAGGCGCATCAAATCAAAAATCCTGATCGTCCTTTCTCACTTTTTGAAGGTAAAAATGAACATAATTATTATAGTAATAATTGTAATTTGAATATTGTAAATTGTAAAATTTTTCACTATGGTTGCAGTTCAGAGAAAATCAGGAATTTTTTTTTTCTTTTTTAAACAAATAAAATATTAGAAAATTTATATTCAAAGTAACTATAAATCAAATATTTAAATGTTTATAGTGGAAATTAAAATAAAATATATCGGGTAATTTTTATCAAAAATAAGTATAAAATTAATTATTAATTATTAATAAGTATCAAATATTCAAATATTTATAGTAGAAATTAAAATAATTGAAACAATGTTTCAAATTAGAAAAACGGAAAAATTAAGAAATATTAAAAATGAAAATTTACGACCATTCTGATAACTTAAATATAATATATTTTATTATTGTATAATAATTTCTATATTTATTTCAGGATTGGCTGGAACAATCTACTTTCTTATTGATTTACAAAAGCCATTGCTTGCTAAATTCCCTGGTTTTACATTATAAAAAACTCATTAATTTTAAAAACAATAATTTTTAAAATTCTCCAACAATTTTATTTAAAAAATTTTATTTTATTTTTAAAGTAAATAAAATTTAATCTCATTTTACAATTTTTACTATCAACCGTACTTGCCTGAAATATAAAAATTCACGTGTGGAATAATATATTCATCTTTTTTTAATTTAATAGAAAAAATAGAAAAACTCGTCTTTTTCTACAAAATAAAATTTTTTTTACTAAAAGTCAAATATTGAAATTTATTCTAAAGGAATACGTCAACTTGTAAAAGTTGAATATAAAAATTAAGTAAAATAATTAAATTTTAAAGATTTGCGAATAAATAATAGTAATTTTTGATAATTAGAAATAAGATTTTCAATTGAAATTTAATTTCTAATTATAATTATTAGTCATCATAGTTCATGTCTATCGGCTTTAAACGAACTTCCGGTACACACAAATAAACTTTATAATATAATATTAAATTAATATTAAAATATTGAATAAAAATTTAAAAATAAATACAAATTTATAATTCCTTAAAATAGTAAATTGAAATAATCGAGTTGAATACAAAATTAGAATAAAGGATATATATAATACTGAAAATAATTTTTGTTATTGACTGTATCGTATAAAAACAAACTATAAAGTAAGTCCTATAATGTGACTATATAATCGTAAGTTTAATATTGATAACGTACGCGAAAAAAAAAATAAGACAGTGATAGATATAGTTCTCAAGAACAATTTTACAATACAATCAGTGGTTACGCATTCTTCGTAAAATTATTTAATATGATGTAATGGGAATTAAGGCATTAGTGATACAAGCACTGCGGAACTATAAATACCTGAAGACGAATGGAAGTTATAATTGAATTACAAAAAATTATAATAAACATTCTGGAAATAGTTGAAATTTTGTGAAAAAAAAAATATAATAATAATGGAAGCAGTCAATTTTTCGAATATTTCACAAATTGCAATATTTAAATCATCAAATATTGTTTTTTCTAATGCTATATTGCCGGCTATTCTAATAGTCCTTAATGGAAAAATTAATCGTATTCATCATTATCAGAATGAAACACACGCAGAGCAGATTTTAAATGTACGTATTATTTTTTTTATTAATTGTTTAATTATTTATTTTTAAAGTTTTTATTATACTTTATTATTATTATTATTATTATTATTATTATTATTATTATTATTATTATTTATTTACATTTTAATAAATAATATTGAAGTACGTATTCCCAATAACACGGAATATTCCATTCACATTCCGCAAATATTTCATTGCAATATTCGGAATATTCCTTTGGAATATTCGATTCATATTCCAGGATTATTAAAATGTCCGACCTTCGGAATATTAAACTCAAATATTGAGGGAATATTCCATCGGAATATTGATGGAATGTTTCATTGGAATATTTGGGGAATATTCCGTTGGAATTTTGGAGGAACATTCCGTTTGAATATTGGAATATTGAATTCCCTCAATATTCTGATGGAATATTCCTTCAATATTTCAATGAAACATTCTATAAATATTCCAATGGAATATTCCCTCAATATTCCAATGGAATATTCCCTCAATATTCCAATGGAATATACCCTCAATATTCTAATGTAATATACCCTCAATATTCTAATGAAATATTTCCTCAATATTCCAGTGGAATATTCCGAAGGTCGGACATTTTAATATTCCTGGAATATTCCGAATGCTCCAATGGAATATTCCCGGAATGTGAATGGAATATTCCGTGTTATAGGGGTCCTATATTATATTAAATAATTAATTATTAATATATATTAATTAGTGTTAAGCATTGTCCTTTTTTTCGCTTCTCCTGTTTAGGTAATAATTTAAAATTGTTTATACTAAAATTGAGTTGTATATTATTTACAATAAGGCATTGAAAATAAAATCTATTGGTGTAAAATTATTAACACAATAATATGCCTCTTAATCTTTATTAACAGTGTGTGTATGAAAAAATTTTTATTTTTCACAATTAATTTTTTGGAAAAAATTTTAAAAAAATTTTATTTCATTTTTTTTTTTTTTTTTTTTTTTGCTTTTTTTGGTAGATTGAATTTTGAAAATAATTAATGAAATAATTAATTTTTTTAATTTATTTTTCAAAGAAATTCATTTTTTTCTTTGACGATAGTAAAAAATATATTTTTTATTTTTTATAGTTGAAAACGTTGTGAACTTCATTGAAATTTTATCTTTTTTGCGACTATAATTCGTAAAGAAATTAAATTTAAAAAATGAAAAAAATTTTTTTTAGACTAAAGTTTAGTAAAATTTTAATTCTTTTATTATATATATTTAATTTCAATAATTTAATTAAATTTCTTCTTTTAGAATTATAATAATGAAACTGTTTACGATTTTGGATCATCAGTTATAATGCCAGGAGTGATTGATACACATGTACATGTAAATGAGCCAGGAAGAACTGATTGGGAAGGATATGAAACAGCAACACGAGCTGCAGCTGCTGGCGGTGTTACAACAATTGTTGATATGCCATTGTAACTATATTATATTATTTTTTTTTTACTTTTGAGTAAAATATGTAATTTAATTTTAATTAGGATCATAGAATATAACAAATTAAAATCAGTCTTTTAATTTTCTTTAAAAATAACTAACTTTAGTTTTCATTAATATTATTTTCAAAAAAAAAAAAATTTGAAAATTGAAAAAAAAATTATTTATATTTATTAATAATTTATTATTACAAAAATTCAAAATCAAATTTTACGATAATTTTGTATCTTTTAATTTTGAGGAAAAATTTAGAACATTTCTAATAGTATAATTTTTATTTGTAAAAATCTATTGATTTTTGATAAATTGAAATGAAAAAAAAAAATTAAATTTTTGTTAGTTTCTAAATTGAATTCAAAGAATTTTCATAATTTTTAATTAATTCGATTAAAATTTCAATTATGACAAATATTTTAAAATACAAATTAGTTGTTTCGTATGTTAATTTCTTTTTTTTCTTTGTCACCTTTTTTGTCATTTAAATTCGGAAAATAATTCACTTTTTCACCTATACTTTGAGTAAAACAAAAATTACTATTATCCCTGTTAATGTTTTATCAACAGAAATTCAATTCCGCCTACAACAACTTTGGAAAATTTAAAAGTCAAAGTTAAAGCAACTCGTGGAAAAACTTCTGTAGATGTTGGTTTTTGGGGCGGTGTTATTCCTGGAAATCAAGTATAAATATTAAAATTATATATTATAAACTAATTAATTATAATCCAATATTTAAAAAAACAAAATTAAAAATTTTTAAATTCGATAATAAATTACTTAATAATATTAATAAACTTAAAATGTTTTAAATATTATTTTTTTCTGATTTTCAGAAACATCTGAAGGATTTGGTGCATGCAGGAGTCGTTGGATTTAAGTGTTTTATGTGTCCAAGTGGAGTTGATGAATTTCCTTATGTTAATGAAACGGACATCACATTAGCTTTACAAGAATTGCATTCATTGAATTCTCTACTCGCGGTAATTTTAAATTATTTTCTTTTTTTAATCAATAAATAAAAAAAAAAACATGTAAATTCCATATTTTTTCATTTATAGTTTCATGCCGAAATGGAAACAGAAGAAGCTGGTTCTAAACCGTCTGGTAAACATTTTTTTTGTTTTTCAATATTTTTCATCGAAAATTCGTCATTATTTAAAAAAAAATTTTTTTTTTGTAATTTTTATTTTACAGGTAATACTAGTTTATATTCTACATTCCTAAATACAAGACCACCTTCTATGGAAGTCAAGGCATTACAAGTTGCTACAACTCATTGTAAAACTTATAAGTAAGTCAAATTTTGTATAATTTAATATAATAAAAAAAAATCAATTATGAACTAAATATACAATTATAATATTAATTAAGTAATTAAAATATTATTAAATTAATTCGAATGCATAAATTGTTTGTTAATTACTGTTAATTAATTAAAATTAAAATTATATGACTTCCTTATATCAATTAATTATAATAATGATTTTATAATTAACAATTTTATTAATTGATTTTTAATTGTTTTAGATATTAATATAAATTTTTGAATTCAAATTTTATTAACATTAATTATTAAATTATGTAATATTTTATAAATAATAATAATAATAATTATAATAGGAATATTTTTTATTAAATTTAACTTTTCAGCACGAGATGTCATATAGTACATTTATCAGCTGCCGAGGGTTTGGAAATAATAAAACACGCTAAAAATAATGGAGTGAATTTAACTGTTGAGACGTGTCATCATTATTTAAACATTGCTGCTGAAGATGTTCCTAATGGTGCAACGCAGTACAAATGTACTCCACCAATTCGTCAAAAATCCAATCAAGTAAATTTCCATTGTATTCAAATTTTACTAAAAGTTCTACATATATATACTATATATGATAATTTGACAATAATTTTTAATTAGCTTAATTTAGCTGATTTTGATTAGATAAAAATTGGGTCAATTGAAAATTCGATTTTTATTAAATTAAAATTCTATTGATTGAAAATTTGGTTAAGTTAAAAAAATAAAATTGTTTAAATGAAAATTCTGATAAATGAAAATTCGATTTAATTAAATTTTTACTTTATAAAATTTAGTTACAATTAATTTTAATAGAAAATAAAAAAAATGTATTCTATCATTTTATTAAAATACAAAATTAATCGTATTTTTTTCTCTTGAACGAAACAAAAAAAATTTTTTTTTTTTAATTTGCTTTTAGAACAAACTATGGACAGCGTTAAAAAATGGAGATTTAGATATGGTCGTTTCCGATCATTCTCCATGCACTGAAAATTTAAAAACACCTGGAAATTTTATGACTGCTTGGGGTGGAATAGCTTCTATGCAATTTGGTGAGAATTTTTGAATATTAAATTTTTTTAAAAAATTGTAAAACTAACATTGTTGAAAATAATTTTCGATGCAAAAAGTTTCAAATTAGTTTTTTTTTTTTTTTTTTTTTTTAAATAATATATATACAATATTGCAGACTATGATATTTTTAGAATATTCGAAATTTATGCTGTTGAGTATTTAAAATTATATAATAATTATATTATAAAAAATTTTTAAAAAACTCTTATTTAGTTGATAATTTTTTTTTAATAGAAGACGAAATTTTGGCAAAATAAAAATTTCAACTTCTTTTATTATTTTCATCATCTTTTCACTGGCAATTTTTTTTTACGTTTTTTGTTAATGATTCTGAACAATCAATTGAATGAATTTTGTCTAAAAAATAATTTTTTTTAAAATAAAAAAAAAACTGTAAAATGTTTTAAAAATTACTTTTTTTCAAATTTTTATACTGGAATATGGTTCCAAGTTACAAAAATATGTCAAAAAATATAATTTACATTCCTAAATCACTTAAATTTTGATATTAAAATTAAATTTCTTCCACAATTTCTAATATCTTTCATTGAAAAATTTTTATATAGGTACTTTTTTTATAGTTCTGAATTTTATATTTCAAATTTGGAAATTAAAAAAAAAATATTTTAAAATGGTCAAAAACAATTTTTTTTAAATTTAAGTAGTTTGAGAATAATTCTAGATCCTATAAATAATGCCAGAAAAAAAAATTAGCAAATTAAATTTTGAAGAGTAAAAATTTCACTGGTCCCTCTCCTTAATTAGTATAATATAATAGTTCTGTCCAATACTTGAATTTATAATTTTAGATATTAAGTTTAATAATTCTTTTTACTTAAATAAAGATTTATCATTGATGTGGACTGGAGCAAGGCAAAGAAATTTCAGTTTAATAGAAGTATCAAAATTACTTTCCGCCAATCCGGCTAAAGTTGTTGGATTCGATAAATTCAAAGGCACTATTAAAGAAGGAATGGATGCTGATTTTGTTATTTGGAATCCAGAAGAGAAATTCACAGTAAGAATATTGTTTTTATAATAATATTAAACTATATTATGCAGTAACTGTATAGTTAATATTTACTTCGAATTTTATTAAATAAAAAAAAAAAATTTGCTTTCAGGTGCAAAGAAGTAATATTTATCACAAAAATAAGGTTTGTACATTTTAATACAATTGGGACATTCCACGGGAGATTTTCATTGAAAATTTTTTTTCCCCGAAACATTTTTTTACGAAATCTATATGAAAAACAAGGAGATACGTATTTTTTTATTTTTTTATTTGATAAAAATGAAGGTAGTTATGATTTTTTGAAATTTAACGTCAATGATGGAAGAGTGTTTTTGGGACATTTTTTAATCTATTGTACTAATAAATTCAAAATTATGTTATATATGAAATTTGTTCATTTTTTTCTTAAATTTTTCAAATATCTGCTTAAAAAATAACGTACCTATAAGAGAAGTAACAAAAAGGTTGAAATTAAACTTAAAAAGTGAGTTTTCTCAAAAGAGACACTTTCGATTTTTAATTTTTTTTTTTTGCATTACAATCTCTGGTGACTGAAGAATTTTTTCCCCTATCTGTGAAAGTGGTACTTTTAGTTTTTAAGTTACTATTTACAATTTTTAAGCTTAAATTGCTTAAATTCTGTGAGCCGTACTAAGAAAATTAAAAATAGTAATTTAAAAACTAAAAGTACCACTTTCGTAGATAGGGAAAAAAAATTTTCAGTCATCAGAGATTGCAATACAAAAAAAAATTAAAAATCGAAAGTGTCTCTTTTGAGAAAACTCGCTTTTTGAGTTTAATTTCAACTTTTTTGTTACTTATAGGTACGTTATTTTTGAGCAGATATTTGAAAAATTTAAGAAAAAATGAACAAATTTCATAGATAGCATAATTTTTTAATTTATTAGTTTAATTTATTATTTATTTATTATTTATTTGTTTATTAAAAAATGTCCCAAAAACACACTTCCATCGTTGACGTTAAATTTCAAAAAATCATAACTTCCTTCATTTTTATCAAATAAAAAAATACGTATTATCCTTATTTTTCATATAGATTTCGAAAAAAAATGTTTCGGAGAAAAAAAATTTTTTAATGAAAATCTCCCGTGGAATGCCCCAATTGTAATATTTTAATTTATCATCGATAATAATTAAAATTTATTATTAGCTCACTCCATACGAAGGAAGGACATTATATGGATTAGTTATCGCTACTGTTGTTCGAGGGCAGTTTGTCTATAATAAAGGAAATTTCTCACACGAGCCCAAAGGACAATTATTACTTAATAAACAATTTTTGGAGCAAATAAAATAATAAGTCTTCTTTTTGTTTTTTAAAAAAAACTAACTTTTACTCTGTTATATATTAATAAAGTTATTATATTTATTGTGAATAAATTTTAAAAATTTTGATTTTTAATATTACTTATTTTTGTAATAATTGATTTTTTTTTAATAGGACAAACAGCCTCTACTATAAAAATGCTAAAAAATTTTATTATGGAACTTTCATAATTTGGGACATTGAACTTTTTATTGGACATTTTGTTCTTTGGAAAAAATAAATTTTCGATCCTTTAACTTTGGAAATTTATTTTTGTACTTTAGAATTTCTAATTATTGGACCTATTGTCCTTTGGAGTTTCTAATTATTGGACCTTTTGTACTGATCGAAATTCGTAAAAGTTACGTGATCACAGGAAATTTTTTTTATGTCCGAAGATAAACATAATAAATAATTAAAATTGATTTTTGAGTACCTCGGGATAACTGAATTAAATTTTCTTTTGGAAGTAAATTTTCATGTCTGATTTTAAAGAAAAAAAAAACTAAATGTTAAAAAAATAATTATTGACAAAATATTTTGGAAAAAAATAATTTTTTTCGAAATGAGTAAACCTAGATCTTCTAAAATTGTTTGAAATTAATATTTATTATATTTTTGTTTGCGTTAAAAACAATTTTTTTAGTTTTGACAGGTTTTTGAGGTTATGTTGACCCGCCACCCTCCTTAAATTTTTGAAAACATTTTTATGTGTAATATTTGTCTATTTTACGAATATGATGTCAGATTTTCAAAATTCAAAATGACGGATTCAATATGGCGGACGTTTTACGACCTCGCAGCGCTCGTGACGCTGGTGAGTTCAAGACGCTGTAGAAGGGAAAATTTTCGTCAGATCAAAAAAATTCGTTTTACACACATATATAGCTTTCAAAAAATGCAATAAAAAAAAAATTGATTTTTTTTTTGACTCCCTCAATGGGAACCTCTCCTTAATTTGAACTTTTGCTTTAGAAGAATAACCTTTTTTGTATTTGAATTTGAAAATAATTTTTTTTTGTTGTATATTATGCTGAGTTGAATTAAAAAACTATATCATCATTTTCATCATCTTGAACATTGACATTCTTCTTGTAATTCTGACTTACATTTACATCCTTTGTAAAAATCTGAAATAATAAAAAAATTAATTATACCTATTAAACAACTACAAGCAATAAATTGATTTACTGTTTGTCTTTATATATTAATTATTAATTCAAGCATTTTTTTTTTTTTTGTATGAAAATATCTCGTTTATCCTAATTTTCCGATACAGATGAATTTTTTTTTTCAAAAATATGGTGCATACACTTACGATTTATTTCCTGAATTCCCGTAAAAAGTAAATGTATGCTGTTTCCTAATTGACTCATCGAAGCCGACAGTGATTTTAAATCCGCTAAAAGATTTTCTCGCTTATAGCTCTGTGTGTCTGAGTCGTGTTTTCTTTTTAACGATTTTCTGCAAGTCTCGTTGGAAATTGATGCCGATTTAATAGCTTCCTGAATCAGTTTCAATCTAAATGGATCAATACCGCTGACATCCACATTTTCAGAAATTACATTCAAAATCGGGTCCAATCCAGTGTCAGCTAGTTGATTCTGTTTTAAGAGCATTGTATTGCTGACAAGATGATTGTCAGTGTTATTGCTAATGGGAATATCAATTGATTTTGAATTTGTTTGATACGGTAACTTGTTAGGAATTTTCACTCTCTTCAAGATAATTTTAACTTCATTTGATGTTTTATTCATTTGATTTGATGACGTCAGTGGAATTTTTACTCTTTTTAAGATAATTCGTACCTCCTTTTGCAAAGGTAAAAGAGATGAGTTTTTAATACGACAAATTTCTACTGATTTATTATGTCTCCAACCTGAAACAATTAGATGAGTTGTCATATATAAATATATATAAAATTATATATTTTATAGAATTATAAAATTTTTTGTTTAAAATTGTATTTTTAAATGAGGAAAAATATTATATATTGTGCATCTAGGGAGAAAAATGGTTGATTTCGACGAGTGTGAAGTTTGCAGTTCGAGGCGTAGTGAGCGCACAAGATGAAGGCGTGTGCTTGCGAGCGAAAACGAGAACTGTAAACACACGAGCTGGGAATCATTTTCCTCCCGAGTTGCACATACTATTTTTTCCAACACACACGTATACCGAAAGTACAAATATTTAATAAATCATTGAACACAATTATTTATTTTTTAATGAAACTTTAATAATATTTTGTCGAAAGTTTATAAAATAAATTTTCGTAAATTGATAACCTGTCATCATAGGGAATCATGGGAAAAATAACCCACACTTGTGGTAGCCATCTTGATATTTCATCTCTCTCTCTTAAGCATATGTTAAAAGAAAGATGGAACAAAAAATGGCTACCACAAGTGGATTGACAACAGATGGCGTGTTGCATTTTTGCGGTTCCCAATTAACAATTTATATTAAAGTGGCTATTTGGCCAGTGCACTGACCAAATAAGGTGGTTTAATTATTCGACCAGTGCACTGGCCGAATAAGATGGTTTCACAATTGTGTTCAGGAAGCGGCAATAACACTAGGAGTTGTTTTAATACAATACGCCTTTTAATCTAGAAAAAAGATGTTATTTAATTAATTATTTTATTTTATTTATTTACACATTTATCACATTAACAGACAACAGATTGTACGACTTTTGCCTTTTTTAAAATTTGAATAATTTTGAGTTATATTTTTTTAAAAATGATTGTAAGTTTAAATCTTGGAAATTGTGTAAAATTTGTTTTAAATTTAAAAATATCGTAAATTTTTTTCTGTTCAATTATAAAATATGAAAAAAATATATTCTTAAAATTTTTTATATAAATTATTATTTTTAATAAATAAAGAATTATTATTTATTTAATATTGTTTAATCGTAATAGTCAATAAAAAATACTATTTAAATACTTTTTATAAAAATTCAAAAATATATTCTTATTTATTTATTTAAGGTAATTGAAGCGAATTTTTTATACCATATATATCTGATGAGGGTTTTATTAATACACTGTCCAAATTGTGAAACCATCTTATTCCGCCAGTGCACTGGCCGAATAATTAAACCACCTTATTTGGCCAGTGAACTGGCCGAATAGACACAGCGTTATATTAATGGCAATTTTCTTTTCTGTTATTATTTAAGATCTAAAATTATTATATAAATTATTGAAATTTGAAAAAAAATATTTTTACCAATTTTAGAATTTGTATATTTAAAAAAAAATTTGAAAATTTTGAAAACCCATACGATTGATTGTTCAGAAACAAAAATAGAGAAAAATTGCCGATGGAAAAGTAATAGACATATTGTAAACGTTAAATTTTAAAAGTAATTTAAACCAATACAAATTTAAGTTATTTAGAGATGTCAATTTAAAAATTTGAAGTTCTATTTCAAAAATTATTAACTGAGTTATAGTTTTTTTTATCTTTTCATAACATATGTATTATATTTTTCAATACTCAATACTATCGGAAAATAAATTGACACCCCTAATCAGCATAAATTTCGTTAGGTTGAAATTTAACTAGTCTCTCCCGTTATGATTATCCACAAGTAATTATAAAACTAAACTACCAGTAACAGGAGTAGTTTCAGTCGATTCTGTTTTAAGATTTTTCTTTACGTAACTAATGTCACTTTTTATTTGAATCATTGTTTCTTTGAATTTCTTCACAAGTTGTTCACGCCAGAAAGTTTAGAATTATACTGTTCAGGTGTTTACTGTAATTTTTCGACGGCCAGTGATGAAGGCCCACAGTAAGAACCCCCACTTCCAACATTTTAGTAACATAAAGAAAGGGCCAATAATAATAGTTTCACTACTTTTCCCCTAAAATGTACGAGCAAACCTCTCACAAAACAATATTAGTGGAAGGTTGTCTATAAAATGAAAGGTTTTTTTTACTTCTAATTCCTTTAATACATTAAAAAGCATAATAAAAAACTGGAAACTTCCAAGACATAAAGCATCGCTTATTAAATAATTAGAAAATAAAATATAATGCATGGAACTAAAGATTTGCACGTAAAAAATATTTGTTGGCCCTGAAAAGGGCCGATTGTTTTAGAGCGGATGTGGATAGAAATTTAAGCTTTCTTTTCGGTCTTCTTGGGCAAAAGAACAGCTTGGATGTTTGGAAGAACACCACCTTGAGCGATGGTGACTCCAGAAAGAAGTTTGTTCAATTCCTCGTCATTTCTGATGGCAAGTTGGAGATGACGGGGGATGATTCTGGTCTTCTTGTTATCACGAGCGGCATTTCCTGCCAATTCCAAAACTTCGGCAGCCAAGTATTCCATTACTGCTGCGAGGTAGACTGGAGCTCCAGCACCAACTCGCTCAGCGTAGTTTCCCTTGCGCAAGAGACGATGGATACGACCAACTGGGAATTGAAGTCCAGCTCTGTTGGAACGAGTCTTTGACTTTCCCTTGACTTTGCCTCCTTTTCCACGTCCGGACATTTTTTCGATTTAGTTTAGTAGCAACGTAACGAACAACTCAAAGGTTGGATAACTAATACAAAAATTTCAGTAAAATCGACTATTTATGCACTTCCATTAGGGTCCCCCACCACTATTCCCCTACTTCAATACTGTGACTGGTAGACGTTTACAGCGAGTGCACGAACCAATCACAATGTAGCATAGCCACTGCGACAGAACATAAAAGAAACCCGGTTTGTGGTCGGAGTATCAATTCACTCCGTATTCTCATTGAGTTTATACGTGTTTGTCTCTGAATATCCAAAATGCCTCCTAAAGCAAGTGGAAAAGCTGTGAAAAAAGCCGGCAAGGCTCAAAAAAATATCACCAAGACTGATAAGAAAAAGAAGCGCAAGAGGAAGGAAAGCTATGCCATCTACATCTACAAAGTGTTGAAACAAGTCCATCCCGACACTGGAGTCTCCAGCAAGGCCATGAGCATCATGAACAGCTTCGTCAACGACATCTTTGAACGTATCGCTGCCGAATCTTCCCGCTTGGCCCACTACAACAAGAGGTCCACCATCACCTCCCGGGAAATCCAAACCGCTGTCAGGCTTCTCCTTCCTGGTGAACTCGCCAAGCACGCCGTCTCTGAAGGCACCAAGGCTGTCACCAAGTACACCAGCTCCAAGTAAATCAATCTTGATCTCTCCAAAAACAATCGGCCCTTTTCAGGGCCAACAAATTTTTTTACGAAGGAGTTAATTTTATCTTTAACATTTTTAAGTCAGTATTAGTTCATTTATTTTTAACACCATTATATTTTAAATAATATAATACATTTTCTGCTAAACTGCAAACTATAAATTTATGTTGATTTATGACAATTCTGAATAAAGTTTTTGAATTGATGGAGTATTTACACCTTTGGTAATGGAGGTTCTAGAATAGGTGCACAAGGAAAGTGGATTACAAGTGCAAATGCAAATCCCATGAGTACAAGAGATAGATAGACTGCCTATCTCTCTTCTACTGAATATTTGCATTTAAAAGAAATAAAAATAAAAGATTATGTTAAATTTATTATTTAAAGTTAAGCGCAATATCTCGTTATTTCGAGATATCGAAAAGACATTCGAGCAAGAATATAATAGCTTGTTATGGCTCTGTCACATGGAGCAGATTAGTAGAATAGATTTTACCCAATCAAAATGGAGTCTCTTACAGCAAATATTACTTTGCCGTAAGAGACTAAATTTTGATTAGTTAAAATCTATTCTACTAATCTGCTGGGTTGGTTTCCATTAGGATTGGCGGTCTAGTGACTTTAATCTACTTCGTCAGGAATTTTGGTTTTTGTTTGTCTTTTTTATCGTGTTAATTAAGGCCATAGCCGAATAGAAACGTAACGTATTAAAGTTTTGCCAAACCCAATTTTCTTCACTCGCCATAATTCACTTCAATTAAATTAAAAATTTAGTTACATTATTGTTAAAATTAAAAGTTACTAAATTTTTACTAGAGCAGTGACAAGTAGTTTAGCGCTAGTTATACTAAAAACTTTTACGTATAGACTCGAAAAATCAATGTCTTCAGAAACAATAAAATTTTTACTAATAAAATCAATTATCAACATAAGACTAACTTTTTGCTTTAAAAACATGTTTTAAACAAAAGAATTCCAAAGTTAAAAAATTTGGTGGCCCTGAAAAGGGCCGATTGTTTTGTAAGATGACAGGAAAATTTAACCGCCGAAACCGTAAAGGGTGCGGCCTTGACGTTTCAAAGCATAGACGACGTCCATGGCGGTGACGGTCTTCCTCTTGGCGTGCTCGGTGTAAGTGACAGCGTCACGGATCACGTTCTCAAGGAACACTTTGAGAACACCACGAGTTTCCTCGTAGATCAATCCGGAGATACGTTTCACTCCACCACGACGAGCCAAACGACGGATGGCTGGCTTGGTGATACCTTGGATGTTATCACGCAAAACTTTGCGATGCCGCTTTGCTCCTCCTTTTCCCAAACCTTTACCTCCCTTTCCGCGACCAGTCATTTTTGCAGATAATAAAGTTCGTACGTCAAACTCGAACGAAGAACAAACTGAGAATGCTTTTCGAGGGAAGTGAGCATTATTTTATAACATCGTGTGGCACACATCTCCCACCACAATTTCAGTCTACCAATCGCGTTGCTAGTTTCCCCTCCCTTTAGCTGCTTATTGAACAGAAGGGTCGAAAGTCCATAAATACAACATTTTCGCCGCCGTGCATCATTGTTTTGTTAGTCTCCGAACTTACAGCATCGTCATGGCACGTACCAAGCAAACCGCTCGTAAATCCACCGGTGGTAAGGCACCAAGGAAACAACTCGCCACCAAGGCCGCCAGAAAGAGCGCGCCTGCAACTGGTGGAGTGAAAAAACCCCATCGTTACAGGCCAGGAACCGTCGCTCTCCGTGAGATCCGTCGTTACCAGAAGAGCACTGAGCTCCTCATCCGCAAGCTTCCTTTCCAACGTTTGGTTCGTGAGATCGCTCAAGATTTCAAGACCGACTTGCGTTTCCAGAGCTCTGCTGTGATGGCTCTCCAGGAGGCTAGCGAGGCTTACCTCGTCGGTCTCTTCGAAGACACCAACTTGTGCGCCATCCACGCCAAGAGAGTCACCATCATGCCAAAAGACATCCAATTGGCTCGTCGTATCCGAGGAGAACGTGCTTAAGTTTTTTACAACAACCTTCAAAAATACAATCGGCCCTTTTCAGGGCCAACACATTTTTTTACGTTGAAATTATTTTGGTTTAACATTATAAAAAATAATTTACTAAGATAAATTTGAACTATTAGATAAATTATAACTAAATTATCATTTGTATTTTGTAGAAGTCGTTCACTGGTAAATAAAGTTTATTAAAATTTCTTTAAATTAATGGACGTTTTATGAAAATATAAAATATGGAGGCGTACCTAATCTTTTTTAAAATGTTGTAATTGGATATTTGATGTCTAAATATATTTTATGGACTTAATAATTAGCTGATCAATTTCCTAAAAATTGTAGTTCGATCAACTACAAAAATACTAAGACAACTGCAAAACATCATTCTATCAACTATATTCTTAGTTATTGTAACTACTTTCTTATAGTGAATAATAATAAATAATAATAATAAATAAATTTACTACAAAAAATATTAACAAAAAAATGTTTCATCGAAGATAATAGAAGAAGAATTAATGTTGTCCTAAAGTTCTGAATGAATTTTTATTTTGATTTAATTGCATGATAAAATAAATACCAGAAAGCGTTATAAGAAGACCAGCGCTATTCGTAATCACACAACAGATATGTGTAATTTAGCAATTTTTTTGTATTTTAATAAAATATTTGTTCAAAGAACAAAACAAACCATTCCGTAAAACATAATTTGTGGCCCTGAAAAGGACCATTTGTTATCCATGAGTTCTAAAAATGTTACAATTATTTAAAATTCTCTACTTATTTTTTTGCAACCTTCTTTACCACTGTCTTTTTGGGTTTTGGTGTAGCTTTCTTGGCGGCAACAGCTGCCTTTGCTTTCTTGGGAGAAGCCTTGGTCACCTTAAGCTTGATAGTAAACATTTAAAATTACAGACAAATTGTAGGATCCGCAGTGTAGGATCCGCAGTGTAGGATCCGCAGTGTAGGATTTGCAGTGTAGGATCCGCAGTGTAGGATCCGCAGTGTAGGATCCGCAGTGTAGGATCCGCAGTGTAGGATCCGCAGTGTAGGATCCGCAGTGTAGGATCCGCAGTGTAGGATCCGCAGTGTAGGATCCGCAGTGTAGGATCCGCAGTGTAGGATCCGCAGTGTAGGATCCGCAGTGTAGGATCCGCAGTGTAGGATCCGCAGTGTAGGATCCGCAGTGTAGGATCCGCAGTGTAGGATCCGCAGTGTAGGATCCGCAGTGTAGGATCCGCAGTGTAGGATCCGCAGTGTAGGATCCGCAGTGTAGGATCCGCAGTGTAGGATCCGCAGTGTAGGATCCGCAGTGTAGGATCCGCAGTGTAGGATCCGCAGTGTAGGATCCGCAGTGTAGGATCCGCAGTGTAGGATCCGCAGTGTAGGATCCGCAGTGTAGGATCCGCAGTGTAGGATCCGCAGTGTAGGATCCGCAGTGTAGGATCCGCAGTGTAGGATCCGCAGTGTAGGATCCGCAGTGTAGGATCCGCAGTGTAGGATCCGCAGTGTAGGATCCGCAGTGTAGGATCCGCAGTGTAGGATCCGCAGTGTAGGATCCGCAGTGTAGGATCCGCAGTGTAGGATCCGCAGTGTAGGATCCGCAGTGTAGGATCCGCAGTGTAGGATCCGCAGTGTAGGATCCGCAGTGTAGGATCCGCAGTGTAGGATCCGCAGTGTAGGATCCGCAGTGTAGGATCCGCAGTGTAGGATCCGCAGTGTAGGATCCGCAGTGTAGGATCCACAGTGTATGATCCGCAGTGTATGATCCGCAGTGTATGATCCGCAGTGTATGATCCGCAGTAAGGATCCGCAGTGTATGATCCTCAGTGTATGATCCGCAGTGTATGATCCGCAGTGTATGATCCGCAGTGTATGATCCGCAGTGTATGATCCGCAGTGTATGATCCGCAGTGTAGGATCCGCAGTGTAGGATCCGCAGTGTAGGATCCGCAGTGTAGGATCCGCAGTGTAGGATCCGCAGTGTAGGATCCGCAGTGTAGGATCCGCAGTGTAGGATCCGCAGTGTAGGATCCGCAGTGTAGGATCCGCAGTGTAGGATCCGCAGTGTAGGATCCGCAGTGTAGGATCCGCAGTGTAGGATCCGCAGTGTAGGATCCGCAGTGTATGATCCGCAGTGTATGATCCGCAGTGTATGATCCGCAGTGTATGATCCGCAGTGTATGATCCGCAGTGTAAGATCCGCAGTGTAAGATCCGCAGTGTAAGATCCGCAGTGTAAGATCCGCAGTGTAGGATCCGCAGTGTAGGATCCGCAGTGTAGGATCCGCAGTGTATGATCCTCAGTGTATGATCCGCAGTGTATGATCCGCAGTGTATGATCCGCAGTGTATGATCCGCAGTGTATGATCCGCAGTGTAGGATCCGCAGTGTAGGATCCGCAGTGTAGGATCCGCAGTGTAGGATCCGCAGTGTAGGATCCGCAGTGTAGGATCCGCAGTGTAGGATCCGCAGTGTAGGATCCGCAGTGTAGGATCCGCAGTGTAGGATCCGCAGTGTAGGATCCGCAGTGTAGGATCCGCAGTGTAGGATCCGCAGTGTAGGATCCGCAGTGTAGGATCCGCAGTGTAGGATCCGCAGTGTAGGATCCGCAGTGTAGGATCCGCAGTGTAGGATCCGCAGTGTAGGATCCGCAGTGTATGATCCGCAGTGTATGATCCGCAGTGTATGATCCGCAGTGTATGATCCGCAGTGTATGATCCGCAGTGTATGATCCGCAGTGTATGATCCGCAGTGTAAGATCCGCAGTGTAAGATCCGCAGTGTAAGATCCGCAGTGTAAGATCCGCAGTGTAGGATCCGCAGTGTAGGATCCGCAGTGTAGAATTCGCAGTAAGGATCCGCAGTGTAGAATCTGCAGTGTAGAATCCAAAGTGTAGAATCCAAAGTGTAGGATCCGCAGTGTAGGATTAGCAGTATAGGATCCGCAGTGAAAGATCCACAGTGTGGAATCCGCAGTGAGGATCCACAGAGTAGGATCCGCAGTAAGGATCCGCAGTGTATGATCCTCAGTGTATGATCCGCAGTGTATGATCCGCAGTGTATGATCCGCAGTGTATGATCCGCAGTGTATGATCCGCAGTGTATGTTCCGCAGTGTAGGATCCGCAGTGTAGGATCCGCAGTGTAGGATCCGCAGTGTAGGATCCGCAGTGTAGGATCCGCAGTGTAGGATCCGCAGTGTAGGATCCGCAGTGTAGGATCCGCAGTGTAGGATCCGCAGTGTAGGATCCGCAGTGTAGGATCCGCAGTGTAGGATCCGCAGTGTAGGATCCGCAGTGTAGGATCCGCAGTGTAGGATCCGCAGTGTAGGATCCGCAGTGTAGGATCCGCAGTGTAGGACCCACAGTGTAGGATCCACAGTGTAGGATCCACAGTGTAGGATCCACAGTGTAGGATCCACAGTGTAGGATCCACAGTGTAGGATCCACAGTGTAGGATCCACAGTGTAGGATCCACAGTGTAGGATCCACAGTGTAGGATCCACAGTGTAGGATCCACAGTGTAGGATCCGCAGTGTAGGATCCGCAGTGTAGGATCCACAGTGTAGGATCCACAGTGTAGGATCCACAGTGTAGGATCCGCAGTGTAGGATCCGCAGTGTAGGATCCGCAGTGTAGGATCCGCAGTGTAGGATCCGCAGTGTAGGATCCGCAGTGTAGGATCCGCAGTGTAGAATCCAAAGTGTAGGATCCGCAGTGTAGGATTAGCAGTATAGGATCCGCAGTGAAAGATCCACAGTGTGGAATCCGCAGTGAGGATCCACAGAGTAGGATCCGCAGTAAGGATCCGCAGTAAGGATCCGCAGTGTATGATCCTCAGTGTATGATCCGCAGTGTATGATCCGCAGTGTATGATCCGCAGTGTATGATCCGCAGTGTATGATCCGCAGTGTATGTTCCGCAGTGTAGGATCCGCAGTGTAGGATCCGCAGTGTAGGATCCGCAGTGTAGGATCCGCAGTGTAGGATCCGCAGTGTAGGATCCGCAGTGTAGGATCCGCAGTGTAGGATCCGCAGTGTAGGATCCACAGTGTAGGATCCACAGTGTAGGATCCACAGTGTAGGATCCACAGTGTAGGATCCACAGTGTAGGATCCACAGTGTAGGATCCACAGTGTAGGATCCACAGTGTAGGATCCACAGTGTAGGATCCACAGTGTAGGATCCACAGTGTAGGATCCACAGTGTAGGATCCACAGTGTAGGATCCACAGTGTAGGATCCGCAGTGTAGGATCCGCAGTGTAGAATTCGCAGTAAGGATCCACAGAGTAGGATCCGCAGTGTAGAATCAGCAGTGGATCCTACACTGTGGATCCTACACTGTGGATCCTACACTGTGGATCCTACACTGTGGATCCTACACTGTGGATCCTACACTGTAGATCCTACACTGTGGATCCTACACTGTGGATCCTACACTGTGGATCCTACACTGTGGATCCTACACTGTGGATCCTACACTGTGGATCCTACACTGTGGATCCTACACTGTGGATCCTACACTGTGGATCCTACACTGTGGATCCTACACTGTGGATCCTACACTGTGGATCCTACACTGTGGATCCTACACTGTGGATCCTACACTGTGGATCCTACACTGCGGATCCTACACTGCGGATCCTACACTGTGGATCCTACACTGCGGATCCTACACTGCGGATCCTACACTGCGGATCCTACACTGCGGATCCTACACTGCGGATCATACACTGCGGATCATACACTGCGGATCCCCAGTGTAGGATCCACAGTGTAGGATCCACAGTGTGGAATCCGCAGTGAGGATCCACAGAGTAGGATCCGCAGTGTAGGATCCGCAGTGTATGATCCGCAGTGTATGATCCGCAGTGTATGATCCGCAGTGTATGATCCGCAGTGTATGATCCGCAGTGTATGATCCTCAGTGTATGATCCTCAGTGTACGATCCACAGTGTAGGATCCACAGTGTAGGATCCACAGTGTAGGATCCACAGTGTAGGATCCACAGTGTAGGATCCACAGTGTAGGATCCACAGTGTAGGATCCACA